GAGCTTGCACGGGGCCGGGCTTGCACGAAGCCCGTTTGGCTCCCGCGGTGCCCGCTCGGCTCGCACGGGGCCGGCTGGACTCACATGGAACCACGCTCGCACGGGGCCCACTTGGCTCGCAGGGGGCCCGCTGAGCTCGCACGGGGCTGGGCTCGAAGGAACCCAGCTGGGCTCACACGGGGCCCGCTGGGCTCGCACGGAGCCGACGGGACCGGGCTCGCTCGGGTCCGGGCTCGCGCGGGGGCAGGCTCGCTCTCGCACGGGGCCCACCTCAACTGGCACGGGGCTGGGCTCACACCGGGCTGGGCTCACACGGGGCCGGCTCCGGCTCGCACGGCGCCGGCGATGCCGGCTGGGCTCGCACGGGGCGGGGCACGTTATGGCCCAGGCTCACACAGGGCCGAGCTCGCACGGAGCTGGGCTCGCACGGAGCCGGGCCCGCAAGGAGCCGCGCTCGCGAGGCCGGGCTCGGGCTCGGGTTCGCGCGGCTGAGTTGTCCTAAGCATGCAAGACGGGGCCGAATCGGGCTCGCGGCTGAAGCAGCAGCGGCGAGCTCTCTCGGGTTCGTGGCTTGGCTTGCTACTCTGGCGGGCTGAGCCAGGTATGGGCTCGCTTTACTGTTCACGCGTAAAGGCTTTCACATCTTAAAAAAATGCAACAGCGACGAGGGACAGCGCTCACTCTTATTCTCGTTCACGTTCGACGTTGCAATTCTTTGAGCCTTTCAAGCTGCTTGAGTGTTTTCCTTCTCTCTTTCTCGTTTTCAAAATAGTCAAGGAAGCTAAAAAAATATTATTGCAGTAAGGGGGAACTTCCTAGCCCACTATATTTGCCACGTGGGGTCCAGAGGAGCAACTTCCCTAGTTATAGACACAGGTAACAAAAAAAACTCACAAGCGCAGCACCTAACTGAATGACACATGTAACGCCACAGCAGAATAGCCACGATGGAATTTCTATGAACTGCAAACATTTCATTCTTTCCAGCCTTACATGTCTAACTCCAGACACACACCATTCATGAAACACGCATTGATATTTCGTCTTGTTAGAAGTCTTCCAACACCACGACTGATTGTCATTTTTTTTCCGCGGAACTAATTCTGGTCGTTCTTCCGTCGGAGAAGATGTAAGAGGCTCTCAGAGGATGAGGAATTTTTTTACTTGGCCTCAACTTCAAGGCATTTCTTTGATTTCATTCTTTTGGTCTTTTGCGAAGCCGAAGGTCCATATGGTTCTAAGAAGTCACTCAGAAGGAGATAAGGAATCTTCCTCAGTGGCTGTTCCCAAGCTAGAATCGACCCAACATGGACTAACAATTTTCCGCAATGTTTTATTCCGTATCAAGAAATTCAAACAAGCTGTCAAGGCAAGCAAAGGCGCAAATGGAAAAGGGTCAACCTATGATTCGCAAGATGTGTAGATGCATGTATAATCAAGAGGATCACGATCACTATCAACGAGGACAAGACTTATTTCAAGACCAAGATCACTATCAAAGAGGACAAGACTTATTTCAAGAACAACCGCTTATCGCGACTGATGCTTGCATCCATGACGACGACGAAAAGACATTCCAAAAAATCATAAGCATATTAGCTAGGCATTATTTATTACTCTTTCATGTCTTTCTTCTGATACAACAAAATGTAGGCTTGTGTCTTTACCGACAATGGCAGGTTGTCATGCTCTGACGCTGTGCTGTCGTTGTAGCATATCCACGTCGAGGTCTCCCATCTACGGCACCAGGTCACATAATGCCCACAATGTGGCGTATCTCCGGAATGAGCCACTATACTCTGTAATTGATACTGAGCACCTTTTTTTGTAAGAGCTCTGTCGTTTTGACCATCGGCTTTTTTGTCCCCAGGATTACCAACATCGATTTCGTCCGTAGATTGGTCAGCGCTTTGTTTCAGTGCCCACGCAAGCATCTCCTCTTCGGTCATACTAGCCATTTGCGCTTCCGTCAGTACTGTCGACGTGTCTGCAGGAAACTTAGAGGATTTTTCAAATTTTCTCAACCAAAGCACTCACGCGAAACTGGCACTAGAATCGCTTTCCTGCCTGTGCAACTAGCAAGACTAGAACTTGCATCACATTCACAAAGAGTTATTCACATCATCGTGATGACATATTTAGTCTCCAATACTCACCAACTCTTTCATCCTTATGTTCATAACATTGCCCCTGCTCCTCTTTTCTTCTTTCCGCTTCTGTTCCTCCTCTTGCTCCGCTAGATAATCAGGATGTAAAAACGGCGTCAAGTCAAGTTCCGGTGGCCAGCGTACCTCTTCTCTCCTCTTTACGAACCGTTTGGCTATAAAATCGGGCTTGAACCGCTTTAAATGCAAGGCTAAAGCGTGTGGTGGTTGTCGAATGGCCTTGCGCACTGTCACCATCTTCTGGCTCGGATTCAAAGCGACGACTTTGCTTGAGTGGATTAGAAGATGATTGAGTTATTTCAAAGCTACGCGAGTTTATTGAGTTGTACCTAGTGCAAACAAAATCGAATTGTACGATTATAGCAAAGTAAGAAGTGGGCGAGAAGTTCGAATGTCCATAAAGCTACTTCACTCGACGACGGGTCGCCCCTCTCTCCTGCTATCGACATACTATCCTCGCGATCGTCTTTTGGGGGATAGATCTCTATGCCACCGCTCACCGAACATGCAACATGGCCTCCTGGTGGAGGACTCCGTGTTCCAAGTTCTACAGCTCCTATTGCTGGACATACTGCATTATCTTGTTCAAAACTCTTTGTCTGTTCTGCAGTGGTGGTATCCTCTTCTTCTCCGTGACACCGTGGACACCGATATTCTAGACTTTCCTCCGCAAAATAGGCTTGTAACATGGCTTCCAAACTCTGAGGAACTCCGGTTATGGGTAGAAAGTCTACGCTATAATCTCGAAACTTCTCCACATTTTCGCTTTTCCACCTTTTGCAACTAGCGCACTCGAGGCCAAGCGAAATTTCAGAATCGAACAAAAGGGTTGGCAAGACCTGTAGATAAAGCACTATTACAGGTTTCGGAACAAGATGTAATGGTGCTTATTGATTCGTAGTAGTACTAGTGAATCGAACTTCTACAAACTCGGCGGTGCTAGTTGTGATATTATCTTGTACTTATTCCACCATCAGCTACAGCTTGTTTTACAACCACAAGCAAAAGAACATGAAGCAGAAGAACATGATGAAGCAACGGAACATATTCAAGAATACCTCGACCCGATGCAGCAGGGCGTCGTGAAGTTGGTTGATGTACTCCAGGAAAAATTCGTGGGCATCGTGTTGCATATGATTGCCGAACATCGGATTTTTCGAACTTATACTTTGCAACAACTCTCTAGGGTTCGCCGCTTTCGAGTCTGCTTGTAGAGATGCGAAGAGACTCACGGATTGCTCGTAGATTTGTACGATTGATGTGGAGGCTGTGGTTGTGGAGGTACTTCTGTACACCTGTAGAGGTTCCTGTTGCTTCTGTAGTCCTGGTGCTTCTGCAGAGGCTCTTGTTCCGTTGGACGTCCGACTAAATGCAGTGGCCGCTCCAAACGCTGTCGCCGGTTGGTTGGAAGAAACTGCTACTCCCGCTGTGGTCGTAGTTCCTGCGTCTGTCGTGGATGAAGAAAGCCTCTTCTTCACTGTTGAAGACGAACTGCTTGCCGCACTAGTCCCAACAATAACACCGCCAGCAGCTGTTGTTCCACTAGCTGCTGCTGCTCCTGCGTTCGAGCTTGCTCCTTCCATGCCACTACTGCTTTCGTCAAGCAATATCAAGTCAGGGCTATCACTTTTACCTGTTCGTTTTCGAATCGGCGTAGGCACGGAATCCACGTTCTTGGCTTCGTTGTCCTCTTTGTGGTCTCCTTTTCGTGGTGAGGGAGCTCTGCTGGAGTCATCAGCCTGCGATCTCACGTCGATTTGAGAACTCAAATCGAACACCTCAGGCTTCGCTGTTAGTGGTCCAGGAGCTTCATTTACCAGAGGCTTCAGTTCTGGAACAGACGGTAGTGCCGTGGTAGTAGATGGTCCTGAAGATGTTGGTCCTGAAGATGTTGCCCCCGCAGAGGAGTCGTGTGCCTGTGCTTGTGCTTGTCCTCCAACATGCGTCGGTCCAACAGTTCCACCTCCATCCTGTTCCACTACTCCATTCAACCTAATTAAGCCGTCCCCATCAAAAAAGCCACGTGGTCTATTTGCTCGCAATGTGTCTACAAATCGGACCACACTTCGGATTGCCTGTAATACTGCATTGAAGAAGCATGTGTTACCGAGGTTGACCATTCCCCCGGCACCAGTAATCGTAGAACTGCTAGTGCTGGAAGTCGTGGAACCCGAACATGGTGGAGGCACGAATCCAGGTACGTGACAACCTCCCAGGCTTGCAGGCGGGCCAAAGTATGAAAGGAGGCTCTAGCAAACATAAAAATTCTTAAAAAGCCTTCTTGTAGTATGTACTCTACATTCAAGCTAGGTGAAAGATCGAGAAGACATAGAAGAAAGTCTGTACTGAAAGTAGATAGCGAAGACCGATAAGCAACAATGAGAGTTTCCGTTTCCCAGCATAATGACGAAGATAAAAGAGCCGCAGAAGAGGTATCCCGACGATAGTTCGAGGAGGAAACTGGCCCATTTTTTTGCAATGTCTTCGCGAATAAAGCTGCATGATTTTTCTCGGCTGTCTCCTGGTACAGTCGAGTCTGGAAGACAAGGGTTATAGTTGTGGCGTGGAAGTGGTAACTTTATACTAGATTAGAGTTGTAGTTGTAGACCCACTTGTAGCTGACTTTTTTTTCGAGTGTGGCTGCTGGTCCTATTCCACTGCCATCGTGCTGCTTCATATCAGCTATGAGTATTTGGCTTGGATGTGAAGTAATAGCTTAAGGGAAAATAGTCAACTAACCGATGACCAGCGGTCATGGCGGGTGTGGGAAAGGGGGTTAGGTTATCCGCTTAAACTTTAAAAAAGGATATGGTCCAGGGCTCAGGGGAGCGCCCCCCCCCTAGCGAAGGGGCGGGGCCGTGGATCCCAGGGCCCCTTTTGAAGGCGTCTGCCGGGGGGCGGAAGACTTCAGAAGGGGCCCTACGAGCCTCCCCCGCTCCCTTCCAGCTGCCTGCGTGTACCCTACAGGCGTCCTATAGTCTTCGCCGTTGCAGCAGTGCGCCGGGTGCGGAAGGCCTCCGAAGGTGGCAAAGAAAAGGCGCAAGGCTGGACCCCCTGAGCCGTGCGCCCCGGGTCCTTGGCCATCAGCCTGCCTGCTCTTGAGACCGTGGCCGCCTTCGGCGGCCTTCTCCCCCGGAGGCCTCCAGCCTGCGAGGGTCAGCAGGGGCCAGGAGGTCTGTAGGAAACAGGCAGAGAGGCGCAAGGGGACGCCTTTCACCCCGAGAACCCCCGAAAAGCTGCGCGGAAAAGAGCGCGCGAGCGCCACCACAGGGCCATCCACAGGCGGGGCGCCGTGCGTCCCTGTATCATATATAGATGAGCCAGCTAGGGCAACCCCAGCGGGCAGGTACGGCCGACACTTCTTTATCAATGGTAGGCGCAACGCTACCCCAGTCGCTGGCTCATCCGTGCGAGCCGTGAGGCAAACAGGCCAGCTCTAGTAAGGCATGGTCTCGGGGCGGAGTGCGTGTTTCGACCTTTGCGTCTCTTCAGGTACTAGCGGCGCTACCCACTAGCACTTTATATTGTGACAAAATTGAAACTTCTAATGATTTTTCAACAAAATAGACAAGATGAACAGCGAGGACGCAATACAAAAAGCACAATTCTAGTTCTACATCTACCCCAGTGAAAGATATTAAGGTAAGTATTCAGATACCCTGTCCGGAACAACAGGCGTGTTGTAAGCGCCAGCCGCTCCGTACTGTCGTGAGGGAGCAGGGATACTCGCCAGAGCTGGACTTACTCTCGGCTGAGGCTTATGCAAAGTATCCGTTCCAATCGTAAAGGACCTGTTTGCAATGTTTGGCGCTGTGGAGACATGTCTATAGCTTACAAACATCGTATCATCAATGTAGCGTAATGCCCTACTTACACTCAACTGTCGAATAAATGATGTTGGCATTCAATGTTTAGAGATATTGAGTACCCTGATGTGCTTTTCGGCTTGGGTGGTGATATTCTCCTCTGTTTCGCCGGTGGCCCAGTTTCGAGCAGAGAACTCTTGCTTTTACTGGAGCTGTGTGTCTTAGAGCTGGATGATGAAGGAAATGGGCCAAGAACTACTGTTTCAGCAGTGGCAAGATATTCCACTCCTTTCTTCAGAACCCTGGGCGATCAACATCGAAAATTCTCGGGACAACGATGTCTACGGGAGTTACTCACAGGCCTTAATTATTTTCGAGGCCGCTGCTCCTGGCGCTCTCATGTTCTCGACATCCTTCTTGTGCTGCCAAATGCCTCCCTGCCACTTTCGCGCGTCCTCTTTTGTATGAAATTTGAGGTCGACTTCAGGCGTCAAGTCGGAGCCACGGAAAAACAATTTCCAACCAATGACGGCATCTTCTGCTGTTAGAAGAAAGCCACTCCATTACATGATGAACTAATCTACTCCATTTACTACGATCCTTAATCTACAATAAGTAACGAGCATGTGCAACCTGCATGTTTGATGTTCCGTAATTTCAAAGGCCGCACCTCGGCAAGGAAGAGTGCTTTGTGACACAACACGGAAGACTGCTTGCCAGTGATGCTTGGGTCTTTGTTCAGTTGCGGCAAAAGGGCTTGCAGAGCTGGATTCTCCGTATATGCATCTTCTGAAATTTTCAATGTCATTTTCCCTCCCATGAGTGCAGTGATGTGCAGCCGAGTTTCCGGGCCGAAGCGCAGTGGCTGACACACTATTGCGTTACCATGTTCATCGGAGAGGTTCTGGAAGAGCTTCGGCGGACAATAGATCTTGGCCTCAGCGATACGCACCTCGACCTCACTCTTGTTCGATGACGTCATTGCGGTACTATTGTGGAGCAGATGATTCAGGAACTTGGGAGTATTGTGATTAACGCTAGTTCTTCACTATCCGTGGTTGAGTGGATTGCCCTTTTTCCCCTTACTTTCCCCTTGACTTCTAAGGGGAACCCACTCAGCATACTCCACACGGGATAGGGATAAACTAGCCGTAAAATAACGGAAGACGATGACGCGTTTGCCAATGCTCTGGGGCTCTGCGGCTCTGCAGTTCGACCTAGCTACGTCTTGACGGCTCTTCTTCGGTTAACTCGCACTCTACTAAAAAAGAAGTGCTAAAGTATTCCTATCTGCAGTGAGGTGGACATGTTTTTTCTTGGCAACGCTTTTTGCGATGACCGTATTTGTGGAAGGCCGCAAGACTTATGAGACTACCAAGTAATCTACTTACAGGCTTCGATATGACATACTAAAAACTCTACACCAAGTCTAATACCAGGTAAGCTACCTAATTTGGGTATGCTCAAACTCCTTACACTTTTTTTCGAAAGGGACTTGTGACAGCAGCCTGGCCTTATGACGGCAATCTATACATTTTCAGGCCAACAACCGAAAGGCTTATCCGATAACTCACCTCTGTGCACTACGTTTATGCACTACTCATGACGCATTCGCCTAACAGACCTTTCTTCTACTTCATCGGACGTTGTTCAACGCCGTAGCTGAAGAGACCTCGTTGTCAGTGATGCAACATCATCTATGTTGCAAGGGTCTCGAGGGGGGGCGATCTTGAGATTATAACGAACTCCTGCAAGAGACGAAGCAAGCACATCACACAGTCGTGATTTCATACTAGACGCGCATGGTAGTGGTCAACCACTTGCTTCATAGGCGTTCTTTTCGCCTCATAATCGCAGTCTGGAAGTCGAAAGTGGCAGCATGTTGACTTATTCAACGGCGTCTCACTGTCACCAAAGAAATCCAACGCAAAAACTATCTGTGCCTTTACCTCAGAAATTTCATTGTTTGTGCCTATACCTCGGAAAAACTGTCTGTGCCTATACCTCAAAAAGCCTTACATCAAGTGTCCGCACCTATACCTCGAAAACAGTTTATTCTGTGTAACTATAAAGGCAACGGAAAATAAACTGCTTGTATCGAAATGCCTCAAGTAAATATCTGTCTGTACCTACACCTTACCGGAAGCAACCAATGATACTAGCACTCAATCTGACTTAGCACCTGCTCCCTCATCATGTTGGCTCCTTCATGCTGTTTCGGTCATCCTTTTCACTACTGGAAACAGATTGTCCAACCGCAATTTGTATGCTGCGTAAGCCGCATCGAAGTCGTACACCTCACTCAATATTTTTGTCTCCGTCTTCGTTCTTCCTGGAGTGTTTCGAAGCGCATCTCTTAATATTTTCGGAGATTCACAACTGCTCCGCAAGTCGACCAGTAGACCACGCGCTCTCGCCACTGCGTCCCGCTCTTCCTCCAGTGCGGCAAACAGGCCCTTTCGCAAAGCCGAGAGTACACGCCGGACATCGCCGCCTGTTAGAAGCGCGGGCTGTCGGCGGAAGTATTGAAAAGGATACTCACATGCTGTGCATGATGATCGCGCAAAAACCAAATGGAATTCAAAAAAAACACAAACATAACAGTTCCCACTGATACGGCAGCAACAGACGATCTAGTTCGTCCTGTTTGGTTTGGCCGTCATCTGCGAGCACCAGATCCAAAGGCAGCTCGAAAGAGGTGCCTCGTCCTTGCGTTGGGGTATTAGAAAAAAGGATAAAAGAAGAAATGTAATATTGAAGATGAGCCAGAAGTTAAAGTCGTGTTCTACTTGCACTTAAAGGCATTGAAACATTATTCTTCCCAACCAACCAGCTATGTATCCATTCGAACATTCTTTTTCATAATTTGTTTCCTCGCGTCGTGCCTCTCGTCTTCAAGGCCCTCCACCTCCATCTGTCCAAATCCTCCTCCTGCAGACGCACCTTCCACCTCTAGCCCAGTTTCCAATACCACCAAGCAGCCATCTTTTACCCGACAGCGTCGCACAGCTGTACCTTCGAAGGCTAAGGCGTTGAAAAAAATAACGAAATCTGGAATAGGGACATTGTCCCTGAGCTCGCATCGGAAGCCGTCATAGTGGAGCACGACCTTCGGCGTTTCCGCTCGAAGAGAGTTTACTACGTTGAAGGCCAACACGTACCACTTTTTTAATGCTACAGGAAGCGCTTTGGACTCAAACTGGCGAATAGACGTTGCTCTCGATGGTGGCGGTGTTGCTTCACTGGTATCCTTTTCAGGTGTTGCTTCACTGGATGGTGGTTGTGATTTGTGAAGTGGATAAATGCCGACACAGATAAATCATAATTGGTTGATGATATCAAGAGCAAAGAAAGTACACCTATGCGAAAACTCTACAAAGAGGTTAGGGTATGGAGAGCACAGAAAGATAGAGCATGAAGCTCTCACATGAGCAGAATTAGACTACCTTCCATCAGCGCCACCCCTTTTCTTCTCCCCTACGCTCATTGTCTCTAGACGACACCGCACCCCACCTGGACTGATGTAGAAGGAGTGCGAAGTCGTAGAGATTTTCACTTCACCAGTTTCAAAAATCCGAAAACAGTGTCTACGTCCTTGAGTGTCCCAGTCGTGTGCATAAGGCTTCTTAACGCGGCGTGTATCCACTAGTACCGAATTCGGCAGTGTGCCAGTTGGATCACTAGAAGATGTTCTTACGTGACTGGTACCGTCTGGAGATGTTTTACCAGCAGGCACCTGAGACCTCCTTGATGTTGTAGCTTTACCAAGACCGCCGCCAGCTTCATCTCGCACAACTACGTCGTTTCCTACGTGTTCAAAGGCAGAGCTTGCTGATGAAGAACTTGGATGATTCTTGCCCTCAACAGTGTAGTTGGGTGAGTTCTCTTCTTGCATCTCAGCATCTTGGTCGAAAAATCTGCGATGACCACCTTCGCGCTTCGAAGAACGGCCTACGAGATCTTTCGATAAAGCATCTAACACTGAATTTTGATTAGGTCCTCCAGGTCCAGCAGATGAGTCATGATCTCGCCCTACACCTACACCAACTGGTGGTCCTGCCAGAGAATTGGTGTTCGAAGATGGCAGATAAGCGGCCAAACTAATGTCTCCTCCTTGATTTGATGTTAAAAAACCACTTTCATTGAGCCCTCCCCGTGTAAAAAATGTCGCAGCTTCGTTGTTCCCATTAGGTATTACAGCTTCGTTTCGGTTAGTCACTGGGCTCATCGCATCTGGAAAAGCACTCGTTCTCGTTTGTTCTGGCATCAACATAGCATTTCCATTTGCTCCTCCTGGCATTGATGAACTTGAACTATAGTTAGAGGTAGGCTTTTGGTGTTCGTGGATTCTCCCGCTTGTTATGGCTGTCCCCCTTAGGAGAGCCATAACAAACGGTAACAAAAGCACCTTTAGCCTACCCTTAATATAGGCAGGCGCCCGATGTTCCTTGTTCACCTGATGATCGTCTTGTCGAAAATCGGTGTCCTTTCCCCTTCTTCTGTCCCTGTGATCCCCTTCCGCAACCTCCTCGCGCGATTTTAGTATCTGAGAGAAATCTGCAATGTCCGACTTGTTTGCCAAGAATAACGCTTGATCGTCCACAAAACTCGCGTTTACTACAGGATTCATCTTCGGATAATTGACACCGAAAGTACTGCTTTGGCTTCCACCTCCAACAGCAGTGCGCTCGCTACCAGATGATGGCAGCAATAACCCTTGTCGCAAATCCACAGAAGTTGCTGAAAAAACGTGTGAAACTAGTCTTGCGTCCGAAGTGCCTGAGCTTTCCCGCCGGATCATCAGGCCCCACTCGTCGGCATTTCTAAATTTTTCTTCTAGAAGTGGCCCCACGTCATCTTGATCCCCACCGTCCGAAGGCTGCAAACTGTCGAGAACATCACACAAATGAACCGATGATGAACTTTGACTGGCTTCAGATACGGCGTCTGTGAAGTGGTGGCGGTGGTCTTCGATAGTGTCACGATGCTGGTCCTGGTCTGTGGTCTGTGCTGCGCTACTAAGCTGCATCGATCCCGAAGAACCCATAAGGACTGAACTTGTAGTCTCCGGTGAGCGAGGTCTGTTACTTCTATGGACATGCGAGAACGATGTCGCCAGGTGTTTGCTTCGTTCTGCGCTCTGTCTATGCTCTGCGTCAGGGTTTTTCTTCGCTGATTTAGATGTATGTAGGACAACACGTGAAGATTGCACACAAATCCAAATACCTGCAGCAGAAGTAGGATCAGCTCTGTAATTCATTAAACAATCACTCGCTGTACAACCTAGCGAGGGTACTACAACATTACTGAGAAAATACTGGCTACAAAGCTCCCACTGTCTCACCATAACCTTCTCATTCCCCGCATCCGTGTACTTATTCGGATTATACTGTTGCATTGATCGCAGAATGCGTGCAGTTGTACTACTCCGTACGACTGTGGCTCCACCACAGTCGCTGCCTGGCCCGGTACGTCGTTCTCCTTAGAGATGTGATATTGGACGAATTTTCCCCGTCATCTTCTTCTGTGATATTGTACGCCGTTCTTCTTAGAGATGTGTCTTTGAATTTTCCCCATCATCTTCTTGCCACTTCCAAGCCTTAATATTTTGTCAATCATTTTACGTCCTTGCCCCTTAACTCATCTGTAGCACCGAAGGCAAATCCACACTACCATACTGATGTGCTCTCGAAGCGATATTGTCTGCTCTTGAAGGCCGTACAGGTGAATTTGCATTATCACCTGAGGATAGTACTCCACTCAACTCTGGAGGCGCAAGTAGTTCTTGTACTTGTTGTTTTTGGAAAATGGTTCCGCGTTTTCGACCGCCTGGTGCACTATTGCTCTTCTTTTGAGCATCCACGACGATCTGCGCAAGGCTTTAGAGCAGAAAGATTTTTCGTAGTCATGCGTCTGCAATATCCATTGACGGTCAAAGACAAAGTAAAAGCTGTTACTGTTTATTATTTCGGGGTATGTTGCTGAGAGGAGTCTGTCTGCAACACTAAATTCTGGACTGCTCATCTCCCACTGAAGATCATTCAATAGCAGCAATAACGCGCGCTATCATCGGTCATAAAGACGCTGCTGTTCCCCAATTGCCTCCGCTGGTATTTCCTCATTCCGTGGATCATAGGAGATTCTAGGAATACTTGCGATAGTCAAGAAAAACGGATGCGCCAAAGCATCAGTTGCCGTGGTGTCAGGTCTCTGCAGCAGTTCCAGACAAGAGATGCATCGTCGAGAAATGTCATTCTTAGAGGTGGCTGAACTGAGTTTGATTCTCGTCATCCTGAGTGGCGGTTTTGTTCTTGTCCTACCCTGCTACATGCCACTTCGATGCTGAAAAACTAAAACTACCACTGTGTAATCATAAAACTCGGAAATTCATTTCGGTTTACTACTGGATCCGCGTTTTCGATTAACAAAGAAGCTCCACAACTGCCCAATTGATAAAGATCGCGACTCGGATGCTGTAGTTGGTGGACATGAGAAATTGCGAAATGTCGATGCTGAGGTAAGTCATTGTAAAGCTTTCTTATGCAACAGAGGGTGGAGATGGTGGATCAAGGAAAAACGAAGATACGTAGCTACACTCCTGAGATCAATCTATCAATGGAGAACGTGTTTACTTGTGCAGCAGCTAGCGCGCCTTGTGCTGCATCACGCGGGTCTTGGAATCGAGCCACGCTGGAAAAGTCGCTTTTTAGAGGAAAATAAGATGCCGCTCTGCTATTCATCTCTCGAACGCCCCATCATCCGCTGCGAAACCCGCTCTGGTACCCGTTGCTGATTCCCGTTCGTGAGTGCTGCAAATTCCCGCTCGTTAAGTGTTTCAAATAGCCGCTGCTTAAGTGTAGGACACTCCCGTCTGTTAAGTGTTTCAAATTCCTTTTCCTTAAGTGTTTCACAATGTTGTTAGTTAAGTGCTGCAAAGCGCCTTCTTTTCAGTGCTGTATTCCCCCCTCTCTTAAGTGCCACAAATTCCTCTCCCTTAAGTGCCACAAATTCCTCTCCCTTAAGTGCCACAAATTCCTCTCCCTTAAGTACTGCAAATTCCTCTCCCTAAAAACTTAAGTGTTTCAAATTGCGCTCCGTTAAGTGTTTCAAATTGCGCTCCGTTAAGTGCTGCGAAGTCCTCTCTTTTAAGTGTTTCAAACAGCCTTCCCATAAGTGCCTCGAAGGCCGGCCCCTTGAGTGCCTCAAAAGCCTGCACCTTAAGTGCCTCAGCTACATCTCTGCTGAGTGCCTCAGCTGTTCCTCCGTCAAGTGCCTCAGCTGTTTCTCCGTTAAGTGCCTCAGCTGTTTCTCCGTTAAGTGCCTCAAGCCCGCGCCCCTTAAGCGCCTCAAACCCGCCTCCCCTTAAGTGCCTCAAACTCGTCTCCCCTTAAGTGCCTCAAACTCGCCTTCCCTTAAGTGCCGTAACTGCCTCTCCGCTAAGTGCCTCAAACTCGCCCCCCCCTTACGTACCTCAAACTCGCCTCCCCTTAAGTGCCTTAACTGCCTCTCCGCTAAGTGCCTCAAACTCGCCTCCCCTTAAGTGCCTTAACTGCCTCTCAGCTAAGTGCCTCAAACTCGCCTGCCCTTAAGTGCCTCAACTGCCTCTCCGCTAAGTGCCTCAAACTCGCCTCCCCTTAAGTGCCTCAACTGTCTCTCCCTTAAAAAGTGCCTCAAACTCGCCTCCCCTTAAGTGCCTCAACTGTCTCTCCCCTAAGTGCCTCAAACTCGCCTCCCCTTAGGTGCCTCAACTGTCTCTCCCTTAAGTGCCTCAACTGTCTCTCCCTTAAAAAGTGCCTTAACTGCCTCTCTGTTAGCGTTAAGTGCGTCAACCTCAATCTACTCTATGCTATAAAAAAGCACCACAAGACTCAACAAACATTTTCTTAACGCTAATTTGGCCGCATTCTCCACCATTATCAAGTTTTCGATTGCCACGCTGCCATGCACATACCTCAACGCATGCAAATACTCTAAAATTAGAGAGTAAACTCATTCCGTGGAGGATTCAGTTCTTGCTCGGGTCACATTTCAAATTTCAATGAGAATTCAGCTCTTGCTCAGCTCACATTTAGTATTCAAATTGTCTGTAATCAGTAGCAGGATTTGAGTTTTCTGTTTTTCAAGAACAACAGTCAGTAAACTGAGTAAACTGCCTGTGACGAATAGTATTGCTAGCTTCTTCTTTGTGAGGAGATTTGCTCATTTGAAGATGATGTAGGGCCATAACAATGCCTTCAGCACTTCTGCCAACAGGAGGCGGAGCTTTGCTTCTGCCATTAGAGAGGGGCAAGAATTCTTCGTCGTAGCAACAAAGCAACGCTCGAATGAGTTTTCTCCTCACACTTTTCATTAGTCACATATACGACAATACAAGAATTACAAGCTCACGCCCATACTTCTCGTTAGTATCTATCATCATCATCATCATCATCAGCCAACTGCATGAGTCATCATAGACTGTATCTCTCTGTGTCTTAAGCCCATAAATTGTGGTGGGCCACTTGACTAGAAAGAACCAGAACAAGACAAAGATCCTCAATCAACTATAATTTCCCTCTTCTCAGTTACAGTAAAGTATAATATATAATCAGTTGCCGTAAAGTAAATTTCTTTCCCGTCTGCAGAACAGGTTCGCCCTTCTGCAGGACCATGGCCAGATAGTCCGTGTCCTCGAACGCATGGTGTATGTCCAAAATTCCCTTGTGCCGAAGCTGAGAATGGACTACGATCTCAGTAGTCACGCGCTCGGCCTTTTCCGGTGGTAGCTTGTTCTTTGGAATTAGCTTCAAAGCACGATCCTCGAGTTGTTAGAAAAGGATAGCACTCTGTAATAAATAGTCTCATTGGCCTTAGAACTCAAGATGAGACGACTCTTCTTAGAAAAATTGTGACTAGCTTCAGCTTGTTCAAAGCTCTCTCCTCAGAGGAGGAAGACCTAGATTTAGAGCGAATGGGCTGTGTCGAAGAAAAATTAGCATCATTCCTTTTACCTGCTATCAAGCATGATTGCCTACTGTTGGCCTCGCAACGTCATCTGCTTCTACTTTCTTTCTATTACGTACTAGTCTTAAATATGATCTAAATCGGTTTTTTTTCTGAAGTGAAAATCACTTAGTGGTCGTAACCCTCGCGCGTTTTTGCCGCATGAACCGTGCAGTGCTTTCCGCGTCCAAGCACCTCGCCAAGCTCATAATCAGACAACTTATTCCCCGATTCGTTAGTCTTCGTCGCCATTTTTTTCGTCGAGGACCTACACAGGAACTAACTCCTGGGTATATGAGACTCAGCGGCAACTTATGCGTGTGTTAATAGTGGACACTTTTGGAAGATGCTACAACTTTATTACACTTAAACACAGAACAAGGAGCAGAGGGCCTAAGGCATAGTACAGCTCATTCCGTGTTTCATTCAGATCCTTGCCCACCAGCGTACTCGTATCATTCTAGAAGGACTGGACTACCAAAGGGGAAAGTACTAGAAACGCGCGCCAACTTTCATCTTCATTCTTTTTCACTTCATCACACCACACCACACCACGCCAGGACTTTCCTAACACATCACGACTTTCTTCTTTACGACCAACGGAACACTTCTTTCACATGCTAAGATATAGCGGCCGCGCCTTTGCTTATTGTCGCTATCTTGTCATCATATAGCTGTCGCTATCTTGTCACCATATAGTTGTCGCTATCTTGTCATACAAGTGAGTAGTGGTAATCACTGTCCTTGATTTAGTTGCTTTGGCTGCGGGTGTATCTTCCTGGGTGACATTGATTAACCGAGAAACAAGCCAGCCACACGAACAGCAACAGAGTCCTTCGAAGTTCACGGTTACTACAACACCTGATAACGCTTCATCTTGACAGATTGGTGATTGTAAGGGCGATCATCTAGAAGCAAGAAAGTCACGGCACCTCATCAGTGCTCTTAGGATTTGAACCGATACGGATACTGGTAGGCATAGACCAAGAAGGCAGTCTCTGCCTTGGATGAAAAGCCTGGCAAACTTCTTGTCAAGCGCAACGCTACCTCTATATCTTTGTACCCCCGACAGCAGGTCCTCATTGTAGTACTGGTCGCACTCTAAAGAGGCCCATTCGTCCGTCGCAGTGCGAGTGGTGCTCTTCTTCTAGTAAATGATTTGTGTTTTGCGGACTTTACTACTTTCCATTCAGTGTAAGAAGAAAATGGGGGCCGAGATATCCGAGAGACCGACGCAACTCGTCAGGAAGGGGCTACGATTTATGTAAGTATTTCCGGACTTTTTTGCTGTACTAGTCCCTTACAAACGCGCTCGCCTTTCGACTCCCGGAAAGCAGATAGAAGCAGAAGGAAGCGAGAGCTTTCGAATTTACTACAGCTCCTATTATTTCTTCCGTATACGTGTTGTGTCATTTTAATCATGATTTGCGATTGCGGTGGAGCCAAGAACCTACCTAGGAAAGATAGAAAAAAGGAAGACGTATAAATATATAATAGGACTAACAAAAATTTTGGCCACATAGTTTAGGACCCGTTTATTCTAGGCGCCATCCGTCGCCCAACTGCCGTGAGTGTATCATTAATATATTCATAATTAATGTTAAAAAGTGATAATGTCAAAAGTAAAGCCTTTGTCTAGTTCTTGAAGTCACGGCGTAGTACAAAAGGAGCAGCAAAACACAGGTCTGCAGCAGCTGTTCTCGTTCTGCAACTTTGGTTAAAAAATGTAAATAAATTAGCTTAGCCAAGGATATATTTCCTCATTAATAGATACAGGCCTAATGAAGCAGAACCCGTCGTGGGCGTTGAGGTATTTTGATATAGCTACTCTTTGTCCACTTAAGTACTTCAACAGACACGAAAGTATACAACTACTTCTCTCATGTCTGTCTACAAATCTACAGTTGGAATTGGCAGACAAGAACAATTTTGGGAGTTTCTTAACAAATATGAACTCGAGGTCGTTGCTCACTTGCAGCAACATGTTCAAAAAACTATAATATATTTATCAGGGGACTCTGTAAGGGAGATGGTTGCTCACTCGCAAAAACAACATAAATACTCTCATCTCCACCATGTTTAAAAAATCACATCACTCGGGCGCCTTTGTAAGGTTTTTGAAAACTGTATGGATTGGAGTCCATGAGTCGTATGGAATTGGGTGAGACTGGTGAGATTCTTCTTGTGTGCCTTATGCGTATGAATTCCATGCTTGCGCCATGCAACTCCATGCGCCATACGTTCTATACGTTAATCTCTTATATCAGTCCTTTTTCTTCTTCTTATTGTTGTCAGTCTACTCAAGTAAGTTTAAGTGCGCGTCCTTCATCGTCCTCGTGCATCTCTATCTGACGCGATCGTGGAATAGGCGCGCTGCGGCGACGATGGTCTCTGTTTATCCGAGTACACGGTAGCTGCCGCGTACCCGACATGCGTGAACACGACACCCACGAACTTCTGCCACATACCCAAACAGTTCCATGCTGCGTCGTCGTCGTTGGAGCGAGTCGGTCTTCGTGCGGGCTTCTTGCGGCGAGGCCTCTCCTTGTTTGGAGTCACCCAACGAAAAATCCACCCTGGAGTCCTCCATTTTCGGCGCCGGCTTGCCCTTACTTCTCAGCGACAGCGACTTCTTGTTCATTTCTGTGGTGTTTTGAGTCACCAGTCAGTAAAATAAAAGTGGCTAAAGTGTAGAGTAAATGAAAATCAGCCTAGTATTAGTAGTAGTAGTAGTCCTTGAGGACGTGGTAGTAGTTTATCAAACTATAACCTAATGCTGCGCAGAGGACTTTTACCTCTACTTTGAGCAATGCGGCTTCCTCCTCTGCAACGAAAATAAATTTCGAGTACTTACTTAGATGTTAGTTTTGAAAAAAAGTATTAGTGCCTGATATTCGTCATTCTCATTACGATCAAAAATTCCACAATCGAATCTCTTTACAACTGTCCAGGTAAGTATAGATACTGTTTTATAGCGAAGATATCAACAACTACTACCTAAGTATGTCGCTTTGATGGCTTTGGCTGCCTGCCTTTCTTTCTCCATGTCGCTGGGCGTAACAAGACTGGGCTCATCATCGCCGACATACAGTAACAAAACCGAAGTTCGCCGGCACCAAGTTCTCCGGCACGTCCACAAGAAGCGCAGTGCCCGGTGGGTCATCCTGTCCGCGCCCACTCCCGATCGCCTTTTGCACCAAACCGAAGTACACCGAATAGCCAGCGGTTGCCGTTGTAGTGGCAGGCATAGCCTTCGTATTCGAGCCACCCCTGAGTACGGTCGAGAGGCCGCCAATGACCGCTGCGACTGCAGCCGGAGCGAGCCGTAGGGAACCTGCGCCGTACGAGCCTGCGGTAGCCACGGCTGATGTCGCGGCAGGGTACCCCCTCCGGCTGCCGCGGCCGCTGCACCAGGCCCGCCAGCAAAGCCGACGTCTATGGTCCCAGCATCATCACCGCAGGAAGTCCTAGAGCGAAGGGGAGCTTGAATCTAGTTTGCTCCTCGCTTACCTGGACGAACGATAATCCCTCAGCCATTGTTCCATTCGTCATCACCGTTCCTGTTTCCTGCGTGTTGACTAGAGTAGAGTGGGACTTGGCACCATGCTCATGCATCGGCACGATCTTGACACCAAATGCGACATTGCCATCCCACCTGATCGCAAGGAGGCAAACTACGGCCCGCACCCCGTGAATACCCCATGCGCTCGAGACGAGTACTCCCAGAAGCAGGACCGCAAATTCAAAAAGCATAAAAATCAACATTTTGCTGACAGTCAGATTATATGAAAAAACTCCGTCCACGAAGTTCGCGTTCGCGAGCAGCAGTCTGATGAATCAAAAATAAGTTAGCCCTAAATAAAGCTAACTAAGTTGAGGAAGTCCACGTCGAGGCCCTGCAAGCAGATACAATGCGGATCGCCGAGGATGGCCGGCCATACAAAACCATGGAATTGCCACTTTCGACTGCTCACTTTGATACGTTTCAACACCAAGTCTTCATCTCTATCTTTTTCTCAGTTAAAAGCGCTGATATTAAGGTAAAAGGACTCAGCTATTAGTTGTATAAGTAGTGAACGTCAACGCCGTGAAGATAAAACTGCAGATGGTGATCGTAATTGTGTTTCTTTTTAACAGCCGGCTGGTCGTATAACCCCGCTTAGCATCCGAATAAAAGTGCTCTGCGAAGGAGAGTAGAAATACTTGATCGGGAGAAACGAGTGGAAAATATTTTAGTTCTATTTCTACGAAGAAAGATAGAAAAACTCACCGTGTTGAGAAAAGCGTTTGAAAGACACGAGACGAAGTCTAAAAAAGCATACTTACTTGAAGCTCAGCGACTTGGTGCCTAATATGCAAGAAATAAAAGAAGAAACGCGTCGTATCGCGTTATTAATATTGTGGAACCTCTTGCCTGTCATAAATGCAGCTCCCTTGTAAACGATCATCTAAAGAAGTGGCGAAGTGCGGTTACCAGTCTGTATGTAAATAAACTTCTCCAGAAAATTGGTGCAGCATAGAAGGGGGTCGGCACGCGATGGATGTGGATCAACCTAAACGCCACCTACTTAGGAGGATGAAGAATGATTGGTTGGATCTAACAATCCTAAGCAATTGCTTATAACCTTGAGAACGAGAGGCACTGGAGGCATCGGGTGCATTGGAGATAGCAGATGATGAGAACCGAAGGCGCACGAGTAAAAATTAAAAAATGCACGACTTATTCAACCCTTCAGTCACACAGAGTTACTACACGCAACAGACGTAGGTATCAGCAGAAGCCCTTGCTCTTCTTGGCGCGACTTTCCCTTCTTGTTTTTGGAAACGTAACTGTGAATTGAATTAATCTTTCACGCACTCTCGAATTCTCGCACGGGAAACAAATAGGCGCACAGAAAAACCAAACGAACGACATCACTCCCATGCGTCATGCACACAGAACCGGAGCACTGTAGAAGGGCGGCTGAGGATTCTAGTGGCGGGAGTGTTGCCGGGCCCTTACGTCTAGTAATGTGGTTCTCTTGCTCGCTCGATGTTGTTAATCAAATGAGTTACAGTCTTGACCTTCTTTTTCTTACCCGACGCTATCGCTATGCAGCTACAGGTATTCTTGATGTGATCATGTCTGCTTCGCTTCACCTTATCCATAAATTTGTTTTTTTCAGCCTAAATCTGTAAACTAGAGCTCCTCACCCTTACGACTAGCTGACTTAGGCCTGATCATGTCTGCTGGCACCACGTATAGATCGAACTGGTCTGCCGTGAGATAGGCTTTGTCGTAGACCGCGACCTGCTTGAGGCTCTTCCCCTGCTTGAGTGCTGTCTTGGCGACGTCCGCGGCTTTCTCGTAACCGATCACTGGGTTGAGGGCAGTGACCAGCATGAGATTCTTGTCGAGGTGCTCTTGGACTTTAGGCAGGTTCGGAACGATTCCAACCACGCACTTGTCAGCAAATGAGTAAGCAACGTCAGCATGAGTTAGAGCTCAGATGACATAAGAACAAAAAAAAAGCTCAAGAACACGCACCACGAACAAAATATACATACTTAGAACATCTCGAGAAGACGAATAGCCGCAGAACAAGCCTTAAGAGAAGGTTGCTCGACTTCAGCACGTTGAAAATGATCACCGGCTTGAAGGCTTGCAAATCCAGATGGCCGTGTGAATTTGCGACGGATACCGCGACGGCATTGCCCAGGATTAGGGGTTGCCAGTTGACCGATCCAGGTCGCACATCTATCATGACTTTCGTACTTGAAAAGTCATAGATATGCTTACAGAGATGTCAACTTCCAAGCCTTAACATGACTTGTGCTGCGACCATACTCATCGCTTCTGCCTGCGTTGGATTCACCTTGCCAGGCATGATGCTTGACCCCGGTTCGTTTGCTGGAAGCCAGATCTCGCCAAGCCCGCCCGTCGGACCACTAGACAACAAGCGTACGTCGTTCGCTATCTTCATGAAACTCGTCGCAAACATTAGAAATAGATTGAGTTTTCTGAAGCCTTCAAGGTTTGAAGAGTGGATAAAATAGTAGTGGTGGAGCCAACCCAATAGGAAAAGAACCAAAAAACAAGACGTGAATAAAGATTATATATTATGTATGAAAAGAAGTGAGAGCAGATGAATCCAGGAAGACCCGGAGTGTTCTTTAGTGTCAACATTTTGTTTTGATTATGAAAACCGATTGGTCCATGACGACCTGCTGAAATTTCTTCAACAAAAACAGACGTGTTACTCCAGTAGAGGACCCTATCCGTAGGATGACATTTTGAACGCTAGCAAGCTCGACCATGGCATCATGCGCTGAAATGCCCTCAAACTTGTTCCGATTAGTCCGAAATCCGTCGACACCCGTAATTTCTGCAACGTAGCGCGCAAAACGAGTGTCGAAACCCTGAATTTTTCTCTCATCTGCATCACGTGAAGATACGGTGGCATAGCATGTCACGAAAAACTTATCGTCATGGCCTTACTCGGTAGTTTTGTTCCAGTGCGTGCTTTTATTCGAACGGAATGGATATCATTCATCTCCTCTTCATTGAATAAAAACAAATCAAAACGGAGACAATAAATCGAAGCTTTGTATCTTCAAGAGACGTGTCGTCAAGCACGACACCAATTCATCAGTGCTGTTGTGCTTTTCTTCTTGAAAACAACTACTAATCTTTGTATTCCTGCTGACTTGTACACCGCCAGCAGCACGATCGAATTATAATACATAGATACCTCCACTTGATTCAGGCCAGTGCCCACTGCGGTGCCACCTTGTGGAAGAGCGTAAAGACGATCCAGGACCGCAAGGAGTCGATCTGAGCCGAGCTTCACCTGTTCGGCCCATGCACCAAACTCTTGCCCTAAAGTGAGTGGCGTAGCGTCTTGCATATGCGTACGACCGATTTCTCTTAGAAAGAAAATCCTAAAAGGAAGATCTCTTTAGCTAAGGACATTACGGTTACGACTTTTTTAGAAAAATCGTGTTCCCATTCCCAAGAAAAAACTCTGGAAGTAGCAGCAATAGCATACGTATTTCGTCCTGGATTTCTCATCAAGCGAACTCCTCCCTACCACGTGCTGAAAGAAAACCAAAACGGTTGGATTCTTAACTTTACAACACCTGCAAACTCCTCCTCCTTTGCACGCAAGGCCTTCTCGAGGTGTGCGAGACCCGGGAGCATCCTCTTCAGGACGCTCAGCACAGCCGCGATGTGCATGGCAGTGGGAAAAGAATCATTTGTCGATTGACCACGGTTTACATGGTCGTTTGGATGCACAGGTGATTGCGTTCCTCTCTTTGGTGCGAAAGATTAGATGGACATAGACAACCTCGTCCTTGACGGCTACCACAGGTTAACATGATTGATAACAACAAGTGCTGGAAGTAAGAGTTGCAATGTGAAAAGTAAAACTAGGTCAAAGTTATAAGGTTAAGGTTTTGAAAATGACAAATCTAACCTGTAGTAGCTGCTGGTTAAACAGTATCTAGCGAAGCCTGAAGCTGAACCTTATCGATCTCTATGACCCTCATCCTAGTAAGAATTTCTACAAGTCATCTACAACTCTCGTTTTTTGAAAAATTTTGTCTGTCGTAACCAAGAATTTCGTTCGCTACGTTGGCCAACACTTCATTCACGTTCATGTTGGTTTGCGTGCCACTTCCCGTTTGGTACACGACAAGCGGGAACTGTTCGAAGTGCTTGCCACCCAAAATGACTTGGTCCGCCGCTTGCTGAATCGCGCCGCTGATATCGCGACCCAGAACCTCCTGGTTCGCCAACGCGCACGCCTTCTTTTGAATAGCAAACGCGCGGATCAATTCCGTCGGCATCTCGTCGTCGCCAATGACAAAGTTCTCTACAGACCGTTGGGTCTGCGCGCCCCACAGCGCAGCATTACTCACGTGAATATCACCCATGGTGTCCTTCTCAGTACGACAGTCCGACAAACAACGCCCAACACGGCCCGCCGATACGGAGACAGACACGACAACGCTCTTGCAGAAGAACCACGCGAGGACATGATGACGCACAAATGACATCATTTTCAACTTTATCATCGATGTTGTGATCAGGGAAAAAAGTGCTGGTGTTGCTTTGTCGATTACTAATTCAACTGGACTCAAAGAACTAAAACCATGATACGATGGTATGCATTTCTTCAGAATCAATCCGACTTGATGTTACGATAAAAACACCTGTCTTTTCGAATCCGTGTGTTTGGTAAATTCTCTAATCCGACCGACAGCGATGTTCTTTGGGCTGTCGCAATATTCTTGTGCTATTGGGGGAGCCTTGTATGATCTCTGTCGCGGAACCGATGAATGCACCAATGCCGGTTTTCTTTGAACAGAATCCGAGAAACTACGAACCGATTTATTTGAATGTCAGAAGTGGACGAACACTCAGTTCTATGTGCACAACAAGCGTACGCGATAAAAATGGAGGCGGCCCGCGTCCAAACAGTAGCTGCGGTGGTTCGCTTTATTTTCATGGATAATATATTTGTCTGTCTGACTAATTCAAGATACAAGGATTAGAATGGCCACTAGGTAATCCAACAATTCCAAACTTGTTTTTCAACTGGAATGATACAGAATTTTCCTCCAGTTGTAGTTCAAGTTCACGATTTCACACAACTCTGATTAAGATTACAATTTTCGATCTTCAAACTTTTCAAAACTGGAGCCTTACATTTTTTCAGGTCGGTCCTCTCGGTGTAGATCTTACTTCGTTGATCGTCATCGTGTAACAACGCGTTTCTAATCTACTTCTCACTGTGTTTTCATATTTGTTCATACATTTCCTGTTCCTTGTCGTTCACCACATGCAGCCGTTATTAAAAGAAAACAATGAAAACGGTATGCTTTTTCAGAAGGAGCGGGACGAGTGTACTGTAGCCATCTATTTCTTGATACCTGTGTGGTGCTTTATCGAAACTCCAGCACAAAGGTGACACTCGTTATGTGTAAATATCTGGTGGCTGTAGCGTCAATACCAACGAACTTCTCTACATGAATTTTCTCTTAACTTCTTGTCGTGGATGATATAAGTCTTTGCGCATGAAGATATAACCAATTATGGACGATATAAGCAAATCTGACATAAAGTCTGCCGTCTTGCTGGGCTCACTGGAGAGTTGTTTCTTCTTTTCTCTATTAAATTCTTTTCAATTTCTACATGAATTTGTATCAAAAACGTTTTCGAGCTGTCAACTCTATTTTTATACGCCTGTAAGCAGCCACTTTCCGTCCTTGGAGGTGGATAGGATTTTGAGAAGCGTCTTTTCACGCGTCGCGGGGTCTTTTACCGAGCGGCCGAGCAGCAAGAGCATCCGCACAATGCCAAGAACAGCCTCGTGCGAGCTGCCTAGACCAGCTAAGGAGAATAGTTCCAAAAGTTCCTGAAAATACTGCGGTCCCCTATAGTACCGATTGAGCATAGCCGCCGCAGTGCCGGAGTCGACGGCATGTAGGACACCTTGATCCTGCGCGCTCAACATCGTCGCATTGTCACTGATTCGGTGGGTCTGATCGGGAAGCAAGACTAATGCATGCAGAAACGAAAAGTCATCGGCAAACACGTTGGCGGCTGATGTAGCAGTAGAAGGAACAGCAGCACTCGATGACGATGTCGCAACGTGCGTATAGGAAGCCCCATCCACAGGCACGTTCGCTGCTACGACCTCGATGCTGTCGTTGTTATTCCCATTTTGAGACAGCTGAACGGGTTCTGCGGAGAGCCTTCGACGCTTTACACCCTGAGCTTCGACGTCCTTATCCTCCGAGTGTTTGGGGCTTTTTTCGCCATCCTCGACAGCTTCTGTCCGCACTGGTACCAGTCCACGTTCGATACTCAATTTCCTGAATCGCTCTATGATATCCGTCGGGACAACGGCCGGCAAAAGCCGATGACGCACGAACGTTTTTTGGAAGAGAGTCTTCCCAGCTCCTGGCTTCGTTCCAGCGGAGGCCGCCTCTTTATCGGCGCGCGCTCGTTTTCTTACGATTTCGTCCTGCTTGCGTTGCACCGCAGACCGCTTTCGGTCCTTCTTGGCACGACGCTCGGCGCGATAGGCCGCCATGGAGTCCAGACGCTTCTTTGTGCTCTCTTGCGCGAGGATCAGCATGTAGTCTTGCGTGAAGCGCCTGGGCACCGGAAAGGCTGTTGACATCACTGCAGGCAAGCTTTTCAAACCCGCACCGGTGGTGGCAAAAGTATCCACAAAGGGAATCGGAGCTTGTGGTCCAATCGTTTGTTGCGCAACATTGTCAAGGAGGCCCTTATCGAGAAGGTGATCTGCATTTCTTGCAGCTGTTCTGGACGCAGGCGCGTATTCGTAGGTACTACTTGAGCCACTGCCTGCACCATTGCCAATGAGGGGATTGGGTTCGTGAGATCCCGTGCTGAGTTCCGCTTTCTTGAGAGAGCGTTTCGCGGAGCCGTTTTCAACCAAATCCTTATCGGAAATGAGACACTTGACTCCTGACATACAGGCAAGACAGACACGTTTTTGACGCAGGTCAAGAATGGCGGCCCGGACCGTGAGGACACGATCATCGCGCGCGAGCATGGACGGAGATTGATTCTCCAGAACCGCGGGAAGCGACTTTCCAGTTTTCTTGAGATAGCGCTCTTGGAAGGCCTCTTCGTCCTCTAGGGAAGCCACCTCCGGAGCGGCCGCAACGTACCGCTTTTTCGGTGCTTTCTCGTACTTGTTGTACCTCTTCGTGTCCTCGGCTTCCCCCTTGCCGCCCTGCACAGACGCGGTTACAACGTCCTCAGCTGCCAGTGCATTGCCGCGGCTTAACTGACGCTTCGAGAAATGCGTTGCCGGCAAGAGACCCCAGCACTTGCTGCAGAGTCTATCGCGCTTGTACTTGTAAAAGACGTCGGCTACTTGTTTCTGCAGCGCGGTCGCAGAGGTGGACTCTTTCTCTCCAGCGACAGCTGCTGCTACTGACGCGTCTTTCATTTCAGGATTTTCAGCCGTGGCTGTCGCGCTTTCGCCTTGCTCAGAAGACATGATTACATCATCTTGTTCATGTTCCGGTTGCGCAGAATCACCTTCATCCTTGACACTCGTCGTGACCTCTTGGTTTGAATCTGCAGAGTCGGAAACTTTGGATTTGATAATTTCGACGCCAGAAAAAGCTGCACGAGGGATAACTTCTTTCTCCCAGACGTTTTTTTTATCGGGCTTGTCCTTTTTGCGATCCGTCTGCATTTTCCGTTGAAAGTCGCGCATTTCCGTGTCCTTCGCTTTCCATAGCTGAGCTAGATAGGGCGCTGCCCACTGATGCAGGAAACGAATCAGAAGCCAGCGCAGAGAGTAGAAAAAGCCGCCAAAGTCCATACCTGTGGCTGGCATAACGTGAGCCAGCTTGCGCAGTGCATACCAGTCCCGGGGATCGTGTGGTACGTCGGGTCGCGAGCTTTTCAGGTTCTTGAACACAGACCACGCACATCCAAGAGGGTTTTCCCCGCTGGCGAGCACGCCACAGGCAGTGAGACACAGACTGCGCATCATGCTCGGCAAGGAATCTTGCGCCTCAGCGGACTTTGGCCGAATGGAGAACTTCTGCCGTCGTTCCGCCAGATCCTTGAGAGAAGCGCTCAGTCCGGCTTCTTCCATCACAACCTGGAAATCGTTGCTCAACGCACTGGCCTGTTTTTTGGCGGCTTTGCGCTCTTTTTTCGACAGCTTGTGAAAGCTGCTTGCCGATGCGGCAACCACAAGTGCCTCGATGTTGCTAGTCGAAGAACTTGAAGGAGATTTCTTGTCATTCTTCTTACCCAACATGCTCAAGCCTGAAGTAGCTGCGCTTTCGCCAGAGGAACCGGCAGGCGCAACAGCATCATCCTTCATCTTGGACGCTGTATCGCGGTCTTCTAGCAATGTCAGAGCTTTGTCAACTTTGCTTCCTAAGTCGGTCTGCTCCGCGTCTTCCTTTTTTTTGAAGACACGGCGAGACGCCAAGCTCTCCGCCATATCCAAAAGCACTTTGAGGAGGAACCATTCCCAGAAACGTGCTTTCTCGATTTTCTCCGCTGACCGATGCGCCTCGCCAGGAAAAAACGTCATGCGGCGCAAGGCCGCAGACTTCTGACAAACTTGCAAGAACGCCAGTCGCCACAGATGCACGTCTTCCTGCACGCATTCGACATCCCACGCGATGTAACTGTTCTGCTTCTGGTACTTCTCATCCTCACAAAATCGCGTGAAGATAGGAATCGGCACCATCGGAGCAGCGCCCATAGTCGGCTTGTACACCACACAGGGTAAGGGACACCCGGTAGTCGCTGTTGCACTTCCGGGAACAGCTGCAGTGATCTCATCGTTTAGTTGGATTCCTTTTCGGGACAAGTCAATGTCGAGGACCTCTGAGAAGATATCACTGGACAGCGTCAGAGTTCGGTCGTCCGCAGTCAACAGCGGTCGCTGAAACTCGCGCAGCTGCGCCGCACTCGCGGATTCGTGCTCAACCACCTCCATGCCTGCTTCATCCAGCGCCGTGGTCTTTGTGGATGGAAGAGATGGAACTTCGTAGTCGAGAGCAGCAACGACTTGGAGCCTTGAACCCTTCACCACGCTTGATCCGTAGCCGTCACGGCTTGTCCACGGGATGAGCTGTGCATTCGGAATGCGCACGCCGTCGCCCGTCACGGGGCCATCTTTCGGCTTCAATCCGGGCGCGGATGTCATCAGTCGCACGCTGTCTATGAGGAAGGTTTTCTTCATCGCCATCGCTTGCATGTACTTTTCGAGCTGTTGCGTGTCTTCCAGCAATGGACTAACGCCATTGAGAACGTGCTTGCAGACGTCCTCGTCGGCGTAATAGCTGAGAAAGGCGTCGGTACTCATTTTCGAGAGCGCCTCCTCATTGCTCTTAGCTTTGTCAAGCTTCGCTTGTCGACGGGCGCCGCGCTTTTCTTTGCTTGCGAGTTCCATGAGCACGCCGTAGGTAACGTTTTTCCGACGCTTGGATCCAAAATCCAACACGCGCATGAAGTGGTTCACGGCACGGGCTAGCTTGTTGCGCCCAGTCTTGTAATCTCCCAGCATTTGCATTTTCGCGGTTTCTCCACGTTGCCAGAGCTTCTTAAGAATCAGGGATCGGTCGTTATCGGATTTGGCGGCAGCCCAGGTTAAGTACTTGGTCTCCGCGCCCTGATCCTCCAGTTCCCAAGCGCTCTTCATCATGAAGTCGCCACTTCCTACAGCCGGAGGCTCTTCCTCCGAAGAACCATCACGAACGCCTGCCCATGGCGAACCCGGCTTCAGCGGGCAAGGGGACGTGCTTGAACCACTTGGCGCCGAACCGGGAAGAAAGACACCGTTTTTCGTTTCCAGGTCGGTTACTGGTACCTTGACGTCTTTCAGACGCGACGTCAATTCCAAAACCTCATCGCTCAGGATTTCCAGCAACCACGCGGTGACGAAGTCCGCGCACCATGCTTCGTCGCGTAACGCACAGCGGACTTCCTCCACCTCCTCCTCCGAGGCCTGCCACGCAAGGCTGGAGCCAAGTTTCGAAAGCAGAGGAAAGAGGTTTCTCTCCAAACTAAAAGCAACGCAAGTCTCGAAAATCTTCGCACGACGTCTAGCTCGTGCTTTCGCGAGTATCACAGTCTCATCGTGGAGCGCAACTTGTTGATCACCTCCGATTGCCGGCGCACTGCCTCCCACAGGAGGTTGCACGGGAGCAAGAGGTGTCTTTTCGTCGTCAGCGGCAAGCATAGTGCGGAGCGTTCTTGGGAAATTTTGCCGAAGCTCCCTCAGAATTTGCTTGCGGACGCCGATAACAACTTTGTCGCCAAGGGAAGTGCCGTAGTCAAGCAGGTTTTCACTGAGCAACGAAACCGTCAGTTCTTGATCCTGAACCTTTTTGAGAATGCTTCCTGAGTAGAGTGCTTTGGGGGGGACTTCCATCAATGCAGCAATCTTTTGCTCTTCAGAGGAGGTGGCCATCTGCAGCACATCGTCTCCATCTCCACTGTCCGTTCCTTCGGTAAGAGTCAGGACGCGGAAAATTTGCTCCATAGCAGCACCTACAATCTCCTTCCGCGTGCGCAGCAAAGCGCTAGTAGCAGGTGTCTGATTATTGACAGGACGCTCAGCACGAATCCACTGCCCCAAGGACTTGAGGAACTCCGTGATTTTTCCAGCGCCCGACACCTCCGCTTCGTCCTTCGAGAGAAAATCAGCTTTGGAAGCAACAAGTGCTTCTCTACTGTCGGCGCTTTTCAGGGTAGAGTGCTTCACCACGCGAAGCAACTCTGGTCTTTGGCTCGTTGAATCTACAACCACGGCAACCACCAGGGATTCAGGGCCACAAAGCAGAGCCGGGTTCAAATCCAAGTCCTGAAGCGCGCTTCTGCTCTCCGCCAAACGTTCCTCAGCATTGCTGTCACCGGTTGCGAAGGAATGCGTCTTGACAAGCACCAGAGCTGTGTTATTGATGCGGGTCCGGTCGCTTCCTGAACACGACCCAGTGGTCGAAGTCTGCTCCCTCCGAGCAGTGCCACCTGAGTCTTTGTTGTAATACTGGTCAAAGGCCATGGCTTCGTAGGGGATTCGGCACCTATCCGAAATCAGCATCACCGACGGACGATCGGCAGCCCAGTCCAGCTTGTCGATCTTTTCAGACAGCAAAAGAAGCGGGTGCTTCGTCGCCACTGCCTCAGTCAGCAGTCCCAAAAACGGTGGTCCGCGATACGGCAGGAGCGTCGCTGGCAATTGAGGTGCACCCACAGTTGCAGTTTTTGCGTCGTCCATGGGTACAAGACCATCTGTCGACTTGGCTGTGGACACATCATTCAAGACCTGCGGTTGGAGGGCCGCTCGGCCGGACTCTCCATCCATCAAACGGAATCCATTTTTGAAATCGACAAGATTGCAACTGGACAAGTCACCTTCCTCGAACAGCTGCATCGCATTCGCAATAGCTGAGACACCACAATCTTCATTCCCATGAGCATTAAACATCACAATCCCTCCAGGCTGACGCAGGGGCACTCCGGTGGGACGACGTGACGACTCAGAAGTGCCATCAACAACACCGCGTGCTTTATCCTTGTCCGACACAGCAACTGCATCCTCGGAGGCCATCGACGCGTCCACCGCATCTTGCTCTTCTTGCGTCTTGGTCTCCTCAGCTTTGTAAGCGCCGAGCGCCGCAAAGATATCTTTAGCCTGTTTCGCGAAGAAATCATAGAGCTGCTGACTTATGGCGCTGCCATCGATAGCCGGATCCACGTAGCCTTCCTGCGCCGTATTCAAGTAGAAGCGCAGGTGGCGTTTATTGTGCCGCTCAATCACCTGGAAATTGAGCACCGAATAGGAGATGCTACCCTTGATGCGCTCGTTCATCGGGGCCGGACAGTAGTACAACATACACTTGTCGCTGCTCATGTCCAGCTCGTCCTCCGGGAAAATAGCCAGCAAAAGCACAGGACGATTTTTTTCCCAATGCCTTAATTGCGTATTGCGGTATCCACTCACAGTGAAAGCCCCAGTGTCACCCGCGCGAACACTATTCGGATGCATAGTCCCATCCGGATTCGTATTCACAAACTTGAACTCGTGAAGCAGTTTCTGTTATAAATATGAATATGTGATAAGATCGTTGGATTGTGAAGATAAGAATATAAATGGTCACAGAAGTTGTGGTAGTAGTCTGCTACCTTCATAAAATCTTCAAACATCAGATATTTTCGGTTCCTTGCTTGGATCATTATGTAAGCTTAAGCATGATCAAACATTTCTAAGTGAGTATGACATTGACAAATATAATGTACTAGCAGAGATGGTGTTGATCCAATTATAGGAGCAAAGAACCGTTAATAGAAAATTGATCGGTAAGAAAATACCTGTGGCTGATTTTGGAATAGCTGGTCTCCGCTACCCTGTGCCGCGCCTCCCGCGTGGCTCGTGTTGTTCCAGGAGAGATTAAAGCGGGCTCCGCCACACATACTAAGATCGTAGTATGTGGGGTCCAACACCGAGTAGCAAGCCACAACGATTCGATAGCAAGGCTTCACTTCGACCAAAAAGTCGTCACCAGGTGACATCGGACGTAGATTCGACACTTCCGCGAAGTTGCGCGGTTTCAAAAATTCAGAAGCCCCGTAGCCATCTATCCCCGTCAGCGCTTCCAGTACCTTGCCATAGACGCCAGCGCTGTCGAACGAAGTGTCGGAAAGTCGTTCAACAAGAACTTTGCGCGTACTGTAGGGCACACCGGTGAAGGAAAAGAGGAGACGCTGTTTCTCGAGGACTTTTTGACCACTAGTACCAGTGGACGTCATTGCATTCGTAAGAGCAGAACTAGTAGCGCTGGTGCCCCAAAGTTCATGCACATCGAGGTCCATGATGGTTTCTCCTGAAGGATCAGCAGCTCCTTCACTTCCCTGCTTTTGAGCAAATAGCCACGCTGCTAGCGCACGATCGCTCTTTTCCTCCTGCATAGCTGCATTTTCGGAATCCTTTTCCTGACCAGAGGGCATCGCATTTCCACGTCTGATTCTGCATACGACGAAGCACGTGGCGCGATCTTTCACCGCAGCCTTTTCAGCTTTGTACGCTTCTAGCCCCACAGCGAACCGGTCAACGACACCAGATCCGGACGGAGAGCCTCCGCCGGTAGGGGAGTTGTTCGGGTCCACTTCCACCTGGCTACATCGGAGAAGAACGTAGTTATCGAAATACTCCCCTGTGCAATAGTACACGTGTCCGCGCAAGGCGCGCAGAGCAGCGGCGATGTCGTTCGCCTCGCAAGTACCTTGAGGACTACTCTCGCCCATCCTGTTGGTTCAAAAACAAAGAAAGAGAAAACGATTTAGCCTAGGAAGTGAAAACCACTGAAAGGAGAAGTGACAAAAACAAGGGCCAAACGGCTGCCTTGAGGACAGAGCTTGATTTTGGGATCGAAGAGGGAATGGATAACGCTTCTTAATGTTGCGGGTCAAAACCAAAAACGAAAACAACTCGTATAATCAGTTCGTTGAAAGATTTTCTGGCGCCGAAGTTTCTCACTGTTGGTTTTCTGAAAGATGAGAGCGATAAAGCATGCCAGAAGAGTCGATCATGTGGGTGGAATGACTAAGTATGCGGGCTCAAAGTCGTAACATCTACTAACTTCAAGGAATAGCAGTCGTACGTCAGAAATATAGTTTCACCAAGCCAGATCAGATGTTGATCCTGGATATTTGTGATTCGAAGAAAGTAAGATCTCCATCCTACGACATTTTTTACAATGTGAGTGTCGCCGGAAATGGATCGGAATTTTTCTCATTTTTAGATCTAGAAATCGAGAAGGGTTCCCAAATTTCGATTTCTTTTTCCGGATCATGCTGGCTTAGAAAGATCTCAATGGACATCTGTCTTGAATCGTTTCAATTTTGATTCTTTCGGGAAAAAATTTTCCGACATGATGTACAAACGGCGCATGATCAAGAACAGTAGTTTTTCAATATCTTCTTCTTTTTGGAAGCATCTTCTCCAACCGGTCATCTTCTAGTACATTTCTTCTATGTTCTACTTTCACTAGGCAACAAAGAACATTACTGCAGTTGTAAGTAAATAAAGTATATTTATTTATTAGAAGAAGGGTGGACTTTTCCTTCATTATTCAATTTGCTGTGGAGGCTCCGTCCTCAACAAGTCAATTACGCACCTCATCAAAACTGGAAATAGTGCGCTCGCGCACCTCTTTTTCGGACAGCGTTTGTGTACGAGTATCACCGCTGGGCATTTCAAGCCAATCCTGACATACCGCTTGTTCTCCTGCACGATTCAAGACGAGTGCTTGCCATCCATGATTTCGATTCGGAGCCAATACATCAGCCACTTCTAAACTATCGCCCACAGGCAGGATTTCGTCTGGTTCAAGATGGTCATGCTTCTCCTGAAGTAGATCCATATCATTATCATGGCCAACGCTACACCACATGGCCAAGAGCTGCTAGTACTCCACAAGAGAAGGCGCATTTCTTGGTCCTCTGCTATATAAAAAATTCGTCGTTCAGGCTTTTCAGATACTGACTCCTGGCTGCACACGAAGAAGGACAGAAAACGATGGAGCCCAAGTGCAAGTAGTGGCAGAACAGTATCGACCGTGCGCGCGGGTATGTTAGTCGTAACGCCCACGACGAAACTCGCTGTATTTGCCCACTCGAGGAAGGGCACCACGTCGTCAGAAACTGCGTAAGCTTGTGGGGAGCCGAAGTGTTAGTAGACACTCCGAAAAAAAAGCTCGAAATGAAATTCCTTCTCGCGGCAGTCCGCGTCTTCTCTCCTCGTCGTGCCACTTGCATCACGACCAGATGAAGCCATCATCTCGTCGCATTCTCTCGAAGCCTCACGCACACAAAATCGCCACCATGCTATCCTGCAAGCGGTGTTGCAGTCCTCCCACCGCCAAAATAGGGATACTGTGTGCACGCTTTTTTATAGGCACGCTTATTGCTTCAGTTCCGACGCTTCGGGGGCACCTGGATATTTCGTTTCCTTCGGTACTCTGGCGAAAGTTTCGTGAATCGGTTCTCGATGACGGATCAATGTCCCAATAACATCCAGGCGGATGGCACGGATATGACGAAGGGACGATCTTGATCTTGAAAAAGCTTGCGAGGAAGCCGAGGCTCCTGTTGAGATCATATTATTTCCAAACCTACTGCGGCCATGATGAAACTCTTTGGCTTCTCTTGTTCAGAACAGCGCGACTAGTGCCGACGGGTCAGGTCTCGGAGCGCTCAGCTTTGCTCGCATGCTTGCTTCATGAGCTTCAGGGTCTCCTTCCACGACAGCAACTGTCCAGGGCCCAGTCGTCGTGCGTTGACTGCCAAACTAGCACCCGAAACAGTTTGAATGTTCCGGCCTGGCCTCTTAAATCATCTAGAGCATGTCCACACGCCAACAGCCGAGTATCGAGTTAGCGACTGGGAAGACGCGCTTGTCGTCGAGCCTAAAGCCGAAGCTGAAGTTGAAAAGACTGATTGCCCTTGGGGGTTATGCGCTTGATTTTGAACTACTGTCGAAGATGATGTCAGTGGAAGATTCGGACATGTAGCCGATGTAGGGATAGTTGGTAGTAATAGGGAGGACGAGCTGGAGCTGGACGACGACGAAGAAGAGGCAGAGGCTGTGCTTGCAGCTAGTCCCTGTTGCGACACCGCTGAGGGCACCACTTCATTCGCAGAAAAACGGGAGTTGTCAAGTGATCAAACCTGATCGACTTCTACTTCTTGCATGTCATCCAATATCTCCCCCACTGCTTGGTAGGTGGCTTGCTCCTAAGGGCAAATAGCCCGACTACCACTATTTGCGGCTTCCCCGAGTCCCACACCTCCTTGATGTAGTGGAAGAGGCTGCTGCTAAAGTTCGTGCTGTTGAGGCGGAGGCCCTATAATGAAGGCATTTGCCACCTCCTCCGGTAATCGTAAGTCTGGTAACTGGCCAATAAGTTGAGGATTAGGTCTCAGAAATTCCATCGAAGAAATGACACCGCCATAATATCGCCGGAGTGTTCTCAACAAGTGAGGATCTCTCTGGGTAAGCTCGTTCCACAGCTGTGAGCCAACGCAGGTTTGATTGTCCGCCGTCTCCAATATGTCCAGAACTGCTGTCGGCAGCGCACCTTTCGCCGCATCACCTGTACATTCGTCTTCGGCCTGCGACATGGTGGTGATCCAGAGTTGAAATTGACGAAGGTCGTGGTGGTCCTGTAGTTGTACTGTCAACAAAGTCAAGGTGATTCTTGCTGAAAATTGCGACACGGGGATCAATGAAAAAGACACAAGGAAGACTCACTGTGACGGAACCTAAAAAAAGAAATCCACCTATTGAGGAGAGCCAAAATCATAGATATAACGAATATTAACCAAGTAGTTTGTAAGAGCCACAGAATCGAACTTCGGCCACGCTTCAAATGGTTTTTCTACTTGCTGTTCTATATCTATGCGCATGCGGACACAAATAATCGTTCCAATTTCGTGAGGATCTCACAACAAGTGGGAAAACAGTTAATGCTAGTCTCTGTTCCAAAAATCACAAAGTTCTGTCGCGACTTTCTCAAAAAACCGTTCCAGCCTAATAAATTAAACCCCGGCCAGCCTTTTTCAGGAGATAATTGACGAAGCTGATAACGTTTCCCCGATGGTCTTAGTCACTAGTGAAGGGGCAACCATCATCATGAAGGAGCAATCACGTTTTTCATTACATATCCGTCGGAGCAGGTAAGTATGTTGATTGGCAGTTTGAACCACGACGACCCACATTGTATAATTTTTTCATACGAGGATTGAAATCGTCGCACCAGTTTGCTATATTTTTGAGAACGACACCCGCTCCCGCGTAGAAGATGCTGAGCGAGGATTGGATCATCCAAGTGCCAATACGAGTCAGAGCACATTTTGAACCCGACACAGCAGTCCCCTTGTACGAACACGCAGCCAGGCGCGCGCTATTCTACGACAGTGCTTATTCCTCTATGTCCACTCAAATATGAAGAAAAATATACAAGAGTGTCGATATGCGTGGTGCTTGCTTATGAAGTCTACACGTCAAAAGCCGCAACACTCTGGACAGGGGTTTCTTAGGGCTGGGCTCGCGTCGCTCCGCACATATCGTTCAGGAATTCGGCGGCGGACGTGCGCAAGGTCTTGAGACATGAAGGTCCAGGGAAGAAACCTATCTTCAGCTACACTGCCGTCGCTCAGATTGATTACCATCCCAACGCGCTGTGCACTCACAAAAACGACATAACCTGCAGTGAGAGAGTTCCTGAGCAAGGCCAGAGTTGGATGTGTAGTCCGGAAGAAAAACAGATACTCGAACTTCCATGCAGACGTCGACGTCGTGGCTAGATTTCTAGTAGGAGCAAAGTTAGCTCCTGTTCTCGACAAGTTTTCATCTGCTTGTTCTGCTTCTGTGTCTTGTAACGTACTTCTACTCGAGGTGGAGGAAGAAGATGACTGAGGAGCATGAATTTTCCAGCCTTCGACGGGTTTCCCACCTTCTGGCACCACCGAAGTTTCAGACGAAGTGCGGGTAGCTTTGCTGTTTGCCGGAAGGCCTCGGCGCTCGCGCCGAAGGTAAGTGACGACGTTGATACGGTCTGAACTCCGTAGTATGACTACGAGTTTGCCCGTCTTCGGGTCGACAAAGGAGTGCACTAAACCACCGAGCCGCTCAAATTGTCCTACGAGCGCACGAGCCTCCAGGTCGATTATACACGTGTATGTCTCGGAAGATGATTTCGTCACGACGACCTTTTCTGCCGGATCACTGCCCTTATTACTAGTTGATGTTGAAGTCGGAGCTGCGGCACTGCTTCTTCGGGATGCGAGTGCAACAATGTTCGTCTCCACCTTCTTGGAATTTCTATCTTCAGTATCTTCCTCACGACGACGCCTATCAATGCCCTTTTCCGCTTTACTCTCGCTCGCTTTAGCTCCGTCCTCCTGCGTTAGCGATGTTCTTGACACAGAACGATCTTCGACGCTGGTCGTTGTCGTTGTAGAAGGAGCGGTGGAAGAACTTCTAGTACTGGTTTCACCCCTAGTTGGGCTAGCAGCTGTGTCAGCAGTTCGAGTTTCTTCACTATTTTCGTTGTCAGGTCGTGATGTCGTATGGTTTTGCAAAGTTCTCTCGTGCTTTCTTTTCCATGATGTTCCAGCTAGATGCCCGAGATCCAACCACTTCGCACCGAGTTTCGCTCCGTAATCCCCTAGCCATGACACCCAGTACTTCCCGAGGACCGGCTTAGCCTCCGAAATCTGCACCACTTTTGGTAAGTCAGCAATGCTGCCACTTTTCATGTCGGACGACGATTCAACAATGCTGCCCTCTCGTGATGCGGTGCTAGTTGTGTCAATATCTGTTGAACTGCTGCTGCTGCCACCACTTCTAAAAACATGTCGACTTCCACCAATTACCGTACCAGATGATTCAAATACATTCGTAGAAGTTAGGCCTGATGAACCACCTTCATCAATCGAATACAGTGCGTCGATGACCCTATCGCCACTCGCTACGCCTGATGACTCCAGCAGAAATCGCCGAGCCTGCTGCTCAACATCTTCCAGTAACCTACCTCCCTTGTCATGCACGATTTCACCGTCCTTTCCTGCTAATTCTTCTTCTTGTTGGCCGCGCCGTAGCACACTTCGCTGCCCTGCTGCTGCTTGCCTTGGCGGCACGACGGTGATAAGGAAGTTGCCTATTTTCGATTTTACATGCGTCTGAGCATGCCAGTTGTGTGTCGCCGCTTTCGCGCAAGCCCATCCAAGGCCACTGCTTTTCGCAGCAGACGAGTCTTCGTAAAGTGTAGTCTGTCCCCCCTCGACTTGCGCCGTTTGTTTGCAGCCTGCATTACAAGCGAACATCTGCTTAACCAACGCTAGTGCTCCAGCGTTACCACCAGCTGATGCCGTCATCGACGAAATTCCTTTTTTGTTTTCACTATCGGCATCAGAGCCACTGCTAACACTAGTGCTGCTCTTTTCAGACGACGAGGAATGATCTGCTGCAACGGGCACAGACTCAAGCTTCGAATCTTCATCCCGACGAATGGAACCCGAAGATGCAGTACTTCCCAGTTCTCTAACATTATCTCCGCTACTTGTGACCCCACGACCACACGGCGGCCTTCCCGTCTCAGCAAATGTGGCACTTTCACTACCTGGTCCAACAAAAACGACCTCCGTCTCGCCACCAGCATCGAACCTGTGTTTCGTCGTTGTAGGGCCTGGACAAGATGGATGCGGGTGGTGCAGCAGCTTGCAAACTTAACTATAACGCCTGTGAAATCAGTACTGGCTGCTTCAATCATCTGAACTACCTCAGTCAGATCTCACAGCTCAAACAAAAAGTACGATTTCTTATCCCAAGGATAGGCTATTCTTGTATCGCTGCCCTCGCTATACGGATCGCTGCTACCGCTCCCACGATTTTTCGGATTTTTCGAAACCAATAGAGACAAAAACATCATTAGCATGAGGAAGCTCGCCAGACCCGAGTATCGACTCCGAGGGTCCTCGGCAGGGGCACCACCTCCTGGACCACCAGCGCCAGGAGGCTGCCCACGCGGAAGAAAAATCATCTGCGTTCTCTGATTTTGATCTGCTATCAAAATTTTCGTTTCTGATATCTAACTACTTCTGCTCGTGAAGAATCTGAATTTCTTTCTTAGTTCATCGCAACGTTCGCTCTTCCAAATTTTGTATCGTCTTCTTTAACATGCGAAGGCTCCTCCATATTTCTAGCATGCCTTTTTTCTCGATCCTCAGGATTTTTATCACAATAGATGCGCATGGGCTGCTCGCTTGCGCTCGTAGCTAGGCTAAGTTCTGCTATTCTATTCCACACTCTTGTTGATACACAGACTGATCTATGGACCGAGCTGCAATCTCATTCTCTTTCTTACCCACGCTTACTAGCAGAAGACTATTTTCTGGAGAGACAAAGATTGACAAGGGCAATAAGCCGTCGGTCTGGCCAGGGAACAAGGAAAACAATGCAAATACCAAGGTCGCGATGACAAACTATCGAGTTGATTCTTATTGTACTGGTACAACAAGCTTTCTTGTCGTCCTATTGCAGTAAGAGTTCTGCGTACTAGCGGGGATGGGGAGTGAGATGAGATTTGACGCTTGTGGTCATGAAAGTCATGTCCTGAAACTTTTGTTTTATCTTCATTCCAAGCGAAAAAGGATGACTTGTGCGTTAAAGATGGCAAAGACTTCGCTTAGGTCGCCTTTCTTCAGTTTGAACGCTTCCTCTTCCACTTTCTTGTCGAAGACTGCTGTCAGTTGACCCTTCCGAATAGGTCCTAGCACCCAGTACTGTTTGTCGCAGTCGTTCTCCATGGTGGACATGTTGAGCCACTTGGTTTTGAGTGCGGTGATTCCCCCTCCAATCTCCGCGTTCTGAAATTTTTCTCGCAATGTGCTCAGCTTCTGACGCGCCTCCTCCTGCGTAAGGTTGATTTCTTTCTGTCGCCACGATTTCGAAGCTTTGCCGAAGAAGTCACGGTGTCGTTTTTCGAAGATCAGAATGCGGATTTCGTCACTTCCACGACAAGCACGGTCACTATTCATCAATGTCGAAACGCCCGCTTTCTTCCCCGATGACGATGCTGAGACCACTGCTCCACTTCCTCCTTGCCTGTCATGGTCCGTGCGGCTGCGCTTCACAACGGCGGTGCTACCGGATTGGTCCCCGTCATCGTGGTAATCATAACGAGGCCTTTTGCCCGTCTCCGTTGACGCGACAGGAATATCGAATTGCGTCGTGCCCGTGTGCTTGTGCTGGTAGTAAAAAAGACCCGGCTTTGACCTGCTCTCGACTTTGAACCAATTGGCGGGCAGTGGATTCCCAGCTGCATCTAAGAACTTCTCTTCCTTCGTCTGCTTCGTTGCTTGCAGAGCACGAAACTTATAAGCCGCAGTGTCCGTGATCTGTATCGTAGGATAACAACGATCACATACTTCTGCTTCTCTTTTTTATCATCAAGGTTACAGAATGAATCAGTTTGAAGTTTGTTGACTTCAACAAAATCGTAGCGCATAGTGGATCTTTAACTTTCTTTCATGTCTCTGTGTAAGTCTCGGCAAAAACAAAAATTTGGATGAGTACCTCTCCGCAATCAACGATGAGGCATTCTCTAGATGGCTTTCCGTTACGGGTTCCGTAGCCCTCTAATTTCAAGACTACGTCCATTCCCGAGATCACCTCGCCGAAGACCACGTGTTTTCCGTCCAAGCTTGGCGTTGCTTTGCTGGTGATGAAGAACTGACTTGCGTTCGTGTTTCTCCCGCTGTTTGCCATCGAGAGGAGGAAAGGCTTGTCATGCTTTACTTGGAAGTTCTCGTCGTCAAAAGACGGGCCGTAGATGCTCTCCCCGCCTCGGCCGCTCAGCAAGTCTAGGTCGCCTCCCTGGATGCAGAAGTCAGGCACAATGCGGTGAAACAAGGTGTTGCGGAAGCACATCGGCTTTTGTTTCTTGCGCGTGACGCGACTCGAGTGAAGTCCGACACAGAGCTGGCGGAAATTTTCGGCTGTGCGCGGGCAAACGTCTTGGAAGAGTTCAAAGACCACGCGTCCGATGGTAGCGCCCGTTTTAGCATTCTTAGTGCGGTCCACGACGGCACCAGCCGCGCCTACGTCGTCGTCGCCGCCGATCACGATGCCGCTGCTTCCACTGTAAATACCTCGCGGGCCGCCACCGGTCTCAAGGCCTACCACTCCTATGTCGAAGAAAACCTGCGGACGCAGGCGATTGATCTTGTCACTGCGATTCGCCAAGCCGTCCGAGCGCGTGGCAGCACCAGACCAACCCCGACCATCGCCGACGATGCCGAGCCCTATGCCTGCCTGTTGCTGTCGACCAGTTGCCATTCTGCCTGAAAAAGCAAAAACTAAGTTGTAATCTACCGGTGCAGCTGCTGGATTACAACTAGTAATGAGTATGAGTTGTAGCGTTCATGATTGCACAACGAAAGCAAAGTACTGAAGCTGAACTACTTACGCAAGGAAAATCTCGTGTTAATTTTCGGAGGGGCTGCCTGATACAAAATTCAATTTTAAAGTCGCTAAATACAGAAGCAGATGAAGAATCAGCATGGATCTCCGACATAATTACTGAACGCAAACGAAAATTTGTGCCAGTTGTTTCTCTTTCACCAATACAATAAATCTCGCACAAAATTCAGTGCAGACTTCCTTAAGGGCGTGGTAGTGTTTCATCAGTATGCTACTCCACAGTCCACAAAAGAGATTAAGCTACTAACTCGAAGCGGCACGGGACTGGGAGGGGAAGTGATAACTTCTTTGAACGCTATACTTAAACAGTATCTTTGGCGTAAACATGATCACAAACGCTTTCAACAACGAGAAATACAAAATCAAATATCGAGCAGAGGAGAGGAATAGCAAATGGAGCGAAGGAACAGAAATATACAAAAATGATCCTCTGAACAAGAACCACTGCCGGACAGATGACCTCAACGATGAGACCCTAGAGCCATTACCACTTGATCATCGCTTGAGATTCACATTCATCTACTTACTCTTACTTACTTTTCCGATGATCCACCACCGTAACTTTTTCGTAGTCATGTTCATTTTGATGTGATTTTTCTTACTGTAACGGCTGATTACTCCTGAGTCCTGTTGTAGGCACGAACAGCAGTACTTAGAGAACAAAATGCCAGAGCAATGATCCACGTCGGCGGCAGAGATGGAATTTTCAGTAAGAAACTATCTTGATGAAATCGTATTACAATTTGATGAGGTTTGGAGTATTATGTATGCTTCACGCGTAACCACAGTACAGTGTATTGCTGATGAAAAACCGTGTGCAGCAGGACGACTAATCGACATATTTATCAGTCATCGTAGTAGCTTATGCTTTTCAAGAATACATAGTAGAGTTTAGGACAGCAGGAGGTTTGCGATTATTTACTAGAAGTAGAATAATAACAAAGAATAAAAAAGCGGCCACTTACTCATTCTCTCCTTATGTAGCTCCAGTGGATGTTTTCGGAGTCCAGATAGACAGGGCCTTCCAAGCGCTTGCCGTAGTCTTTGTAGGCTTGCGTACCCGGACGGCGCATGTTCAATACGGCGAGCACTATTCCATGAAAATCCCAATAACGGAAATCATGTCCTGCAGCTAAAATCTTCGTTTTGGGATAGAAATACCGCATGTCATCATGGCATCCCTGGTAGCTATGGTCACCGTCCACGAACAAGAAATCCACTTCTTGGACAGACCGAGATGCCGCCTGACAAATAAGAACGAATACGAGGTGCTGAGGAAAATGTTCTTGATGACCAAGGATACATTTTTACGAATATTGTGCTGAACCAAACAAGCCTTTCATCTAAATGCGAAACATCAAAGAGACAAAAATCGTTTTTACTTCAGAAGTCCGTTTATGCGTGTAGATCCCGCTTTCTGTTGGCGGCACGGTCTCGCCTTCAGCCATCTCGCGTATTGGGAAGAGCGAGCCCTGTCCTGCAAAGCCCGGCTTACCCGCCTCCACTCTGCGAATGCGACGTAGAACGTTTGCGTAGACTGCATCTCCACTATTTCCGGAGTTTATTTTCCAACTCTCATGCTCGTTATACCAGTCTAGCATAATCTGAAAGCCCGCACCCTCAATAATCCACGGATCAATCAGATTGTACTGCACAGGTACTCCACGACCAGGTTTGAGCGGCTGCCTTCTCGCATACTTAGATGTCTTGAAGTAGATTCTTATTCTAGAGCAAGAAATACACAACGCGTTTGTTCACCATGGTGATCATCCTGCTCAAGTCTATCTTCGACAAAGAACTGTTCTACTTCTAACTACTTCCGTACTTACTCATCTCCTGTATTTCTATCTCGATAAAGAATTGAACTACGAGCTCTTCACTCCTCGTAAGATCTTTGCCCCCAGCACTCTGCAAGTTCCGTCGCCTTCGTGCTGGCATGGAATTGTCCGCAGTCAAAGCTTCTTCTTGCGCAGCCAGGAATCCCTCTAGATCATTTGGAAGGCTGAGTGTGTCATTCACACGACCACTACGCGATTCGAAAAACTCATCTTCATCGTCTTCAGGAGAAGATGACGACACAGATGTAGCTGCAACTGCCCCAGCCAGTTCTTGACTAGCGCGTCCCTTATTTGCGTCTTCTTCCCTGTCAATTTTCAGATCGTCTGAGACAACTACTCCGTTATCAAACGGCTCGATTTCACCGTACGCATTGGTGCAGTTCTGCAGCATGTGCAGAGTCGTTTCGCCAGCAAAAACGCCGATTTCTGCCACACGCAAGACTTCCAAATCCGGGTTCTCGGTGACTACTTTACGACATAATGCGCAGACGACGTGCCACCGTCGCGTGCGCGGATGCAAGGACCAGTCGGGAGGTAGTCGAAACAGGTTTTTCACCAGCGAACTTAGAACACGATGAAAGTAAAACGACTACGATACTTCATTCAAGGGGATACATATACCCAAGGGAAATGGCAAGAGAAGATGATCGTCCAACTCTCCATTTAAACACTGAAGAACCCATGATTGCTTGCGTAACTTTTTGTTTTTCGGTCCTTAGAGACCTTGCAAATTGTTAATTCATACGCATTAGGTTTCGGGGGTCAGAATCGGAGATGGAGATCAAGCACATTAATTATGATCATCATGAAACGCGGAACTTCTACTTGATAGCAGAGACCTAACAAATGTCGATCGTGACCGCGAAAAGGCAAGTTCACCTCTTCCTTAGTGTGCTGGTCTAGCTTCGTGCGGAGGAAGAAATTCATCACGTCCCACTGGATGTCGTGAAGAAGCATCAGCTTCGCGTTAACCTCTAGAGACGTATCGCGCCACAACGTCGCCATGTAGGGTAGGTGACGTCGAATCTCACGCCCCTCCCCGTCGTGCAGCCGAAAGAGAGACGCCTCTAGTACGAAAGCCCCCTGGGAAGCAAACTGAGCTGCTAAATCACGGTGGAAACCATACTGAGAACAATTCCGTTCTACAAAAAATCGACTCATTTTGGGTCCTCCTAAGGCCTTGCTCAAAGTTCCTGAGTGTTTCCTTCTATTGTGATGCTCCTGTTGCGACACAGCAACCGCACTTGATCTCCCATATTCCCAATTCTGTATTTCCTCTTCGTCATGCATGTGCTGCAGGACCTTCTTAACGTCCTCCGGATTCCTCACTTCCTGAAAAAAGCGATGCAGGTCATTGCTCACCCTAGCTTCCGCGAATGCCGCTGCTCGTATTAGACGCCACACACTTATACTCATCGATCTTTAAGTGCATCCTTGACGCGTTCCCCCCTTGAGAAAGGGGCCAAAGATGCTTCTTGAGATGAAGTGTTGTGAGCCTTAATCGTACATGCTGCATGCGCTCCGAGCAGAGGTGAAACCAGGCTCGAGCCTCCCGGTGCAAGCAGATCTCGTCCTGTGGCGCAATCGCAGCGTTGTGCAGGTCCTGGGTGAGGACGCGGCGAACGTAGTTGCGGGGATCGCAGTGGTTTAGAGCTTACCCGAGTTCATCTCTGTGGGGATCCCGAAAGGAAATGCGTCAGCGTCTCCCTTCCATTGGGGTGAATACTGTTGCGAGATGTCTATAGAGATGGATTAGGGGAAGCCTTAAGTGGTGCAGCCATTCGGGCAAAGGCGAGGGACCCAACTCCACGACGCCCTGTGGCTCGACGACCTCAGCGGAAGCAAATACGAGAGGAGCCAGAGAACTCACCCAAGCAAGCCTGATGGCTTTGCTTCGCCATTTCAGGCGACACACTGACCGCGAATCGTTTTTCCTCGAAGCACCCATATTTGCAGCTTGGTATCACGAAATTGACGATCTGGCCGCCGTATCATGCGTCTACAGTACTACGACGAACTCGATCGTTGGGGAACTAGGTTCTTCCAGTCTTCTCACCGTCCTCCCAAGTTTTACGAACGACCACAAGCGCGCTCGTCTAGCCAAAACCTCTTGCATCCGTCTGCTACCTGGGCTTTGCACGCTCCAGCTGTCTAGATCGCAGGCCTGAGAGAATCATCGCTTGAGAAGCGTAGAAGCTATACACGCTTCATCGGCCTCAATGGAGGACCTGTTGTCGTGGAACGCAAGCAACCACGACATCATTCTTGTTTCCATATTTTCTTAGGTGATGTCCTCTTTGAAGAATGCGTCTGCTTACGCTATTCTTATGAACTGTAGTGTATTACTTGCATGTCCTGCACCAATGATTTAAGCTATCTCGAATATATAATCTTCAAGTTATCCAGTCCCCCTAGCTTCACTTAGTACTAAACGATCTACAGGCTGCAAATGGATATGAGTCCTCCCTTCAGCGCTCAACATCTCAATAACTCACGCTGAGTCACTCACCTTTGAAAAACCAGTCTCAACACTACAGCTCTCCCCAAGATCTCTTCGCTCCGGTTGATTATCAATGTTGCAGTATCAGAAACACGAAGTACCTAAACAAGAATGATGAAGGGTGCACTAGACAAATCGATTCTTTATGGTTCGGCGGATTTTATCACAACAAAGTGGCACGTATTGCGGTGCTCTTGCTTTATTTCATCGTGAATACATGAAAGTCTGCAAGAAAACTTGCCAATGCCATTGAAGTGAGCGGTGCTAGTATATAAATCAAACTACGGTAACAGTGTTTTCTGTCGCTAAAAAAACTTCGCGTCGCGTAGACTCGCAAGAGCAGCATTGTAGTCTTTTGAGTATCGCTCTTTAGGAGGAACCCTAGCTGCAATCTCCTCGTCAACATCATCCCCCATGCCTAGTGACCGACGCCTCGCACGAGTCCGAAGATCGCTTATCTGCGCCTCTTCGTGTCGCCGCTGCATGCGCGCCATCTCGGCCGGGCCAACGTGTTGATCGCCTAGCACTCCCGAGGGTCGCTGTTCTAGCAAAGCCGCCCTGTCGAAGTCGCCAAAAGGGCCTGGCTGCAGAAGTTTTACGGCATGCTGCTTTTGTTGCGTAGAACCAGGTGTAGAAAACGACGCCGGGTTGTTTGCTGCTGGGCTTTCTTGTCCGAACTTTCTTGCAAAAAATTTACGCTTCGCTATCTGAGTCTGCACTGGCGTATCATCCATGATCATCTCTTCCGTCGCTGCTTCGTCAACACCAAATGGCCATAGTGGAGCAGAACCAAGTGTAGTGGTACTTCTAGGTCCTCCTTGAGTTTGAGGCTGCGACCCTTGAGCTTGAGACTGCGACGTATGTAAAGACAATTCGATACGCTTTTGATCTAGACCCGAATATCTGTTCCGCATTTTCGCTAGCTCTGCTTCTAGTGGCTCCCCAAAATTGCGCCGAAATCGTCCTGCGGCATCATTTTCGTTCCCTAACCGCTTTGCCAGTCGTTCTGCGCGAACGCGTAACTCATCCAGCTTTTGAAGCTCGTCGTTCGGCGCTATACCGCTTGGAGGACGACGAGTGGCTCCAGGTTCCAATCGAAGAGGATTGTTATCTACCATCATCCCACCGGGCAAAGGATTAAAGGCAGTTTGTCACTATCCCAAGTCGAGTGCGTTCCCCTTTTTACCCCTCATCTTCCCCTTTAAATCAAGGAGGACTCCACTAGGCATAGTTCACCTGGGATAGTGATATACTACCCTTAAAAGGACCTGTTGGGGGAATTGAATTCCTTGCGCCGAGAAAACCACTCCCTAGCTTGACCTTTCTCGAATCATGTTCGACTTCAGCCACTGCTTGGTCGACAAGCGATTTCAAACTCGACAGTTCCTTCAAAGGCATGGATGCGAGGGCGGCTCGACGACCCGCACGCACTGCAGCCTGCGCAGTGGCATTCAGCAAATTGGCTTCCATCGCGTTGGCGCGAAGCTGCTCAAGGTCGCGATCGAGGCGGCGGTAGACAGCCTTCATTTCTTGGATCGCGTGCTCGCTGGCGGCCGCAAACACTGCAGCGCGGGCGGCGGGTGGAAGCCCCGGATGTCCCAAAGGCTGCATTTGCAGCATTTGCGGCAAGAAAAACGTGCTTTCGTCACGACTCAACTGCAAGGCCTGGACAGACGCCTGATCGGCGCCCGTAAGCGAAGGAGCTAGCATCTTCGCTATGTTTTTCACGAAAAAAACGAGCAACACTAGACTCGTGCTTGTGGGGCAAGAGCAGTGAAATAAAACTTTAACGAGATACGTACCTTTTCAATTCTTGCATCTTCTTTCTTGTGCCGAAAATTGAAATCGAGTTTACTTGAACTTGATGAGACTCTTGAGATAATAAATGATAAAGAGCTCACTACAAACAGTGAGTGGCAGTAAAAAGTGGAATCAGGGAGCGAAGACAGCCTCCGACGGGCAATACAGGGCAAACCACAGGTTCCTTCAGCTGAGCAGACAAGGTGCTAGCTACGTGAGCTGCTCAAACCGATTCGCGGACCGAGTACAACTGAGACACATCTGCAAAGGCATGTCTGGAAGGCGACGGACGTCGAACCGATAGGTTGAAGCGTTGCATTGAGCGTATTCGATTTCGAAATACGGTCAGATCAGAAGTGTCATCCCGAACTCACCAATTTAGACACGATACAAGAACTCGTCATTGTGTATCTCACATACATAGTTCTTCTTCTTTCTGATTTCTGTCGTGCTATCCTTCCGATTTGGTTCCCATGATTACGATTGGCTCCAGAATGCGCCTCCGGAATACTTTCTAACGATTCTGCAAGCGAAGATAACCTAGCTCCCGATCAGCATCAGATCGAGAGATTTGATCAAGTCATGGATATTTACGACGAACATCACACCTCACGTTTCTGATCCTCTGCCACTCCTTTGAGTGTTTCCAGAAGTTGACGATGATGCGACGCCCGGTCGTCCATGGACGGGTGCACATTTTTGATGTGGTTGGAGTAATCAAAGACAGCCCGCATGAGCGTAGTAAATGTGAGTATCCTAATTGATTTTCGATCGTCGTGGCCAAGAATTCCACGTCCTGACATATGAGTTTTGCTCTTGATTCTTAACGGCATAGCGCTCGTTCTTGCTTCCTGCATTTGATGAACCGCCTTTCTATCAGCTCGGGCGTTTTTCTTTCTCTATTTAGTTTTCGAAATCGAAGAATTGAGTCTACGTATTCATTAAGGGGTGCTGGGTATCATTGTCCCATCTCTATGTAGCAACGTTTAGGGGGAAGCCATACGACTCTAATTGTGAACATAGATTGATATGTTGTTGGTTTGAAAGTATTCATAGAAATGCAGCAACGACATCGAGCCTGTTGTCCACCGAATACTTCACAGAGCCTATTTCAGGCATCAAAGTATGCAAGAAAGTGTGGACCAGAGTGGATGATGCCCATCTGAGAATCTGAGTGCATGATGTCAGTCTAAGAACGTGAGTGTATAATAATGCTGCCTCGTTAACACGATCTGCGTATGATGTTTGCTTACGAATCTGAGTGTATGATGTCTGCCTAAGAATCTGAGTGTATGATGTCTGTCTAAAAGTCTGAGTGTATGATGTCTGTCTAAGACTCCGAGTCTACAATGTCGGTCGAAAAAATTTTGTCTAAGGATCCTGATGCTGATGGATGATATCGCCCTAAAAACCTGAAAGCTGCGGATAGATGTGAATACAGCTGAGAGCAATCTGACCTACGAACACACCCGAGCGCAGCCTCACCTACGAACCCGAGCGACGCATTAGCCGTTTTATGAAAACCTTCGGTTTTGTCTGGCGTTTGTCATACACCATCTGCCGTGTACGTAGGTAAAAGAAAAAAACCGAATGAAAACTATCTCATCCACATCATCACCAGTTCAGTATCGATAAAATACTCATCCACCCCCCTTTTTCATTTTCCTTAAATTTGGTCGTAACGCGTCGCGTAATCGCCACGAGAAAATATGAAACGCGTCTGTCCGCATGAAGCGAGAGCAGCCGGTGCGTCATGAGATATCCCTGTTTACTTTACCTAGCAGGGGCACCCCATGAAGTACAGGAGCGAAGGTACCTATAACACCATGCTCCTGTCGTGTTGACGATGTGTTGTCACCGCGAGCATTACGACAACTGAGCACAGCGTGGCGAGGTATTCTCTCCGTCCATTCATACACATTATATCAATACGATTTAAGTGTGTATAATTTGCGAACGCAAAGCGGGATCGCCATCTTGCATGCTGATGACTACCGTCGTCACCTTTCGGTCGGAATGGACACTGAAGGAATCAACTTTTGTGTAAACGAGAGTCAACTTGTGGTTGTGAGTAAAGAACTAGTACAAACACACAATGACAAAGCCGACAAAAGTAATAGAGTGCTGCTGGTGCGCCCCCTATTCCTATTGCGGTTGTCCGGCATTCAATACACTGCGGGATCGATGAAAGAACGTCACTTATTTGCAACATCTCCAAGAGTGGGGAATTCTCGGTAAAACGGTAATTACAGAGGCCTGGAGCCATTTTTTATCTAGCAAAGAACTACCTAATTGATTCCGATTGCTATCTTCTGGGAAAAAGAAGATGTTCATGATTTACGGAACCGAAAAATCAAATAAATCTAATTTTTCGCCAAGAGTGAAAGTGGGTATTCACAATGGAGAGAGACCCACGATCTATACATAATGATGCTTCGCGCAATATGGGCGAAGAAAATTGTGACGAGGCTGATGCGCTCTTCCAACCCGAAACACGGACAGAGGCAAATCCAGGCGGCACCCACGAGAGCGGGGAAAACTAACTAAGCTAGAGACAGACTGACTGCGGCCACTGCACGTGTCAATGTCAAACGCAAAAAGAAACGACGGGCCCGCGCGCTGCGCACGACCTCGACCATGCAACGACAAAGCACCCCCACACCCAAACAAAATCAGAAGCCCCAAGCCGACGCACTGCACCGCCAATAAAAAGAAACAAAAAAACCAAGCGACCAGCAGAACGAGGCAGAAGCGCTCAGCGGCTACCCCTACGGGGCAAGCCGAGAGTGAGAACCCTTCCACAAAGGAAGACGAGAGACTGACCCACGGCAGGCCTGACACTCACTGGGGAAACGAAAAACAACGCAACCCACGCTGCCACTGGACGCAAGAGCCAAACACCAGCACACCAGCTACCCAGCAACACACTAGCCGCGAAAAGCAGCGAGAAACAGAGCACCGCCAAGCCTGTGCGACACAGACGAGAAACTGAAAGCCGACAGGGGAAACAGCGGACCGGTGCCGTAAAGAAAACGGAAGAGCCCGCGCCCACCACCCGAAGACATCCAGCTCGCGGCTAAATCTCTCACCTTCGTCCACCTCTCTCGCCCTTTGCAGAGCCGTGACACACTTGGCTGCACCCGCAACAGACAACCGCGGGCCCCCCTTTTGATTCTCTTTCTTCTATGTATGCACTCGGCGCGCGGCCGCTTCTCTCAATAACTTCCAAGCCATGCGGCCGCCCCCGGGAACTCACAGACACCAAAACGGCACCGATATGCGACAGATACAGAGGAAAGAACAAAATGGGATCCGATGGGGCCGGGTCGTGCATTACGTCGCCCACTGCCTCCAACGAGCCGCCAACAGGGGGGCAGCCGCGTGCGTACAACCCCGCTTCAAATTTCTCAACTCGGTCGCACACCGGCGCCCGCGCAAGTTGAACACACTAGACACCACAAAAGCGGCAGGGCGACGCCGATACAAGCACGACCAGCAACCATCTCCCAAAGCCCTTATACGCAAGAAACATTTGTGAAAAGCCGATAAGAATACAATTAGTACCATAAAGATAATCAGCAGTAATGGGATATACGATTTCCTGAAAAGCTGTGGTACTAGTGAAATATGTAGGAGGGGATCGGACTGAACTGTTGTACTAGCTTCATCACCAAGGCCTTTCTATTTGGGGTTGTTGCTATCCGGTTCCCCGTCTCCGCTTAGCAAATTTCTGTAAAATCCAAGAAAGGAGGAGTCATCATGTGACGGTGTATTACACCAAGCACCCAGTGGGCTGGGTCGCACGTTAACATCGTCTCTAAATCGGATACGGATCCGATCGGAGGCATCTGCCCCCAGAGCACCTTTCTCTTTCTTCCCGTGATCTCGCTCACCGGGTATCAGCATTTCCTGCGCTTGCTCACTCGGGGTTTGTCATCGCTTCAGGGCATAGGAGGCGCAAAGATTTCCACAGCTCATGCTCCAACGCTTGCATCGGGGTAATTCGCTGCTTCTTATCCAGATTGATCATCTTCTGCATGAGGTCATTGAATTCAATTGCGAGCTTTGCTCGCACCATCTTGTGCAGGTCCCCCAGCGCAACATCTGTTGTTGGGGCTACAGGCGCACTACCTGGTAAGCCTGTCCCACCTGAAGTCGCTGGCTGGGCTGCGCTTCCTGTTCCCGCTTGCGCCACCGCATTGAGGCTGGCCGGTGGACCTCCTGCACCTGGTGGACGTACGAGTGGCGGAACTGCGGCACTGGTAGCGGAACTAGCTTGTGGCCGACCATGCGGTGTAAACGCGGGGCGCGCGCCTATGCCTGGTGATTGCTGTGGTGGCACTGCGCCGCGCGGAAGTACGCCTGCCGGACGATGCCCTTGCGGAAGTGGACCGCCGCGCATAACTGTCCCTTGCGCCTGCTGTGGTGGATGTGCGCCACGCGCGAGTGCCCCTCCCGGACGGTTCGGCGGAAGTGGACCTTGTGCTGGGCCAGGCGCGTTAGATGAGCTCTTGCTCATCATGTTTGGAGGCAGTGGACGATTCCCCGCAGCTGGAGGAGCTCCTTGAGCCGGTGGAACAGGTGGTGGCGCGCGATGCGCACCTTCGAGAAATAGCGGAGGCGCAGTCTCGTGCGTACCTTCCTTCTCGATGCTGTCACGGGACGATTGCGGCATCTCCACGTCCTCTCCACTGGCCTCGGGCCCGCTCTCGTTGGAGGAGTCGCTGTCGCTTGAACTACTGTCATCGCCACTCGCGTTGTCGTCCTTACCGCTTTCGTCTGCCTTCTCGGAACTATCTTCAGAACCCCGTCTTTTACGCTTCTTGCTTCCCGAAGCTTCACCTCCATCTGCTCCATCTTCGTCCAGCCCGCCCTCAACGTCTTCTACAAGATCGTTGCCCACGGCTGCGCCCTGATCCAACTCGTCGCCCGCGACCTGCTCCTGGTCCATTTCTTGCTGCATCGGCTCGAATTCGATGCGCTCTACGTCGTCCCCCGCGTCCTCCGACTCGCCGGGGGACTCCTTTGATACTGCATCAAAGCCAAAGGCTTCGGCAATGGCTGCGTCCTCTTCGTTCTCGTCGTCATCAGACACCTCCTCGACCTCCGGCTCAAAAACCTGGACAAGGTGATAATGTGGCTGTCGAGCAGAGGGTCGGGAATGTGTTGTAGTCTCGCAGTTGATGTACTGGAGTCAATCAATAAAAGTTCTGTTGCTCAGTTTTCAGAATCCCTGTGGACGAGGCTGGTCTGCGTGAAACTAAACACAATGATCGACTTTTTGTTCAACACAATGAAGATAACTAATAGATACTAAAAAAATGTAGTTATGTACCTCCTCTTCACAGCCGATTTGTGTGACATCGTAGTTCAGCTCCTCTCGTTGTCGCGGATGTTTACTTGTCAGGGCCGCGCGACGAAAAAACTCTTGGCGCTTTTTCTTATCCTTCAGTAGAGGCTCAACGAGGCTGTTGGAAAGTGCAAGCGCCTTTTTTCGGTACTTCAGGATAGAAGTCGGAGCTTCAAACTTTTCCTGGTCAATCATGTGGATTGTGCCAGGCTGCTGGGACTCACGAATTCTCTGGTACTGGCTCGGGTCTACCCCCTTGAAGCGATGGGGCCGATGCGCCTCCGTCGAAAAAGAAAAGTAGTCGCGCGCCATGGAATTCCTCGCCAGCTGCTTACCGTTTGCCTGCACGATTAAAAAAAAAAGCGCATTTCATTCTAGCAGTAGTGGCACACGCTGTAACAAAAAAGAAACTCAGAAAGTCCCAGTAGTCGCGGCAATATTTGTCCAGTCTGTCTCAGAAAAAGTTCAAGTTATATTAGCGGTACGTCCGCTGGATGCATAGCCCAGGAGGCCATCTTTTGCTTCCCGTCGGCATCGAGTTCACCGGTATACGCCTGGTCGTTCCATGCCTGGTTCGCCCTATCGACAATCTCCCGAGGCATTGGGCCCGTGATATTCAGAATCTTCTCGAGGTGGCAGCGCTTCCTGTTTATGTAGGTGCAGTACTGAAAATATTTTCCAACACTCAATATTACATGTGTACGTCGAGGGAACGAGCGAGCGCTTGACGTATCATGTAAAATAACAGATGACACCAGGTCTCCATAAAAAGGCGGTGCCACCGGTGTAAGATAGCTCTTCTACATTGACTTAGTAATATTTATTTCTCTAGTAGCACAATGGATATTTGGCTGCGTACTCTTTTCGTTGAAAAATCCATCAGGTGACTGATAAGTATCATAGTGTCGCACCCGAGAATCACGAGTTTCGGCACATTCGGAAAGGTGACTGTGGAGTGGAAGAGAACTTGGCCCGTGAATACGCAGAAAAGGGTAACGGCTGCGCTCCACATATCAATGGCCGGCGTCAGTGGCCAATCGCCTATCGTCACTTCCGGAGCGCGGTACCAGGGGGGTTGTAGATTGTCTGCCGGGGTGCATTTCTTAGAGGTTCTGGTAAAAACTTGGTAGGTCTATGAAGGTAAAAAGCACTGGCACTAAAAGTTCTAGTGGTGCCTGCATCGAGCACGACTAACGATGGTAGTAAAACTTGTTTCAGCGCCGTTGTCGTTGAGGTGGAAGCTCTCTAGGGATTAACGATATGAAGGACACAGACTCCTACTCCTCTACTCCTGCAGCCAAGCCATGGCAAGAGTTGAAAACTACAGCTGGTAATCTTAATAGCGGACGTAAACTTTGGTTTCTTGATCTCTGGCATGGCGTAGATTTCTCCGAAGTCGGCAATCTTTCCCGTACAACAGAGGAAAAACTGTTCGACAGATTGCAGCACTACCCGGTCCAGCTGAAGTCTTCTGTTCTTCACCTTCTCGTCCTCAATCTTCTTCTGAACCACATCGGCGAGTCGCTTCTCGCGACTCTCGGTGGGAGAGTTCCCCCCATCTGCGGCCGCTGCGCTCATGCCCTTAGCAGTGGCCTGCGCAGTGGACACGGCGCCGCCCTTTGGTCCCGCCTTCTGACCAACTACCAGAGGGGCACGTCCGGTGGGCATGCTCGCGGGGCCCTTGCCGCCAGCAGTACTCGGCGCTGTAACTCCACCGGTGAATGGGTTTTCCTTGGTCAAAATTGTGCTGCCTGTTGCACGTGTCCCAGGAGCGAAAGCGCCTGCTGCCGGTTGTGGTGCATTTCGCGCGGCGGCTGCTGAGGACGTTGCTGCGGCACCCCCAGTCGCCTTGTTGCCCGACTTAGAAGGAACCACCAGGTCGAGAAGGATGTTCTCGGGCTTCACGTCGGTATGGATGAAGTTGATGCTTTTGAGGTAATTCAGCCCCTTCAGTATGTGCCGCGCAAAGCGCCCGGCAATGTGTACCGGCAAGCCCTGGCTTGGTATCGTTTTCACGACCGCTCCATCGCCTTCGCTGGTCATCAAGTTGGTTTCAAAAGGATCGCCAACCATATTCGAACTGAAGTCGCCTGCTTTTTCTCTGCACATTTTGATCTGAAGAGAAGAGGAAGGGTATGCATGATAGGGCAGCACCATGGGAATGGTGATCAAATTTGTTGCTGTACTAATGAATCAGTCTAAACAAGGAATATCTGAATAGGGTGCGACCGCGTTAGCCATTAATCAACAAGCTCAAATAGACAATCGTGCGTCCTGATTCAGTTTCTGCAAACTTACCTATTAAAATTACGTGATTTTTTTGCCAAAGGATATCCAGGAGAAGAGGAGTACGACTTTCAGCGGATAAGGTCTGATCAATTTGCCGTTAGCGACCGCTTGCCCAGCAGCAGGACACCTCATTTCGGCAGCCTGTAAGGCAAGCTTGCTGTATCTCTTTTGCGCCGAGGAAAGGTCGCCCGTGTGCCAGGGAAAAACCTGCACATAAAATTTCTCGTACTCGAAACTCTCGAGCCCAGCGAAGAGTCTCGCCAGGTAGTGAAAATCACCCTTGGGAGCGTCTTCGCGTGCAACCTGAAGCGCAGTACGAATCTGCGCGCGCATGGCCTCAGGAGTTCTCGCACCTGCTTGTCCTTGGGCCTGTGCTATTGTTGGAACTGCGGTGGCGCTATTCCCTGCCGGCGTTGCTCCGTTGACATTCCCTGCCGGTGTTGTGCCATTGGCATTCCCTGCCGGCGTCGCTCCGTTCACGCCCGCAGGGGTTACGCCGTTGCCCGCTGGTGTCACGCCATTGTCGCCCGGGGTTGCTCCATCTTGATCAGCCACAGCCGTCGGCCCGCTTATCGTTGCCAACCCCTCAACACCTCCGCGCCTGCAGTTATTTCGATTAGATATGCGTGATGTTTATCGACTCCCGGACTGATGGGGCAGTTAGCTTTGGTTAGGTTAGCGCCATAACTAGATCGGTAGGGCCGTCGCGGCCGGGCGCGGGTGAGTTGGAAGTGGGTTCGTATTATGTAGGTGCGCCGCGATTAGGTTACTTCGTCTACTACAAGGGTGCTTGCTGTGTTGGTTTAGTTGTGAGGAAGCTGGCCATGGTTGGGCTGCTAATGGTTGCCCGGCGGATCGTTGCCGGAGAAAAGTCGAGCCTAAGTCAATAAAGTTCTCATCGGTACAACACAATAGAGTTTCGCAAGAAAAAGTACGTCGCTCCGGCGCCTTCGTCAGTATTGCTCTCGACCGAGTGCGACGGTAGCTCAGCCATGAGGGCCGCGGTCCGCTTCTTCAGCATCTTCCTGCGATATCGCTGGAGGTGGATGGCTTCATCGCGGCGGACACATTTGTCCAGCTTCTCCATAATTCGGTGCTCCTCTTTATGCTTGTTCTGCAACTTCCAGCCTCCCCTGTGACCATGCGTCTGCCGCGAGAATTTCAGCACGACTGGACGCCCAAGCATGAAAGGAGAAGAACCCGAGTTCCGGTGTTGAGTTGGGGTAGGTGAGGTGAGGGGCCCTCCACATCGTATGGGCCAGATTGAGCTGGGGTTAAGATAAGTGCAAAAACTCTGGCGCATTAGGTGCCTGCCTCTATCACTCAGTGAATCAATCAGTTTGCCTCCACAGGGCGCTGGCCTCCCCGCTCGCTCGATAAGCTAAAAACAGACTTAAGCCTACGGGGAATGTCCTGACAACGTCATTACGTGTATGTTCTTGCTCGTCTGTCGTATACCATAGTAAGTACATACGTCAAAATATTACATGAAGACGAGTCAAAAACACTAAGAAGAAGTTTTCTCATAAAGCTGCTCGGCAGGTTCTCGTTTTCCCCTGGGGAACATCTGAACGCCTTGTAGACGACACCAAACTGTCCCTTTCCCAAATACGCACAACCATGTATTGACGTTCCTGGTGTCCCCAACGTGGGATCTGACCACAATTCTTAGAGTAGTGTCGTATGTGTGCAGGATAGGATAAGGATAGGATGGGGAGCCTCTGCGTCGCCGTCACAACATGATTGCTCTATCGACTTCATACAAAAATTAAGAATGAAGAACCTAAGTAAAAGTAAAACTCAAACGACTGGAATGAATGTAATATTTTGTAGGTCGCCCTCGCCGGACTGCAGTTTCCAAATCATACTGGACCAACAACCACAAATGCTTCAGTAGGTAAATGTGCAGTGCATCAGTGGATTGGGGGGACTAACTTAGTGTGAAAATGAGGGAAAAACTAACGACCGGAAGATTGGAGGAACTAACTTAGGAAGAATGTAAAATACGTCAACGAAAGCGAGCCATAAAAGATGTATTGCATCTTTTCGTCCACGTTCACCGTTTCCTCTACCCAATCCCCCACGTCATCCCAGACTTTGTCGACTGCAGGAGTTACTCCATTCGCTATCCCTGGTGTGATTGCCATCGCATTAGCCTTAGAACAATATGAATACTAAGGAAGTTTAGTCATAGAGATAAATACCGCTAGAGAAAACTACTAACCTTATATATAGTTCAGAGTTTAGTTGTCGTACAGATAGAGAAAAGGAAAACTACTCACCTGAGTGAGTGAATGAGTGACTGAATGAATTTGCCTAGCATGAGAGGATGCACTGTCTTGCTTTCCACCTGGAGGAGTTTAATTCCTTGTCTGAGTGCAGTTCACAATGCACCATTTTTTGTTTCTTTAGTCTTTTTCACTTCCTTTTAGTTCACATAGCTTAGTCTTGAATTCACGAACAGAGGCAAGCTCCAGCTTCACTCTGTTCCTGTTACAAGTACTTCGCACAAGATAATGCGGAAAACAAACAATGAGCGGAGGACTAAGGGAAAAGTAGATAACTGATGGCAGCGCCGGCGTAGCTGGTTGAAGATAACAATGAAGCTTAGCTACAGGTAAACATAAGGTCTATTCTCACATTAGTTCACACAGCCCTAACTGCTGTAGACACTGCGCCGCCTGGGGTCGCTGCAGCCATGGTCGTTGAACCTCCTCCCTCCGGTCCTCCGGCTGGTGTCACGTCTCCGTCCTGCATTATCATGATCACAAACCGGTAACGACTAGCGGTTCATCCGTTACTAGCCTCTACTCTATTTCTACAAACTAACCATGATGAGGATCACATACATTTTCAGTAATTGTAATGTAGCAAAAGTTGAACCTGTTCCGTTGTTGTTCCTGTCAACAGGTGAAGAGAAAACCTCGATTAAAAGAAACTTGTCGCAACAAGCGCATAAGAAGTATCAGATCTCACTCCGTCATTTTGGATTTGGACAGCCTTGCTCAAAATGAAGAAATTCCTGAGGTAAAAGATGAATCTAGAAGTTATACGCGATTCGTTGCGTCCGCTCGCTTCACCTCCCTGAGCGTCTGAAATGAGAACTGCACCTTTGCTTCAATTCGCTCCAGGACCCTCGGCTGATAGAACGGAGCTGCAGCCGCCTCTTTCTCTCTGTCCAGCCTTATGGCTTCAGCTTTCCACTTCTCCATGTTCAACTTGAGTTTGTCTTGCTCTTGCTTTTCGTGAAAACGCCTGGTTTGTTTTCATTCATTTATTCAAGCGCAGACTGCCTCCTAGATTTCTTTGGTGACTTTTGTTGTAGATGTAACAGAAGCAAGTAGCCTCATGATTCATGGACGTCGCAGACAATGGATTTATCAGACAACGGATCTATCATGAATTGAAGTACAACGAACAGTAATAACCCTGTTCTTGAACAGGTATGTTGAAAAAAAATAAAGACGCTACGGGGGGCTTAAGGGGTAGTACTTCTGGGCTAAAGCCATCTCCCTTTCTTTGGCTTGCTTTTGCGCAGCGCTTGATTCGTGTCCTTGCTTGCGGGCCGGCTCTTGTCGCTTCGCTTTGGGAGGTCGGTCCTCGTCGTCTGTCATCTGATGTGTACGTGATGAAAGTTGTCTGTATTCAGAAAGTGATCAGGTGCAAGTATCGCCAGTCCCCTTATGATGATGATATATTCTGCATATGCACCACGATAGGCGGCAACGCTACGATAGGTCAAAACATGCGAGGCAAAGGTAATTGGACTCGTTAACCAGGACTAAGCCACGAAGAAAAAAAAGGGAACAAAACATCATTCGAATATATCTGAAGAAGACGAGGGCAGCACGATTGCCGAGGACTGTTTATACCTAAACCAAGAGGAGAAGACCGAAAAACGCGACAGAGGTGGCGATCGTGTGACCTTTCTCCCCAGTGGAAATACAGAGAGACGCTCGAGAAACAAAGAGAGCGGAAAACAAAATCACAGACGAAGGCGACTCAGACAGACTCAGACACCCGAGAGAAGCCGAACTTGCTAACAGCAAAACGCGAAGGCGCCGGGGATTCTGCAGTTCACCGCACGCCAGTCCGTGTTCCTGTTTGATTGGCAGGCCTCTGAAGGGCGAAGCGTAGCTAGTGAGCAACCCAAAAGAAGCCGAACAAGAACACCGTCAACGCTGGGCATCAAGGTCACCCCGAGAGCCCTTCACCGGTGCATCTTTCTACCACGAAAAGGGCCCCACCAGTCTGCAGAAGCACGCAGTCAGCTGAGACAAGACTGGCGCAAGCCCTGCAGGCCTGTTGGTTTTTTCAGACAGTTCCGCCCCCGCAAGCCCCTAGGGGGCTGGGGGCGGAGATGAAGCGCATCAATCTAACCGAAACCCCTGCGGATCCACTCAGCTGACGAACGAAGCCAGCCACAACAGCGCAAGAGGCTGCAAGCAAATAATGAACAACCGCAAGAAACAACCAGCCCAAGGAGATGGCGGGCGCAGAGCAGAACAGGGAAAACATCAAAGAACACAAGCACCGAATGACAGACCGCCGGCGCAAATATTATCCGCGGCCGCGCTGTCCTCATTCGCAGCCGGCCTCCCCACACACCACAGACCCTCCCAGCAACACAAAGACAGACGCAGCACAAGAGCCAGACAAACAACGAGGGACGCCGCGGCCTCCGTCTGTCGCCGATCTTGTTCTTGCCACCTCCAGCGAACGAAAGCCAAAGGAGCGCGGGGCCGAGAGTTGCGCGGGCGCCAGAGAGTGTTGGAAGCCAAGCTATGCGGGCGATGTGCGCACCTTTTACGACTTCGAACGATTTCACACGCTTCGCGCAAAAACGGGCTAGGGGAATTTTCTCGGGATAGGAATGAACGCACCGAACAAGCAAAACTGCGCACGATTTTGAAAACTTGAGGCGGCGTCTATTCCTGTCGTCGCGTTTCTCTCTATCGTCGGGGTCGCTCGGCGTCAGTTTAGGAATAAAAACCCCCAAAATGGTGCAGGGTATATATTCCGATCCCGTTACGCTCTAAAATTCTGCATATACCCAGCAACATGGTGCTTCTCATACATTATGGGGACTACGTAGAGCCTTAAAATAAAAAGTGCCACTGGTACTATTATAATGAAAGGAACAGAAAACTAGCCTTGTGTCATCTTATGTCATGAGAGTACAGGTAGAAGACTAATAGGCATAACTATGTTCTTCATATTATAAGTACTTTAACGTCGCTGCTGCTGGAATCGCTCGAACCGCCTGAAGAGCTCGAGTCGTCTTGTTTCGCAGGCCTTCGCTTTTTGCGCGGAGGACCTTTTGCCGCTCGTGGCTTTGGCGGCTTTTTTTCTTTCGGAAGTCGATCGCCTGCGTCCTTGCGTGGACGCTTCGGGATTCCCTCTTTCAGCAGTCTCCCCGCTGAACCCGCAGGGGGTCTCTTTCGTCCGCTTACCAATTTCTGGTAAACCAACTGTCGAACGATATCTAAACCCGGAGTACTAGACTTCCACACCCATTTGGCTCCACCTGTGTAGTTAGGAGACGAGTGTAGAAACATTATATCAAAGGCAGTCTGGTGCATATCAAAGGCACAGTGGTAGAAAGCCACCTTGCTGCGATTTCAAAAAGATCGATATACAACTTGCTACTAGTTACTGTAATGTTTACTACACTGCATCACTTCATCAATAAGATACTTACTAGGAACTTTACTGGGAGTACGTAGCAGTACCTTCTGTGCGTTTCGGAATCACTCCAGCCCTCTCATCCAGACGGCACCACTCGCGCATTTTATCCGCCTGCTTTTTAGCGTCTTCAACTGTTGCTTGCATGCCTCCCTTGTGCCAATACTGCGCATACTCCAAGATGATATCCTCCAAGGTGGACAACTTCATTCCCTGATTTGCCGTTCTCCTGGCTGCGTTGCCTCTACATTAGATGAGCTATTATCTTGCTATTCGTTTCACCTCAGGTAAAAGAGTCAAAATCATAAGATGATGTCTATCTTCACTTATCGTCGACGTAATTCAGACGCACCACAGTACTAAAATCACTATGAGGAGATCTACAAGCAATTTGGAGACATGTTGATGGTACAAGATCAGTGAAGAGATAGGATTCATGAGATTGAGCAGGAAAATAATCCGTCCTGATGATTGGATTCTATTCGGCAGATCATGTTGAGACCTATGAAGTAGCTACTCAGATTTCTTCATGTAGCGTAATTTTCGAGGGCTTCTTTCACGTATTTCGGCTCTGGCATCCACAGCAGTCGCACCCTTTCTCTTTCTGCTGCGTCTTTCTGTGCGTCTGGCGCAGAAGCCTTGCTGCTGCTACTAGCAGCAACTGCACTGTTTGGAGGAGGAGCGGCCCCTGGCGCTTTGCTCGAACTACTGGACGCGCCAAGGGCGGGCGGTGCGGCGCCACCTGGTCCGTTCATGTTGGTCTTGTGGAAAATAACAAATGTGCTGTCAATCTTGGTTAAACAAGTAAAAGTATTCACTGCGAAAAAGAAAACCAAAATACCTTCTACAGTTTCTGTGAGGACAATCTAATCTTTACAACAAGTTCAGCCCGATCAGAAGTTGATGTTCTTCCCAGTATATCTATATCACTCAAAATCGTCCAACGACGGCGCGGTCAAAAAAGGTTCCTCGAGCTATTTCATCCAAATCGTAAAAATGACATATTCATTCGCCATTTTACTCCTCACAAAAAGTAATCGAGTACAAAAGTTATACTGAATGAACTCAAGAATCACTCATGCTATAAGGTGATCATGTTGCTCCACTAGTGCCACTGCTGGAAAGAATATTTACGTATATTGCTAGAGATTGATATATTTCCGTCAAACCCTGTCACAAGTCGACAGCTGCTCGTGAAAAAGGTCGACACGACAGAGCTAGTAGGAGCTGTCGCTTATTGCCCTGTAGTTTCAGGTTTCCAATGATATTGAGGGTCTGATGATAAAATTAAAAACTTGAGGACTGCGACTGCGTACTTCTTCTACTATAATCATTCATTGCTATCTGATGTTCGGTCGTGTATATTTCATCAAAAAAATCATGACAGATGATAGCGCACAGATTAGGGTTTAGGGTCGTCCCTCAGCGTTCTTTTCCGAGGAAGCAGCTGAAGCATTGCTTGGATCGTCGAGAAGGAAAAAATACCAGCGAAAAGATTCAACTTGATAACAACGAAAATTTGATTTTCTGGACTTCATCTTTTGCAGTACCAATGTACCAGATCAACCTGAGCTCCTTTTTCTGTATGAGTGTAGTTGTACTGCTTCGCTTCAGGAGTACGAGTCTTTTTTCGGATAGGAAAACGCTTTTTTGCTATTTTCAAAAACCAGTAACAGGTCTCATTTAAAACAAGAAGGAAAGCAGTACTTCAATAGCCAAGATCATCCGCGTCGCAGCATTTCTATTTCATGTAGAACGAAGCAGGTAGCGAAATTCGGAACACATTCAGAAAAACGCTGTTCAAACGCGCTTGCTTATCGTCCGTACGAAACGGTAGTTTGTTATGCGCGGTCGTGGTTATATCAATCATTTCATATTCAACATCGTTTCCATTCTTAGCACATTTTTGTCTTAACGATAACATCTGTATGCGCATTGTGGTATTCGGTCGTGAGTAGCTTGAGTTTTAATAGTTTAGTACGAATGTCTGAGGATTTTGAATTCCATTATCAAGAACCCAAAGAAATCTGTCTACAATCATGATACCCTATTCCACCCATAAATTCCGAATTTAATTCAGTTAATGAACTACCCCCATATTTTCCAAACTCCCTGTGGTCTTCTTGGTTGGAAATACTAATTGATTCTGATCATGCTACCTAGTCATGTCTTTATCTACGTACTGCACCTGTTTCCGATTTACTCTTACTTTGCTTGTTTTTATCACTTCTTTCTCTAGCTATTATTTCAATTCATGACGCCGCACTCCAAATCATGCAGAAAAATTTTGTACATAGTCCTACAATCAACAAAACGAGAAATTTAATCACACTTCTACGAATATGTTTTGCTCATCATCCGATTCCCCTTTCTTGATCATGACCTTCAAATTTACTTCGACTAGAATCTATCACAATGATGATCTTCAGAAAAAAGTATAACATCCTAGTCTACTACGCCCATTTGTAGACAAAAAGATCAAATAAGCTCATAACCTAAGAGATCGATGACAGCAACTATCGACTTGAAAAGCCAATAAAGGTTAAGCTTAAGGTATGCAGCACCAAAGATAAATTACAAAAGCCTCAATCATCAATACAGATAGTTTGCGTTTCTGAAAATATAATCCGCATGCTCTTTCCTCATTTTTTTCGTATCGGTTGAGTTCTTGTCTGTTTTCCTTTCACTTTTCCATAGAATAAATTAATGTAACAAATACGTCCCTCTTGTTCTGATTTTTATCGGAGATTCTACCTTCCTCGAAGGTACTTACTTACTTAAGTATGTTCTTCGTCGGCCTCTTCCCTATTTGCACAACTATACACAATCCCAACACCAGCCATTTTTCTCACTTTAATCATTTTCTTCCTCTTTTCGCGAGGACGTCTTCTTCGTCTCCCGTGGACTTGAGAACAAGCAACATCTTCATTATAACATAAGTAACTGGTTGAGATTTTTTTATTGGGCAATCAGTCCCCCGCTTTGACCGCCTCTACCTCCATGAACATGATTTCGAGAACTCTGGTGAAGCTGCGGGTCTCCGGATGCGTGCTGCCGATCTTGCGGCGCATCCATTTCAGACTGTTCTCGAAGTGGTTTTCCCACGATGTTCCGGTCCGCGCTTTCACGAAGAGCTTGAGCGTGCTTTGCTGCGGTCTACGGACGATGGTGCCCAATGAAGAAGTAGCCACTCCTGTCGCGTTAGCCACCGGATAGAAATTTCCGTCCTTGGGCATCGCGTCCCACAGATCTCCTAGCGCGTCGAAGTGGGAATCGTCATTTTCTCCCGCAGCGGTTTTCGACACCGACTTTAGCAGCGAGGTCGTCTTCGAGATGGTTGATTGCAACCTGTCATCTGTCGTGATTGTCGACTTCGAGTACTCTTTCTTCATGTCTTTCAAAATCTCGTTTTGCTTCTGCAAAGAGATTCCGGAATCCACATGCTTCACGCTCTGCCCAAATTCCCCAATGATAGAATTCAGGCTCTCGAAGCCGAGACTCAAAACGGCCTCGACCTTGCTCGGTCCGCGCGGCGTCCCGGCGCCTTCTTCCACCTCCAAGGCAGCCGCCATATGCCGATTGAGACGAAGCTGTGCACGCTGCTCGCGGGACCCCTTCGCGAAGTTCATGTACATCCAGTTGGCGTTCACCCCGTCGTTACCCACAACGACCTTCACATTCTGTTTTCCCAACGAGGCGGACTCTCCGACCTGGTTGGCGCTCTCCACCGAGCTCTGCGACACAGATAGAGGACGAGCTAGCTCGACAAGCAGAGGAAGAGATGAAGCTTCAACTGCATTGTCGCTTGCCGCCAATCCACCCGACAGGCCCTTCTTCATCTCTCTTTGCTCCGCGCTCTTCGTGGAATCGAACTGCGGTGTGGCCGGTGACCAAGACGTCGGAGCAGGCTCCAAAAGAATCAGAGGAGGAGTTTGTCCATCAATAGAATCAGTAGAACTTGTGGGATCCTTGATTTCCGCCGATCTGCGAAAACCCTTCTTGTTCTCTCCACGTTGCTGCTTTGCGGCATCCGAAGAGGCTGATGCTTTCGGACTTGTGGCTTCCGACGTGTTGAGGGGGAATAGCGAGAAGCTGAAATCTGCTCCTTTGTTATCGTAGTTCTCGTTGCTGTTCATCTCTGCGTTGTTCTTGTTGGACGTAGAATTCTGATCCAAAAGCGGCATATCCATACTCAATGGAGGCGACAAAGATGGAGTACGCTTCGGAAGGAGGGGAGCTTCCACCTCCTGCTCCATATCCTCTAGATTGCTGCTGCGGTAAGAGGCCGTTGCAAAATCGGTCTCGTAATCCTCGGAAACGGTCAAAACGTCTTCGACTCCTTGATCCACGCCTCCATCATCGCTGCTGCTTCTTCCGTTAGAACTAGAAGAAGACGAAGGAGGCTGACACTCGCCTTCGCTCTCGCCTTGTTGTCGTTTTCTATTTGAAACAGAGCCAGCACGACGAGCATCTCTATTCTGAATATCCCTAGTTGCGTCTTGTTGTTGTTCAGAGGAGGCCTGAGAATTGGACAGAGGAGGAGTAGCAATGGAATACGAAACCACACCACGAGGAACATGCGGACCAGAAGATGAGGATGACGAGGAAAATGAGCCGTCATCGTCACCGTCGTCGCTGTTGCTGGTCGCGCTCGTGCTAATCGAAATGTTGTTGGCTCCATCCTTCTTATTGCGTCCCCGAAGGCCCACTGCTGGAGGCTTTTCGACAAGCCACGTGACCTCGCCATCGGCGACGATGATTTCCTCACTAGCGGCGGCGGTTGTTTCCCGTGATGACACCAATGCCACGACTTCCTCTTGTTGCAAATCGTCTGCCTCCGAACAAGTAGTTGTTGTTTGCCTGCTAGTAGATCTGGATGGGTTCGGGGATGGCCAAAGCCCTGCCCAAACACCGGTGACGGTGTCCACGCTCGTGCGATAGGTCTGCCCGACCTTCTCCGTACCGTAGTCCCACCAGTCGACCAGCGTCTCGCCCACGGGGGTAAAACCAACAACGAAAACCAAGACCACGCAGAAGATCTTAGAATGAGCTTTTTCATTTTTCTTGTGAGTTTACGTTTGATATTTCCAACATGAAGATTGATAACTTTAGATAGTCCGATCGGCATCGGACAATGCAAATGCTGCACCAGCGCTAACGCACAAGAACAAGACCTTCTTCTTGATCAATGAGTTTTTAGCCATGTAGTAACTTTTTACGATTCATCTAACTTCTACTAGCTTTCTTCTCAAAAAAAATAGCATCTTTATATATATGAAGTTCGAAGCATAATGACGGAAATGCAGACGCCAATACAGAAGATATCCCAGCGCACGAATAGCCAATCGCGCATCATCATCATGCTTCCCGGCTTCGGCTTGTTCTTAGCTCGATCTTCGGAAACTCCAGAGCCAGTGCCAGACACCTGAGTGAGGAGGATGTTGTGATCATGAAAACGACCGCCAAGATATCAATGAAAATTTGTTTTGCCGAATCTTCAATTTTAGGCTAGGTACTAGAGCTCGCTGATAATCCTCTAGCGGTCATAAATTCATGACATCGTGAACAAGGACGCACGTGTTTCGCGCTCGCAGTTAATCTTAATGTACGCTGCAAGTTTAAGTCAATGAGAATACCGCGCCGTCTTTCGGAGCACTTTCGGCTGCTCCAGCCTTTGCATGAACGATGCCGTGCTTCGTGTGCTTTGGCGACTTGTCCTTCTTGTTCATGGACAGCGCGTGTGGGTGAGCCTAAACGGGAGGGTTTTGGTCAAGCGTGGGATAAGATGATGCGTCTCGACGCGGAGATTGAATGATTGTTTAAGTGATCAGAAGTAGTAGTTGCTACTTACTTTCGAAAAGATATGATGGGCCTACTTGGGCTGGAACAAGTGAATATATTCTACTACCATCCCGTGTTTTTTTCCACCATGCTTGGTCGCTCCGTGCTTTGCGTGGGTGACATCTCCGATCGCGTGTTTGGCATCTTTCGTCGCCGAGTGTTTTCTGTCCTTCGAGCCATGCTTGTTGTTCTTCGGATGAGCCTGAATTTTAAGAGAACAATTTTTATACAGGGACGCGTAGGAAAAAGGAACTCCAACTCCTTCGCATTGATTCTGGACGAAACCAAATTCTTTGCTAAGGCTGAACAAGAAAAAACTAAGTAGGAAAAGAAACAAAATCAACAAAACGAAGTAGGCGCTTTAAAAAGTCAGTGAGTTGTCCCTCTAAAAAAATCGCAGTACGATCGTGCCCTTGTTCGACATTTCGTGAAGGTAAGAGTGCGAGCCCTTATGCCAGATAGATCCGTGATGAACGCGCGACGTTCCGTGGTGAGCGTTTGCCCCTTTATGCGTGACTCCGTGACGCTTTCGGTCAAAACTTTTCGGTCGCTGTTCGCCCATTCTTTTTGCCATGAACATACGTTTGAGAGGTGCCTAAAGTGGGTCAGCCAGTCCGTGAGTGAGTGCTTAAAAAGAGAAAGAGACACAGGAAGCCACAGAGGTCAATCGGATAAGTTTTTTTGTGTCCTTTCAGCGTCGGTGGACCCAAACCAAATGCTATGATGAGGCTCTGAGAAGAGCTTCAATTTTTGAGGTTCGAGTTGGCTTCTAGACTTTGTTATTGTTCTGTAGAAGTAGATCAACATAGCATGATCATGGCCCAAACAAGTCGTCCACTTATAATCAATAAATACCATTTTCTGTTTCTTTCCGCCGGCCTTTGCTGTTTTCTTTGCAGCACTTTTGGCTGTTCCTTCCTTTGCATTGCTGGAGTTTCCAATAGCGTCCTTTTTGTCCTTTGTCCCCAGTTTTTTGTTCTTTGAGCCGGGGGTTTTGCCCCCCTCCTGCGAACGGACCTGAGTGTTAAAAATAACAGGACGAGGATGATGACATGACGTCAACGGATTAATATATTATATAATCTTAATCACGATCTTTACAAAGAAATTACTGTGATGATCGGCATCGCTTTTTTGTCTACTAGGATCCTTAATGTTAATCCTCCAGGGCGACCGTCGCGCCAAGGTTGTGATTGCAGTTACTTCCACTCGTTATTGGCACCACAGGATATATGTCTATTGATACCATGCCCTGTTTCTTTCCTTCGATCTTTGTCGCCCCTGTCGCAGCAGTTTTAGTTGCACCATTCTTATTTGTCTTGCTGGCGTCGCCACCGTTCTCACCGGTAGCGGCTGTTACCCTGTCTTTCATAGCATTGTTTGTCTTGCTGGCTTCTGGAACAATAGGGTGTTTTGTGTCCTTTGACTTCCCGCTCGCAGAACCAAAGAGTAGAGCATCGCCAACAGAGTCTTTCATAGCCTTTGACACACCGTTCGCACCAACCTGGAGGATGCATGAATGGAGCTGAGAAAGCACTTCTCTATATACTAGGAAAGAGAACGGGTAAAGGAGCTATTTCACACGTCAGTGCTGCCACATACCATGAGGTAAATTTTCTGAAATCAGGTTCAGGTTCTAGTTCTTACAAATATAAATATGTGTTTCTGAATGTCAAAATTACATTTACTAATTTCTGCAAAACTTGATACCGTGCCGTCTTTCTTTTTATCCGTCGATGCTTTGATGTCTTTCTCTTTGCCAGCAGCAGTGTTGGTGGCACCTGCATGATTCTTGCCTGTCTTGCTGACTTCTGCAACGATAGGGTGTTTCGTGTCCTTTGACGTAGCGCTCGGAGGATCAAAGAGGATGCGATTCCACGAATTGCTGAGCGTGCGAAAAGGGTCGTTTTTCTCTGAGGCCGCATTGGCACCGACCTGAATGTAGTGGGAAAGAAAAAGTATTCGCTAGCGCATCCACCACCTAGTAGACAACATGACACATGATCATCCAACTACATGTAGCAATGGCGGAGGAAACACAAAAGAGTGACGCGGCAAGATACATTGCTCTTGATATACATCTACCAATCCTTCATTTGCTACTTTGTTTTGTGCATATTTATAATACCGTCCTTAGAAGTTGTAGAACTAGAATACGTGGTTTGAATAGAGACAGAAAGATTGAGAATATCTGGGACGAGTCAATCAATTGTTAAGAATAACAGTAATTTCTATTCCAGATCCTGAGAAGCGACTGCTGCAGCCAGAACTAGTTGTACAATATGAATATCAGTTACAATACGTAGATAGCACATTACGTAGATAATAGTAGCAGATAGCATTAGCAAACCAATAAACTATCGCGACCGGTTGTGCCTATTGTTGTCAATGTAGAACAGAGGGGACTGTGAACAATGGTACCGGTTCAAGCGATGCGGCAGAGAGTGTCGACTTGTGCGCTTGGTCCAGTCCTTTTTGCAAGAAAGCGATCGATCCACTGCTCTGTCCGGTCGCTTGCTGATCAATGTGGGGCGCAACCGCGTGGGCGACGTCGGACGACGATTCGTTGAAGTTCCACAGAGATCCATCATTTATTAGAGAGTGGTGCTGAAGTTCAGCATCTTTTGATATACTAATGATCCCTTCATTTTCTCTGCACGACCTCCTTTGATGTTTCCCTTGCAAGTACTTGCATCTGAGATGGAAAAACAATTTGAAGGATAGTTTTTGCTGAAAAGCTCTCGTGAAAACTTACATGAGAGAAACCCGAGATGGTCTGTCTCAGAGAGTGAGATGATGTTGAATTATGAAAGCTGAGCACCATAACTCTACCTGGGATGGGTCTTGGACATGATCTTGATCTACTTCCTTGGTTTTAATATTCTCCAGAAATCCGCGAGACAGAGACCTGGCGATCGGCACGGTTCCACGTTCGTTGACAACAGCAAACCATCCCCCAACAAATACTATAAGCAGCGCAACGGCCACAGCAGTGAGGATGCTAGTGCGCTTGTACTTCACCACAGCCTCACCACACACATTCCTCTGGATCTTGCCGATGTTGGCCCATTCGCCGCCCATGTTTTTGTTCCCCACCTCGCTGTGGACCATAATCTTATCCAACGCATCAGCACTCTTGCCACCGCTGATGCCAGTGATGCCTTTGTCTTTAGTTTTATCGCCCGCCATTATTCTTATTAAAAACGAGTAAAATTTTTTGCAAGTATTAAACGAGTCAGTCTGGTGTTACTCACGACATCCCCAACACTAATTACACGACCTTATGACCAAGTAGTCGATTATCTTGTAGATACTTCTTACCCATCTACTTCTTAACCTTGTACCACTTGTAAGGTGAAGTCCAAAGAATACAAAAAGATCATCAAGATAACGTCGATTGGAGGAGATTCAAATAGTTTCTTTACTTGATTTCCACAACAATTACGCTACAGAAACCTTGATACACACACCAGAAACGGATTTTTAGGGAAAGTTGGAAATGATAAATTTTTAGGGAAAGTGGGAAATGATATTGGAGGGAAATGGATAACGAAAATTATCGGAGGATGAGAGGGCAATAGAGCTCAATCACGAATCCAGATCTGCCAAAAACGAAATTGTGAACATAAGCAATAATTACCATCATCAACGTCTTTCACTATTCTTTATTTAGCCACGACAATACCTTAAATATCATGCATGGCCATAGCTCAACATGGTGCATCTTGAGGAGTAGAAAAAATCCGGAGATTGATTATGTATTGCATCATATTTCTCAACTGAAGTGATTCACCTCAGTCTCACTTCTCAACAGATCGATGTGCTTCATCTCACTCCCATTTCTCAATAGACAAATGCCTCAAACAGATCCACACTCCTACATCTCTCGTCAAAAGAGTACTCCATATTTTCAAGTCGGTACATAGAGATATTACAGAGGACTTTTCTACTTATCTACTCTCACATAGAGCAACATCAGTGCAACATCAGCCTCATCCGAGTCCGAGAACGCTCTTACCTAGAAGTAAGTATTGTTACGAGACTCAAATGATAAAAATTCCTCTTTTCATCACCGCGATCAGGATCATCTCATACAGACTTAGAAGTCCTCACCTCTGCGATCAGCAACCTCCGATGTAGAATGGATGACCAACTACCTCTCTGTAGAAGTTCTTGCGTCTCTCCTGACTTTTTGACAGAGACCAATATGACACGAATCTCCAGCAGGCATCGACAGCACCAGCGCTCATTAAAAAGTGGTGATCAAACAATTGATGCAGCTCAGTAAGAAAAATGTCTGTTCTTTCATTTTCCCGAATCTTGTTACTATTTGGCTCCCGTTCCAGGACAACAAGTCCTTCGAATTAAAAGAAAAGTTCAAGATTATCAAATCGATCGCTTTGCAAGCAAGGATAGAGACTAGCTAATAAATCAAACACAATTTTTTAGTCTAGAGGTCAGTATCATGAGCGTCTAGTAGAACAATGACTAGTATTGAATAAAGAATGCACAGGCAATGGTGCAGAAGGATGCAAGAGTAAAAATCAAATCTCTATTAAGCAACATCAACGGTATACACCGGTAAAAAGCCGGCGGAAACGCAGACAACGTTGTAGCCACTAGACTAGATAGAACAATTACCGAGGAAGCAACACTCCTGCGCTTCCTAAATGCAGTTGCAACGATGACGTGTGTAATCTCTGGGTTCGCTATAGCTAACGCTGACAGAAGTCTAGTCTAAAAAGTAAAGGTGGTGAAATACACATTTGCGTTTTCCGAAGAACTTTCCCGATCCCCGCAAGCGCCTACCCCAGTGACTTAAGTCCACTATGATCTCCCTCACGCCCGCCAGTCCGACAGCTCATCCTCAACAAAGAAAAGACCAAGCCTTCAACAGGCTCACTTCGGCTTTCCGCGGCTCATCCTGGTCATCCTCCTTACTTCGGCTGTCCGTGGCTCATCATCCTGGTCATCCTCCTTACTTCGGCTTTATGTGGCTCATCATCCTGGTAATTCCCATGAATTGCGTTTTGTCCTTCGTCGCCCCTCCCAAATTGTTTCCCTTGTCCTTCTGCGTCGCGATCCTGTTCCCCAGTAACCGATCGGACGCCTTCATATATCCCACGTAGAGTTTCTCTATGCCCACTGTTTCGTAATCCACCCGGGTCCCATCTAAAGGCGTGATTGGCGGAAACGCGCCAACAATCATCGCCTTAAAAATGTGCGGCGTGGACATCCAATCGGTGTACCCCGCGTCGTCGAAGTAACCGGCGAGCCATTTTCCCATCTCAACCGCATGCTGATCGAAATCGGTTCGGGCGACAATCATTTTCCGCTCCTCCTCCATCTTTGCATGATCGACCAGTGACGCGGTTAAGCGCGTCTTCACAAACTTGAAATTTGCACTCGCGTTCTGCAAGAACGCCGCGATTTCCCCGTCATCGTCTGCCGCAGCTTTCACCGGGTAACTTCCCCAGGTCGGCTGCCGCGGAACGATACTGGCGATGGCTTCCTGCACATCCTTCTTTTCCTTCTCGGCGTCTTCCGTACCGCTTGCTCTCAAAGTAAGTAATCGATTTCCTCGTACTTAAGTAAATTTCCGCCAGTCGGCATCGTTAAGGGCAAGGTAATCTTCGAGGGACTTGCAGGCGAATCTCTTTTCGCGGTCCGCGTCCGCGCCAAGGGAGGCAGAGACCATGCCGATGAGGGGCGCGTAAGCGATCATGGCGCACGTAGACACACCAGCAGTCACAAACAGGGCCACAACGCCGTACCTAGGTTATTGTAGTAATTGTGGTTACTTTATCGCACTGGTAGTTACGTGTTGGAGAGAGGAACCAGCAGACGGATTATCAGTGGGATTCACGAGCTCATCACAGCTGGTATACCTGAGTCTGACTAAGAAAAATAGCGATTCTAGGATGTATAATCAATCCAGAAGCTGCAAATTATGCAGTCACGTCCGGACCCGTTCGCCTCACGCAATCCGTGTCCAGCCGTCGCATCTCCTGTCCCCCCTATATTTATCAAATGTTTGGGTTTGCCGTTGCTAGCACAACTTTTTTTCCCGAGCATCATCAATCTTCACCTTAAGACGGTGGTGAAATCAATTTAGAAGCAAGTTATTTTGGATTTAACATTTTTCTCATCCACGTGGTTGCCTTGTGATTAGAAATTAAAGACGTGGTGTCGGCTGAACGGTCACTATCTAAGCGCAAGGAGAGTGCCGAGAAAGAGCACATTCTGACAGTTGCACCACGTTAGAGTATAGTTGAAGTGATTGTTTTCTACGTCAATAAAACCTCCTCCAACACCATGTATTTAATAGAGTTTAACGTTGAATCCTCCTACAAAGAGGTTAGAGATGAAGACAAGCCATGGGAAATCAGTCGGCCGCGATATCTCACCGTGAAGGATAGAAGCATACGAATTGTTGTAAAGTTGTATCATGATCATACGCAAAACTCAACCTCTTTAGGTGCTTATGTTTTCTACTCCGAGGTTGCGCAGTTGCATTCCTCAGAGCATCCTACGGGCTGCTTTTCTGCTTGAAAAAAAGCTAAGAATGGCCGTGGGGGATGCAATGTTGTAACCTTTTTAGTTCAGCATACTTTGTTCTCAACAGACGAACTCCTCCTGGTATAACAGACCTTGGAAACAATTGAGCCACTATGTCTCATACACAACGAAGAAAACTGCCTTTTAATGCCTTTCATCTTCACAGAAATTGTAGAGAAACCTATCTTAATCGCTGACTGAAAACAGGTTTAAAGAATGCGCTCTCTCCTCGCTCAGAAAACCGCTCATCATTTGAAGTATTGGCCGCAGTTCATATGATGTGAGTGCTCTTGCGTTTCTCGCCTCGCTCGACAGAAATACTAGTCGCCTCGATCTATCCTTTCCCCCGACAGGTTATTATTAGGAGAAGGATAGGCGGCTATCCACAGGCCTACAGATGGCCAGGGGGCGGAATCTGAAGCACAGCGACGCCTTAGGCAGATGCAGGAAAGTCCTAACAAGAGGCGCCGCGGTCCGGGTGCGTTTGCCAGTGCCGTCATGGTAAGAATAAGCCCGAGACCTCGAGCCAACACTGAAAAAGGGTAGGCAGGTGCAGCGGTGAAAACAGCAAGAGAAACAGCGGCGGGGGCACTTAGCCGAAAGCCGGCGCGCCGCGCCAAGGCAGCCCCAAAGCGCCGGACCTCCCCGCGGCGGGCTGCGTCGTAGTACGGAGCGAAAGCTCAACGACTATCAAGTCTTCTTATGTTACAAGTTTCACTGACTTTGCCCTTTCCGGTGCAAAACAGGTGCTACAGAGAGAGTCTCTCCCTGGAATCTTCATGTTTGTGCACTTTCTGCAACAAGCACTGTCGGAATCAAGGAATGTAGTTGCCTTAGCGTTAGCAGTGTCATACGAGCACAGCCTCCAACGCCGATCAAAATCAGAAATTCACAGTTCCAATGTCTGGATATTTTGATCGACGTCCACGAATCCTCCAGATGAAGGAAGTACTTACATGTGGCCATTATCACAGCGTGGCTATTTCCTTTGCCTGGCCCATCTTTACTTTACTTCGGAATTTTCGATTCAAACCGTCTTAAGTAAGAATGAATGAAAACGTCGCAAGTATGAATACATTAGCTCAAATACGGATACAAATTAATATGTTTTAAGTTTTCCCGTGGGAAATTGATGAGGGCTCGCCCTCCAAGGATAGTAGACCGCTTCATATTTTACCGATCGAGTCAATCAGTCAACTATAAGCGGCCGGCGAACGAGCGGCGGCGCTGGATTACGGAGGAGCTCTGGACTGTGAGAGCACGCCTGTGTTCCCGCTGACCTAGCCCACTGAAGGCCACCCATAGGAAGAGGCCCAAGGCTAGTCACCTCCTAACGTAGTCAGTTACAAGGAGCCCCAAGCCCAAACCCGCTGCGGCTGTCTATGGACTCTGCTCGCTTTGCTTACGCTGTGTCGGGCTAACCTAATGGAGGAAAAGCCCTCCCAACTCAGTTGAGGAAGAGAACCACGCCCCGGGCTGATCACTGGGCAAGCAGTCAAATGTTCGCATTAACTTCGGCCTTGACTCCACAGAGTGGGCAATGTTGACGCTGAGTTTTACAACGAGAAAAAGCTGAATACAGCAAAAGCGAAAGTGAGAGAGTGAAGCTATTTTTAACGATGATGGATTTTTTTTTGGACTAGTGACGAAGACGAGAACGACCGATAGTAGTCAATTTGTGGATCTGATGGCGATGGTTATGTCATTTTTACTCTTTTTTGCTCACTTTAACTGACAGCGGTGCGAAGTACGATTAGTTTATCAGCTGGAAATAAGACACGAGGACAAGAACATAAGAAAACAATGGATAAGGGAGCTTAACTAACGGCGCAGTTATACTGGCTAGCAGGCTCGAACTTAGAGCCACAGTATTCAGAGTGGGCTGACACCAAACCACGCGAGTGGTCGTAGGAGCATCAGTCCAACCGTTCGGGCTACTCCCAACTACTAACTTAAGGAACTTACGAGGAGAGGAGAGAGCAGGTAAATAATTCCGCCAGTCTTCACCTGACGCCTTCAGTCAGTCAGTCAGTCAGTCAGTCAGTCAGGTACAGCAGCGGTTACTTAGTCGTGGGACACCAGACCACGCGAGAGGCCGTAGGGGTCTCAAGGTAAGTTAGGTTAGCGAGAACAACTACACAATCTAGCTACCAATACGCACTAGAACTAATGGGGTACGTGACGCCAAGCAGTCAATCAATCAAGCAAGTTGCCTCCGCAGGGCACCGTCCTCCCCGCAGCTGCGACTGCCGTAGCTCTACGCTCGGGAGCGATAGGAGGGGGCGACATTGTCCACACCGCGTGGGCCGGAACCATAACTACCTCCAACAAATGTAAATACGAACTACGAGTGCAGGAACAAGGATTGCTAATGTGAATGTTGCTTCTTCTTCGAATAAGGTCGATGTATGCATAAGTATGAACAATAACCACAATCAAATTTTTTGCGGCTAAACAATTTTCATTTTCATGAGGTAGCTGCGTGTACAGAGGATTCTAACAATCTATCTGAACGCGTATCGAACATCTTGTCGCCCCCAGTAGTACTCCGTGATTATCCACGAATAGATACAAGCAGAACTATCGAACAACTACATCGAAAAGAACTCACGAAATGCTACCACAACTACCGCTACCAGCATCCTCTTCGAGGTCAGCGTCCTGCTTAAATCATAACAACGTTTGGGTCTCCGGCAGTTGTTGGGACTCCCTTTCCTTTTCATCAGCATCGCTCTGCAACGCAACGCATTCTTAGAGGATTATGTTGCTAAGGTACTAAAGACAATGCAGTTATTCAATACTACCCACAAGAACGTACAAAAAAAACAAAATAAGAAGCCCTCCAGCTTCTTCTAGGACTAAACTAACATGCTAGTACCAGTCGTGGTGCAGTTTTATGTAGCTCTTGTAGTATAATTCCCGGCATGAGGTATGTATGCTTGTGTTGAACAATTGTAAATCAACAAAAAATGATACAACGTGTAGTTGTTCCTGGTCTTAGTTATAGAATTTCTCAAGCCGTTGAACGATCTCCTCCACGTCATCCACGACCAAGGATCCGCGCGATTGCCGATTCGACGGACGCTGGGTCAACGCGGCGGTGGCTTTCTGCAGCTTCTGACATTCTTCGCGCAGCCGTTCGTGGTCCTCTGCCAAACGCAACAGCCTCAAGTATTCAGCGCGCTCCAATTTCAAGTCAGTTCCAATTACGGGAACGCGTCCATCTCCAGCGCTGGAAATCAAGGGGACGATCATAGCTTTAGATTTGATCCCAAAAATGAAAATTTAGCTGACTACGTCGATGCTGAAAATCAATAAGAAGAATGTTGAAGTATGAGAAGGTTTGTGGCATCGCGTGGGACGAACGGTTGCAGGTAGATAAGAAGGTGGAATATACCCTGTTCCTTGCCGATTTTGCACTTTGTCGATGAGTGAATAGCACGACATGAACAACAACAAGACAAAAATCGCCAGCAGAAAAGCAACAATCGCCCACTTGAGCCCATTGCCCGTCTTTTCTGTCGCAGATGAGTTGGTTGCTTTTCCTCCTCCAGAACCTCGCATACTATACCTATTCCCCACAGCGACCCTCGTCTCTATGAAGGACTGCAGAGCGCTTCTAGCCTCCCGGAATGTGAGTAGTCCGTATTCGACAAGAGTGCCATCTAAATCATAAGCAGGAACGAGATCTAAAAGAGCATCCAACCCACTGCGTGGGGTTGACTGCTGGCTGCAATGCTCAGGCTCAGGCTGAATTCCGCATCCCGCAGACGAAGGGAAGTCTGCTGTACTAGCAGCCACCGGGCCACACAGAAAGACGAATAAGGCCGTCCGCCTCTCGACTTTTTTAGCACGACGCACCGCAGCCCTTGTAGGGCCTGCAGAACAAGAAACACTTGTTAACGTCAACATGCTGATGATCGTCATGCTGTTGATCTCGATTGATACTTCTTGAATTGCTAGGGGGACACTGGCGCGCCCTGAAGCAGAAACTCGGTGCTACTTCTTGAACAGAAAGGGCCTCGAATCATGATTCTCACTCTACAGAAGGCCACATCTATCGCTTGAGTCAAGTACTTCAATTTCCAAATGTTGTTCTCTTGATATTATAACTCAAGTTCTAGATAAAAATGTTGAATGACCTTAAGCTCATTTCAAATTTGTTTCGAGTACTGTAGTCTCATGCTTGAGCACTATGTCACAGAAAAGAAGGAGATGCAGTCACCTGCGAAGGGAAGGGAAGATCCAGGATACTTTTCCGAGGTAAGAGATCCTCGACTATAAGTGAGACTCAACGAACATCAACATGGCCACCTACACTTCAGACAGACAGATACGGCGCATCCAGAAAAGCAAAAGGCGTAGAGAAATCGTCGTCTACTAAGAGCTCTCAACAAGGTGAACAATGGACCGACTTTTCAGTATCTTGGCAAAGCCGACCGAGAAAGCTGAGGCATCGGGGCAGTGAACTGATACACCGATATTTTCAGCAGCAAGCAGGTTCATGTCGCGGGGGAATGTCATCATTATCCTGATCATCATCCAGGGATTGCCTCTTGAATCACCATGTACATGTAGACCACTCAGATTGTGTAATGAACGTAAGAGCATTTCCTCTTATACCGATACGTTCTTCCTTTACAGATCACATTGATTGTCGTGTTGTAAGCATAAGTGGAATTCTGCTACCAATACTAGACCAATGGCTGGGTAAGCCCACATTTGCTTGGCGTTGTAGAATACCCTCCACGACGAAAAATAAACACTTTACATAAAACCAAACTCGCATGTTCCTTATTATCCTGCTCTACAGGTAGTCATCTAGTTAGGGAATGGGCTTCGCATGAAAGAGTCGTAGTCAGAAATCGGTTATACGTCTACTAATTGAGTCGTGGGTTCGTCTTGTGTCAAGAAGAGTACACTTCTTCCTACTGAGGAGGGAGTTGAATTTGGTCGATGATGGTTCTGCTCACATGATAAAGAGGGACTCGTCACGTATACTGAAAGACCCCAGCATTTTCTCAAATCCCGACGCGTACCTGCGTAGACGACTGAGAACAGACGGTGGCGCACCTAGTTTCCCCGCTGCTTTCAACAGACCCGTCTCGAACTGCGTGGGAGAGGCAGGGGCGGTTTCAGAAGCATGCTCTTGGTCTACAATGTTACTAGCGTCGTGCAGCTGCTGGCCTTCGACTGCCTGTTCTATCAACATATCAGCGTTTGAGGCGCCCCTCTCATCAGTCCTTCTCACACTGCAGTTCAACGACAGTAAGACATCTGTCCGGAAGGCTTCGTACCGAACACAGGCCAAGAGGGTCCACACATCCTCCACATTTTTCTCCTTCGTACTACCTCTTAAAGACTGGCCCTCTCCTTTTCCTGTGCTGCCAGTAGCAGAATGCGGCCTTGTGATATGTTTTTCGACGTTTTCTTGGCGAGAAAGGATCACCGCACAGCAGTCCGACCTACGCCCTTCTTGTTCTAACGAAGGAAAAGGATAAGTCGTACTCACAAGTGATGATGGCTGCTCACCCTTCGACGTTTCAGTGGAGACGCCTTCTCCTCGCGCTTCGCCGTTGCCCCACACGAAAACTCGCTCAGCTTGAGTTCTTTGGTGAGATTCTGGACCTCCGCTGGCTGCCGCAATGAGATCCGAGAGATGAAATTCGCCAATTCGAAACGCCGAGTCGGACCACGACAATGTTGCTTGTCCACCTCCGACACGTTCACGGGGATTCAATTCGACCGGTGCCATATCTAGGAGCTCCACGATGAGCGAGTCGGCGCCTTCAACGCGGTCCACGAACACCTCTTGGTTGTCAGGAATTTGCCGTACGCAGCTCACATCATCGAACGATGCAAAAACACTACACGAAATCGCGCCTCCATAAAGTTCTCGCGCTGTCAAGGTCGCCTGCTGCTCGACGCAGGTACTAGAAGTCCTCGCATCACTTCGTGTCGTTGTCGTTGATGCACTACGAATCAGTGTCGTTGGTGCAGCGGTATCACTATCATTTGCCATTGTGGCGTTTGGTCGAGATGTTGACGTTACATCTTCCATCTTTACATCGAGAGCGGCCTGCGACAGCGTCTTATCCTCGTCGTGTGGAGCCATTATTCATTTCAGCGAAGAAATAAAGGGTAATTTACAAGCACGCTCATGCGAAGAAAAGAACAAAGAAAATAATCTCTAAATCGATGAAGGTCTGTTACATGACTAATAGAGTGCACACATACAGGCCACATAGAGCTACATAAACGACTTTCACAAAGCTCATAGACACCACCTACATCGACTCTGAGTGATCATGGTGTTGAAAAGTACGATACTGTGTAAGCGCTGCAAAAGCAGAGAAGTGTTACCTGTATAAGCTTCTGCAACTATCCAGCACAAGCAGAGATCAAGTTCCTGATCGAAGGATCGTCAGAGATCGCATGGATTTCCCTATGATCTTTGCTGACAATCTTCAGCGGATATGCTATATCAATTGTCATTTCATAGATCTCATCTGACATGGTTTTGGACCTATCTTAAGCTTGATACACACGGAGAGATCTTTTCTGGTCCGCTTGGGCATCGATCTTACTACTATTGATCTTGGGGCTGAGGCTGACCTCAAAGAGACCGCGGCGAAATAAAAATAGCAGTGCAGTACGATCATTGCTCAGGTGTTATCCTTCGTAGAACTCCCATGAGTTGCCCCATGCCAAAAGAATAGCTTACAAGAAGGCCCTCTAAAGATGAAAAAATAACAACGATGATATATTTATATATAAGGTGTATTGGAAAGATCACATAAGCGGGGGCGGGGACCGAATCTGCGTGGGTGAATGAATTGACCTGGTCAAAGTGCTATTCAACGCAGGCAGACGTTCTGCACATTGACCGCATCATTCATCTGCTCTGGGAACACTCTATGAAGATGAAAGTACTTACGCGGTATAGCTATCATATCTTTTGATTTGAGAGGACCTAAGCATGATTAAATCTAGCGGGATTTTTCTTCGCACGACTTCATTCAACGACAAAAGGAATGGACGAAATTGAATAATTCAGCACGACATCAAAATCATTCCCGTATCATGTCTGATTCTAAGGAATTTTTTGTTGTTTCGGCAGAACTAACTAGAATGCTTTATCTCCTCAAACGTGGGGGAGTCCCAGTAACCTGCAGGCGTTTCCACACTTATGCGATGCCAAAAATTCCTGCATACCTCGCTGCCCTCGATCTGCTCTGCCGTATTCTTTTGGAACCGAGTTAAGTTGCGGATCCGTGAAGCTCCATTCCGCGCCTTGAATATCCACTACGATCTCCTTGCAGTGGGAAACGTGGTAGGTCCAATGCGAGAACGCTTGCGCAATAGACGACTGCAGATCCTCACACAGCAAGTTCATTTGTCTACTAGAATCAGGCTGGTGACTGATATTGAGCCGCTTCTTCGATGAGAAGGATGCAGGGGTTCTTGCGACCTTCGCTTCCTGCAACAACTCCTCGAACGGTTTAGTACCAATTTTATCGTGGTCAGACCGAATTACACCTCCACCAAAAGCGTCGATTCATTAGAGGCAGCTTACTACTTGATTACTGCACTCCACATCTATCCCTGTTGTTTTGTATTTACTATCACCTCGCGTTCCCACATGCTCATCCTTGAAGGAAGATTCACGTGTGGAGGAATGCCTGAGAAACTACAGAAACATAATTCCCTACTAAGAATTCTCTACTATAACTTAAAAAATGAATTACAGTTTCGGAGAAGCGGAAGCCATATGTCACGTTCTTGCTGGAGTTTTTCGTAGTGGGCCGCACCCACCCATTATTTCCGTTGAACTTGCGGTATTTGCCTTGAAGCTCCTCTTCCACCGCTAGGTAGCGAAATTTCTGCGTAGAAGCATCTTCCCTGATACGGTAAACGTCGGTACGTAAGAAGTGCAGGTGTGGTAGTAGCGAGTCACGCTGCACAACATCCAGCGCATTCCACTGCGCGGCGAAGCTGATAGCACGCTCCTGGCATTTGCTACTCTCAAGGTGAAATGCCAATCGTTCTGCGTATGGCACTTCGTATCTTGACTCCTTGGCAACAAGTTTTTTAATTGTTGTGCCAGATGAACTTTTACCAAAAGAAGAGGAATGATTTTCGAGGATTTCCGTCATCCTATATACATTTCGTAGACCACCTTGCGCAAACGGTTGCTGCGGCAAGGAGACCGTCTTTTTTGCCACTCCCGCAACAGGCTTCAACTTCCCATTTTTCAGTTCCATCACGGTGACGTCGTCATATTGCTTCATCTCCGCACGACACGCAGAACCAAAAGTACTCCCTTCTTCGTTGTCTTCCACCAATTTCACGTCACGTTCGACCTGTACTGCAGGCTGCTGCCGCAGCGACGTTACAGCTGCGCTGATATTCAGGAACGTAGACCGCAACGAACTGCTTCCGGCATGCATGGTAGCTCCAAAACACGATGTGTCTCCCGGCTGCGCACTCGACGGAGCAAATAAACCCAAGTCGATCATGCTATCCCGGTTCGTGGGAATTCCCAGCATCGCCTGGCCACGCGCGCGAAAACCTTGATATTTTGGCTGCATCGGATTATTCGTCATCAGAGGAGCTATCTCGTCAAGTTCCAGCCGCGCCTCGTGGAAGTGACCGCCGTACTTCTCAGCGATCCACCTGAGCCAGGGAAAACCTTCCTCGTAGATGCCAACGAAATGCAAGTCAGATTCAAATTTGTCGCGGAGTTGTTCCAAATGACGTGCAGCGCTGGTATATTCTCTTCCATTCAGGCGGTACGTTCGCTTCATCTCTTCGGACGCACACGATGGGACCTTGTCCAAATCCCCAGGTCGACCGTCCGAAAGAAAAATTACTACAGGTTTAACGAAGCCGGATGAGCGGGGTGCACTTATCACGAACTCGCCGCGAATGGGATCTCCTCCTGTCATCAAAAAGTCTTCTCGTTCACGTTCTTCGGCCAGGTCTTCGATATGCCGTGTGAGAATGTCACAGGCGCACTTGAGGCCCGCAGCGAAAGTTGTGCCGTGAGAAGGATGGTTCTCATCCCTCGCTTTACGCAGCTTCTCTATAATTGCCTTTCCAGTTCCATCTCTTTGGGCAACAGGCTCCCTCTCGAAGACCACCGTCGCGCTGTTGTTCCATGTGACAAGAGATACCTCAATTGGGGCACCAGACGCCGCATCACGTTGAGTGCTCACCTGCGACTCCACGAATTCCTCCGCGCAATGGAAAACAGCATCCCAACGGGTAATTAACTTAGTCCGGATTCCACTTGAAAAAGTTTTAGAAACATCACACGTGCGCATGGATCCTGATTGATCAATACAAAAAATCACGTGCACCACTTTCTCGTCATCGTCTCCGTACCCCTTACGATGTAGGACGCCATTGCTTAGAGAGAACGCCTTCAAACGTTTGACATATCACTTTCCATCTGCTGTTGCTCTGTGAAGACTTACTTCATCTCATCATCATCCACGCACCTAGTTCTATCACTAGTTCTATCAAAACCTATGATAGATAATAGGCTTTAAAGCGGAGAAAACAGTGCTTGAAATGAGTGAAAGCTACATCTAGAGGTGAGTAAGAGTAGCCTGAACATATGATGATAAATGACTACAAAGTGAAGATGCGCATGCATAGGGTATCAGTTCGCAAATCATTCTGCGGAACCAGAGCCAAACGTTCTCGGTTATACCCAGTTCCGCGATGCTTCTCTGCATCACCTTTCCGCCGTTTCATCCCGTCCTCTGTTGCAGCAGGATTTGAGTCATCGTACTCGCAGTGCCGCTTCCCCATTAGGTTGCGCTTACTCGCGTGCTTGGAAGGAAACGCCATCTTGAGATCGGTTTTCGCGGAGAGATCTGCATACGAAGTATTAGGTCAATAGTGGATGCAACCTTGGGACTACGAAAAAATAGGTCGAAATCGAATAACAGTCCTCACAATCGTATCTACAAGGTGGAAGCCTGAACCTCTAGAATCATTGACACTACCGATTTAGAAATTGAATCTCCGAGCCTCGAGAAATCGTTACATGAAAAAGTTCTGGCTGTGAGGACGAGAACGAAAGCCCTAGAGTCCTGCCCGTGTCATGTTAGAGCCCCTGATGCAACTGTACATGGTCAAAAAGCAATATCACGTAGACGTAGAGGTACTGGCTAGCCACCTACTAAGAACTTCGAAATGCTTGCTTCAATGCAATCGGACTGTATCGACGTCCTCAATCGTGTCACTTTGAAATTTTTTCTGGATCGCGCTCTGAATCTGGGTTTGATCTTTTTACTCGTGAAAATCCATGGCATTCACCCACCCACTCTTCATTTTTCTCCTCTTGATCTACAAGCCTCAATCTGCTACTATCCCATGCCATGGAGCTTCTTTCATCTGTGACATACAATACAATACCACTAATCTCGCACAAAGTTCAGCGCAGACTGCCATAAGGGCGCCATAGATGGTCTACACGATGGATCTCACGCAAAGATTGCAGTAGCGAAGCGGTGCGGTTACGTATGTTTTGGAAAGTAACAACTAAACATGAAACAGCACTGAAAGAGAGACTTAGACAACGAGCCCTAACTGCCACCGTTAAACCAGGTAGAACTTTAGTAAACAGCGTACTTAGGTATGACGGGGCAAACGTTTACTTTCTTTACGCAAGCGGAACCAATTCTTCGAAGCATTCTTCAGCACTCGAGTCCCTCTGTCGTGAAGAAGAGCTAGAGGCTGCTCCGCATGAAGTCTTTGAAAGATATGCGCAAGGGCTTTCAAACTTCTTCTCAGCACATCCACACAGGGCGGAAGAACACGATTGTAACAAGGCAGGCGATCTATTCTTTTCCAGCGGAAAAATGGCAGAGCTGCCTGCATATACAAACAGTTCAGAGTTCATTCGATACACACAGTTCAGACGAACGTCGTTGTTCTGTCTAAACATCGTGGGATTGGGAAGGGGTACAGCGCTTCATTACCATGTTGATCCGACGACTATCCCATGATTATTTTGCGCAACACTTTACAGCTACCTATGCAGCACCACCAGATGTTTGCAAGTAGATATCAGTATCATGTTCCAAGAAATTATGATTGAAGACTAACTCCCATAAAAATCTGACGAATAACTCAAGAATTCAATTCGAACTCATTGTATGACGAACTCATCAGCGTGCGTGCAAGCGTCACATATTCTGAGAACAAAAGCTACGTAGCTTCTCCATGAAAGGAATGTCCCAAGGAATCACACTTTTATGTTACGTTAGCAATATTCTTTTTCTTACTTCAACATAACCCAGTACTATTTATCTATGAATCGATTCCATTACTTGAGCAGGAGCAGAAACAACAAGCTCACTTCTGATAAGTTGTAGACCTGGCACCGACTGCAGACCTTAGATAAGAAGACCAGATTTAGACGTAAGCATACCTGGTAGGCAAGAGAGAGTTAGAGACTTTTTTCACACAGGCTCAGATTAATATGGGGATAACTCATCTATCTTTGTCAATCGATTTGGTGGTGATCATTTTTCACAACATTCACAACTAAAAAACCGAAAGTTATGCTTACATTCTTAATCCAGCAACACAAACATTGTTCTACTCCGAGATGAACAAGTTTCTTTTCACACGGTCGCTAAGTCGAGCAAATTTTTTTTCACTGTCTGTTACGAAGATATCTAAATATCTATATTTATCGCGGTTAGAAAGATACCAACTTTGCTGAAAAGTGGGCGGGAATTCGTTGGTTGTCCACTCCGCAAAGATTATTATGCCCGAAGCGTAGCGTAAGAAAAGTGCAGCAACGGACTGGCATGGCATGACATGGATCCTCTGACATCGTGTAAGTCCATAGATGAGGCCAGTCAGCACATCCTGAATAGCCTCCATGAAGAGCTCACGCCCTTTCACGCAACCTGATCTGTTGTCGGGATTTCCGAAAGAACGAAGCAAGATAAAAAAGATAGCTAAGCAATCACTATCCAGTACGAAAAAATGACGGATCGTGTTCATCTTGGCCTACGTATAGAAAAAAAATACCTGTGAAGTTCTCGTTGATAGAAAGTTCCCAAATGAAAATTAAAACAGCACGTAGTAGTTTTGAATATTGATACACAACACTTTATACCAACGAGACTATCATATTTTTTCTCGTGCCTTGCAATTAAAGCTCCCGGATATCTAAAGACTTCAAAGAGGATGGCAATAACACCACACAGACACCCGCACAAGCTGGGTCGTGTCCTCCTCCAAATCACCTCGCCCCTGAACCACATGTAGATAAAGATTGATAGAATTCAATCAGTGTGGACCTCAGGCACAACTCACAAGCCATGTGTCCTGCGTCATCCAGATCAAATTTAATTCAGTGAAGACCGCGGAAAAGTCATAATCTAGAACAGTATATTTTTACTAAAAAACTAAAATCCGATTACAAATAAAAAATAGACGAGCATATTACATAGCATCAAGAGGTAAGACGTTCTTATTAGAATGTGAAGCACGTTGATTGTCCACTACTTCCTGGATCTTTTACTCGAAAGAAACGGGGCAAAATGCGACGGGAGTCAGAAAAAAGGCGACCAGTGTTGGGAAAGCCACCAAAGAAATCGATATCTCTAGTCAGTTGCTATCACGTATTAGGCATGTGTCAAAAGGAGGATAGCGGAGGGGGGGACTGCAGGTTTTCGGAAGCGATGAAGAAAGTCGGCTTCCTAGTTGCTGGGTACTCCTCCAGTCCCGTTACTAGTTCATTTCGATAGTTCTTAGAGGAAGTACATTCGTTGTATGTACTCAATCATCCTCCAATATTGTATTTTGTGAGAAGTAAAGACGCGAGTGCAACGTTGGGAATAGATAGCTGGAACAACTATGGCCTTTTTTTCATCGAAAGCTCCTGCGCAGTTCGAGCATCTTGAGAGCCTTCGGGTAGCTATTCGGCGCCTCCAGGTGGTCGCCCGCGATGCTCCTAGTGCGATCCCAGTAGTAACCGCAATCTTGGAGGTCGATCTGCTCTTCATCTGCGATCTTGAGAAAGAGATCCTCGATCCAACTGTAGTCTTCCATGTTGCAAACTAAGTCTACTCGATACTTTGGCGCTGGCGTGGTTCGTGACCGGCCGAGCCCGCCGCCGTCGGTAATCCTCGGCATGACGATTTCGCGTGGGTGGCAGCTCACGACTGGCGCGGATCTTGATTTCCGAGAACTCCGCTCCGCAGCCGAGGTTACAAAATCAGGGTTATTCGGCGAGAATGCGGCTGTTGCTGTCGCGGTCCTCGCGTGGTTGCTGTTATTGTCCGCGCCGCTAGTGGCACCGCCCGCTCCCAAGCTGCTGTTACGAGATGGCCCCTCCTGGCGTTGCCGCCTCATGAGTCGGTCAGTAGCGCGGTGGGTGGCAGCTTCGTCTTGCAATGTCATCATGTCCTCCAACACGCGGAAAAATTGGGCAAACTGCGGTGGGCAGTTCTTGCAGAGCTCCTCGATGGGAATATCACGTTTCAGGCGCCCAATCTCTTCTGCGTTGGCGAGGAGGAGATTCTTCCCGTTTGGCGGTCGGTCTTGTGACGCGTTCCGCCTAAACGCGGTCCCCACGCCGCCTCTCGGCGGCGGGGAGTTTCGCCCTGGCCGGGGTTGCGTTGTGGGGGTCCACGGCAGCCGCCCGCGAGTGACCATGGCCACCATGGTGTACCCGAATGCGTACAAATCGTCGAGCTCGTCCAGATACCGGCTGCGTCCTGGCTCGTGTGCCCGCGGAGACGCGTACTCGACTGTCCCAACCAAATCTTCATCGTCGGAATGGTACAAGTCCTCCGAGTCCAAGTCCGAGGCTTCCGAAGCCGTTGACAGGCTACCATCCCCCGCCATCGACCCCTCCTCCTTAGAGGTACTCTTGCCACGCTCCAATACCGCGGTCGATGCTATGGAAAGGCTTGCTTCACTTCCATCTCGAGCAAATCGAACGCCAGAGGCAGAGCGCGCCAATCGGCCATTTTGTGACTGAAGATGTAGCGCAAGCTGGTCCTTGTGAGGAGTGTCAACGTCGTCGTGTGGGTTTCCTGCCTCACGTGTCAACGTTGATCCTAAACTTGTTAGTGCCGTCGTTTTTGTGGACGCCTTTGCAAATGGGGATGCCATGAATATTCCCATCGGGTGTCTTTGACTCCTCCTTTTAAACTGTGCCTCCAAATCCTCCACTGTTACGGGCCTGTCACTCTGAAACGGATCGGATCGCCCACCTTCCGAAGATTTCCCAGCACTGTCGGAACTCCTGCTCTTGAGCTGCGGACCTAAACCCGCAACAGGTGGTGCTGGCACAGCAGCCCTTCCCGTAGGAGTTGCCTCCTGGGGAACCGAGAAAGCCATGATCAATCCCATCGGATGTCTTTCACTCCTCTTTCTAAATTCTTCCAGTGTCTCGGGTCTGTCGCTCTGATCCTGCTCTGATCGCCCTCCTTCATAAGATTTCGCAGCGCTGTCTGCGCTCCTTTTCTTCAGCTTCTCAATTAGCCCTTCCGGAGGTTGTGGTGGAGTTGCAACCTTGCCGTTGCTGCCCTCAACGGCTATTTCCCCGAAGCTAATCGAGTTGCTCTTCCGAAGTAGCGCTTTCCTCGTCTTCTTGCCATTTTGCGCGCGAGGAACTGGAATGATGGCATTATCAAGGAGTCGTGTCATTTTCAGACGGTTTCGCCGCTCGGCGCTCTTCAAATACGCCGAGACCGTGTGGAAACGTGAGGCCGGCGCCTGGTCTAGAGTGGATCGGATCAAAATCTCACGCGCCCGGGCTGCAAGGCGATCTTGCACTAGGTCCTCCACCTTAATCTGCTTGAACCAAATGCGCTTGCGTGGCACTAGAAAGTCCGCGTCCTGAAGCAACAGCCTCAGACTCTGCGACGGCACAAGTCTGCCTTGAGGACTAGGAACAAGCTGCTGGTACTGCGAAGGTGAAGCAGCGATCTCAAGCTCGCTTGATTCAGCACCATCGCCATCACGTTCCCGCGCATGCGGAACAGGAGCGCCTACGCCGATAGAAAACTGCGACGACGACGAAACGTGCTTGCTCGACGCGGGTCCTTGCTTTCCGTGCGGCGATCCGGTGCGATCTCTGTTGCTCCGCCCCGGCGACCGCTGCAACGTTGGCGGCGAAGACGAACCGGGTACAACCCGAGATACATGGCGGGCCACAAGATCCGATACCGTGCGAGCCCGAAAGCCGAAGCCCGACCCCACCAAAGCTGCATTGGTAGTGGATAAAGGACCCCCGATGAAGCTTTCCCCGGAAAGGTCCTTTGACGCCGTCCGCTCATTGTGAGACAGAATCTCCTCGAGTGGTGATATTGCTTCGTGCCTGGTCCTCCTTGTCTGCTGTCTCTCGCCGCCCTCTCCTTTTTGATCTCCAGGGATCCTCTTGTTGGCCATGCCTCCGCTTGAATATGCCGTACTATGTGCTGCCACGGAATTGTCAGAGACAGGCGAGGCATGAGTGCATGACTTAGGGTCGTAGCCACTCTTAGCCTCCAGCCCGTCGAGTACGGCGACGTTCCTCGTCAATGTAGTGGACGAAACGTTTGCCCCTTCTATCGTTACGCTGTCTGAAGCGGCAGCATCCACCCCATTGTGCTGCATCATGTGCACGCGCCCGAGACGTGCGACCAGACTCACGTCCATACTACCAGTCTCACCGGCCTGAGTGGCCCCAGCAGCAAGTAGGCGAAGAGCTCGTTCTCTGGAAGCTGAGCTATCCTGGTTCAAAAGCTCAGATCCAAGGAACGGCTGAACTAGTTCGCGTCCGGAACGGGGACCACCTGCAAGAATGCTTGTGGTAGTGCTTCTCGTTACTTGGTAGTTTTCCGTGACACTCTGAAGGTAAGACTGGCTCTGCATGAGCGCAGACACTTCATCGATGTTGGATGTGTAGCGCTGCTTATATGTTCCCAGCTGTTGGCTCGTTGTAGGTATTTCTCCCCAGACGTGGCTAGCCGAGGCAGGCGCTGACGCTCGACCTTTCGGCCGTGTTGGGTCCGGAACAAACGAAAGACCTGAGGACGCGAACGAGCCCGCCGTTACGCCCCTCGAGCCCAGCGGGTTGCGTCCCCTTGCAGCTGCGATCATTCCAGGGAGCTCAAGAGACCCCAAGGGCGAAGCGCCCCCACTGGTGAGACTCTCCTCATAACCCGCGACCGCTTCCTGCGGAGTCATATTATTGTTGGCACTATGTCCATCTCCAGACGACATCAAAGTGCTCTGGTTACGCCCGCCACGCCCAGAAGAGCTCCTGCCAGAGGATCGCATGAGGTCGTCTTTCATTAGGGCCCGCATAATCCGCTGCTCCTCGACGCCGGCAACGGGCAGCGCACCCTCCCGCATTCCCGACAGCACGAACGTAGAAAGCATATTTCCAGTTGTCAGAATGCGTAGAACGTCCGTGACGTTCGAGGAGGAAAGAATTTCAAATGCGCGCCGGTAGAGATCAGCCTCGTCAACTGCGGATCGATGACGACCACTACCACGACACACACCAGTTCCCGAGTTGGGATTCGATGCTCCACCTGCGTAATTCTTGTAGAGACTGCTCGAGACATTCAAGTTGCCATCCGACAGATTGGCGCGGCTTCCGTCCAGCTCGTATTCGCGCTTCATCTCGATGCTTCGGCGATTGCTCGAGGTCGCCTCCCGCAGGGTCCCAGACAGTGCCCCGACATCTTCTAGTTCTGTGGACGACCCACGCAGCAAGGGAAAACGCGGCGCGCCCGCCGCCCCAGCAAACGCATCGGGCGGTGCTCTACCGCCAGATTCAAAGCTGGTCTCCACCCCACTGCGGCCAGGCAACTGCTCCCCTTGCCGCGACGCGCCAAGATACTCCACTGCGCTCACCACCGGCATCGACTGAAAACTATCACTGCGATGCAACATGTTTTTTCCAGCTGGCAACGAGTCGAGCGCCTCCCGACTCAGCGATCGGGTCTGGCAAGGTTCTGGCGAAAAGCGAAGCTTTTGCGACAAAACGCCAGCACTGCCTATTGTCACCGGTTCCGAGCCAATGACTGTAGGCGGTGCCGCTGAGGACTCCCCGGCCGTGCTCTCGACGTCGACATTCTCGAGTACCCGCATGGGGGCAAAAACAGTTCCCGGCGCAAGTGGCTCACTGCTGCTTGGAGATCTACCCGGTGGATTGCCGCTAAGCCGAGAGCCAACTGGTGACGGCGCGGCTAGGTCTCGCGCCCCGCGTTCGTAGTACACTTGATCTGAACGCCGCTTGGCTTCTTTTTTAGCAGTCGCAACGAACTCCATTGAGGAACAGGCACTTCGACTCCTCTGCAATGGATTCATACTCTTGAGACCTTGTTCCGCCACGGTCACGCTTTTAATACCAATCGGAGTTGATTTCGACAGCTTCAGACCCTCGCTAGACGCCAATTCAAAACTGCGAGGGCCGACTAGGTCTTGAAGGTGGTGGTCTAGGCTCATGCCTCGTCCCGCTCTTGCTAGCCGAGTAACTGCTAGCTCTACTTCAACTGAGGAGGATATTACTGAAGCCGGTATTTTCGTCGTGGTCGTGGTCGAATTACTTATATAATCTGTAGGATTCATCTTCGCACTACTCGTCATCGATTGCTGCACGTCGACGACAGCTGCAGCTGAACCAGAAACGAAGTTGTTGCGCTGACAAAATGCGCCAGTCCCTCTTTCGCTACTAGTTTCCACGCTTCCCGGCCTCCACGGTCCTGTACCCAGACTAGCCTTGTTAGGCCTAGTAGAAGCACCTGCAAGCACCACACTATTTGTCTGCGTGTCCGACGATCTTGCCGTGGACAGTGTTCTGGACGCATTCGCGTGTTTCTCGGTGTTTATCTCTTCAGACAAATTCGGATTTGAAGCCGACTTTGACACCGAGAATGCATGCCTTGTCAAATACATTGCGGAAGATTCAGCTTTGTCCGAGGACCCATCAACATGCGTTTGTTTGCTATTGCCAACTCCTGCTGGTTGTTGTGGACCTGCTTCTGGTCCTCCTGGTGCCCCAATTATTTCCATATTAAAGGTCGTCTCGCCGCCGCTCTGTTTGCTGTCCGTGCAAACATCTTCTACTTCGAGAAGACGAGTATTTGAATTCGCGCGCAGTTGTATCGCATCTGATGAGCCTTCTTCAATCCCGCCACGGCCGCGAAGCTCTTTCACCTCTGCCTTCAGCGTAGAAGTTGAGATCGGCATGGACTTGCTTGCCGAACCTTGGACTTCATCCTCGGACTCAAGCAGTTCATTCGCGCTTTGACCATTTCCGCCTATCCGAGTGGTCGGGCTTTTCCGCGAACTACCTTGCTTAGTGGAATCTGCCTCCAATTTTACGCTCCCGTCGCTTAGCGCCGTGAAGTTGTTTCTTCGTGGGCCGTCCGTAACCTTTGCCTCTACTACATGCTTAGAACCATCCCCGGATAACTGTTCGCTCAATGTCGAGTGAGAGCCAAGTGTTGGTCCCCCAGAACCCAGACACGGCGCAACGCCGACGTTTACCGCGGCTCCTCGTGACGGCCCCCGCGAAAGTGGGAGGCCTGGTCCTACAGATATCAAGCCTACCGCCTCTTTCGCGAGCTCTTCACCTCGCATCCTCAAAGCTTCGACCTCTGGGATCGGGGGCGGCACCAACTTCTTCTTATTCCGACTTTTCCGAAAGAGCACGTTCTTCGGACGCCGCTCTACCTTTTTGGCCAGACCATAATCCAGTAACACGATGCACTTTCCGTAGTTATAAGCCCACCCCTTTTCGCCCACCCGGAAGGTGCCCTTCTCCTGTGAAATCGCAAATGCATCCTGCCTCTGCTTAATCGATTCGCGAGAGTTCGTTGAAGCTGCTACGACGCCAGCCGTTGGGGTTGCATTTCCCCTGGTAGATGTTCTTGACATTCCCCGTTCAACACCTCCGAGCAGACTAACATTTTTTGCACGTCCTCCGTCCACAAGCTGCACACTGGCACCAGCAACAGCAAGAGCAGCTCCAGCATGGTTTACAACTCCCGCACCAGGAGACGAGCGCCCAACTCCGCTCAGCGACGAGCGGGAGGGTGACCGAGCGCCCCTGCGGTGGAACAATTGATCCGAGCTCCATTCCATCAAGTTAGACTTAGAAGTCTTGCTCTCAGGAAAGGTCAAAGCAAAGTTGCTTGGCTTGATGTCGCGATGAACGTAGCCACGTCGATGGATCTGTTCTAAGATGCGGGCTATTTGCAAGCCTAGCAGGACCCAAGTCTTCACATCGAAGGGGGGATGTCGCTCCATCATCATGCTCAAATTGGGACCCACGAGCTCCATCACTAGAAAGTTTTGGATGAACTGCGATCCATACCTGAAGAGAATAGTGCAAAAAGATTTCGAAGATAGTACACTGTGGATCTTTCTACAAGCAGTTGTAAAGTAAAACAAAAACTATTCAAAAGACTGAATCCAACGTCATAATTGTCGAAAATCATGGGCGAACTTGTCTACTCGCCTTGATTTGGCTAGCTGATTTAACCGTTTCCTGCTCAAACATCTCTTGCGTCTTCACCTTGAACTGCACGGCCACGAAAATAACCAAATCATAGTACCCGTAGAGTTTTGGAACTCCTAGAACACCCTGCAAGTCTTCTAACGCGCGCGCCTCAGCAATAAGTACATGATCCAAGGCGGAGAGCGATTCCATTTTTACTGCCACGGGTGCACCGTCGTTGTAGACATCGAGCGCCTTGTAGACTCGTCCGAAGCCACTACGCGCGAGCGGCGTGAGGTTGAGATACCGCGAGTCGAAAATGTCGTCCGCATCCTCGTCCGAGGAGGAGGTGAAATCGTTCCGTTCAATTGCGGTCTGACCGCCAAGTGGTGGGCTCGTTTTGCTCTGCTGCCGTGCGCTGCTGCGACTCGGGTGTCGACTTAGGTGCCAGTCCGTATTGGTCGTAAACTGTCGCGGCACTTCCGTATTAGCTGTTGCCTGCCGGGAGAGGGATCCCACACCTGACGGGGACCGGTCCCGCATCATCTTGGGAGCAGCGGTGGGAAAATTCGTAAACGCATGATGTGCAGCGCTTACTTCGCTCTCTAGGTGCACAGCCGACGAGAGCCTTTTGCTCGCGCCAGCCGGCGGAGCCGGAACTTTTTCACTTCCAACCGACACAGGGCTTCCCTCTGCGATGCCACGACTACTCCTATGACGTTTTGTGGGAGTGCTCTGGGTCGCTTCCGCCAGCAGCTCACCTAGCATGATTTGCTGTGCGGAGCCGGGTCCGCCGGGCCCATGCTCTCGTGTGCTGCTCCGTCGGCGGTTGCCCAGTGGCGACGTCGCAGACGGCGCGACTGCTTGAGCGCTATCCGCCTTCCGTCGTCTGCGCTTCCCGCATCGCGACTGCACGAGTTTGCCCAAATCCGCTGCACAAACCGGGTAGCTCCAACTCCGCTTCACGACTGGCAAGTGAAAAACGTTTTCACCGCATATTTGTCCATTTGACGATGCACTCTGTCCCTGTCTCGACAAGCCTGCGGACAAGGGGGTACTGCCAACAGTTGTAGAAACAAGGGGGTTGGTCCCGCTTGGCAGATTCCCGCCGTGACGCGACCCATCCAAGCCTTGACGGCGTCGCTTATCGCTGTGCTTCTTGCCATGCCGCGTGCCTCCTCTGCCTGAGAAGGCGCCTCTCCCAGCCATCTCATCACCGCTGACATCCTCATCGGAGAAGGGAAGAGGCTCACGCCGCACTTCGCTCTTCGTCACTGCAGATGGAGGACCGTAGGGCGAATTACCCACTCCGCGTGAGGGAAAATTACCTCCGGGTCCTCCCAAAGGACCACCTGTACTTCGCTGAGGTAACATTCTTCTTTCTCCTGATCGTGAGAAATCAGAGGTCACGACATGATCAGAAAGGAGCGCTCACGACATGTATTCGTCAGCACGGAGGTATTGTATATCTTCTATCTTAAATCTATGTGTAGGATGGGCCTATATAAAAGACCACCTCTCTCAGGTCAAACTTTTCGCTACCATGCTCTACTGTTGATGTCACACGATGCTCATTCTGTAGCGCTTGTGGAATAACATTGATTGGCAAGATGTTTTTTCTGTTTTTCTTAAGTTGAGGAAAAATTTATTCTTACGTAGTACTTAGATACAATTACCAACAAGGCCAATTTTCTTGTTCATACACATCCGTCGCTAATTCGCGAAAATACAGACGGAGAGATGAAGAACAGGAGTAGATAAAGTAAAAACTTCGAGAAAAGCAAGCATATTCTAAAGTAAAAACCCCGCTTCGCAAAAATTCTCTAAGGTAAAAGCGTTCGCTAGAAAGATTCTTTTCTGCTCATGTACCAACCATCACATCCATGACTCCGATTGATTCTCTTTCTCAGTCATGAAAAATCATCCACATGAAAGATACACTATGATTTTGCGTTGGGTGAATCTGAATAACTGACGAAGGTGAATCATCAAGAAAGCCCGGGGAAACGCAGAAGATGAGAACGATTACTTTATAACATCATCATAGATAACGATGGATAAAGATCTTATTCTGAAGTGATACTCAAAGGAAGGCTGAAAGGGGGACGAGTCCAAGCGCAGACATAGAAAATCATCCTAAGCAAGACGACGTTCTCAGGTACGAAAATTAAAGGCTGGACTTGCTGAAAACAATATGGAAAGATTGATCTCTTACCGATATAGAAAAGGGTAGACAGGGCAGGAGAAAACGACATTGCTAGCTTCGCATGATAATTATTGAATTTCAATAGCGCAGTTGCAGCTTCAAATAAAGGGTTTTCTTCTTGCCATAAATTCCATAAGAGCACCGATGAAATTCCATAACAACACCAGCATAAGTGGGTGTAACCACGTAGTGCAAAAAGGTTTCAGCACATCTTGAAGGAGGTGGTCATATACACTCATGTCAACACTCTGCAGGAACAAGAACAACCGCGCGAGGAGCGTCTAATATACCAGATCAGCACAACTCATTTTTTAGTCACAAACTCATCAAGAACAGATCGTGAGCGACTCTCATCTCATCCAAGAAATGCAATTATATCAGACGAACCTCATCTCAATATACTTCTGGCGTACAAATTAATAGTTCATCTTTTCTTCTTCCTCAGTCTCTATAGTTTTCATCGATGAACAGCAAGATTGAAGGCCCAACTCATGGTACAGATCAGGTCACTCATCTTGGGAAACTCGTCACTGGGAAGAACATTTCCACATCTCTCTCAGTCACGCACTCGCAAGCAAGGGCAACAGATCTTCTAATCTTTTCGAACTCGTTCACTCAAAACAAGCGCCTAGAACGGTTAGAATGCTTTTTGATGTGGCCATGTCGATTATATTTTGGGCCTTAACAGTGTGTCTATCTCAAAATGGTGCAAATTCTTGTTGTCTAGCACTAGCATTCGTGAGTCAAAAAAAATCATGTTGACCTAACTATAAAGTCCGTCTTCTCCAAACTCAACTATTCCGACACTAGGACAGAGAGAGGGATCGAGAAACATCGATTTGGTTGTGAAGGCACCTGCTTGCAGAGACGCCTTGATGAACTCTACTACAAAGGCCTCTATTGGACACTGCGCCGAGTATGTAAGTCTATGATCACCATCATCGCGCCTTAAAGGCTCTAGTAGCCCTCCTCGCCTATCGGTGATATCACCAACTCATTATCACGGTTAGAACAACAGAATTAGGAATGCGGCAAGTCATTAAAGGTACGATGCCTTTGAAACAGTACATGCTTCAATCTGACCAGATTCCGGGGCACATAAGAAGAAAACCAACTGTCTTTACCTGCCTCACATTGGTGCGTGTGGCACGTATCTGCGCAGAAACAGGCTACCCAATAGAAGCTGAAAAATGGCTGCTTATCTACCGAACGAGTCTTCGTAGGAAACGCTACCAGGAGGTGTCAGCTAACGTTGAACTGCGAGAAGAGTCTCCAAATCTAACCCGTATTCTTGGCTTGAGCGGCTGTCACGACACCCTCTTGTGAGGAAAAGAGAGCAAAAGTGCCACAACATCCAGAAAAAGAGGACCGCGCTCAACTCTGATGTACAGTTGGGTCCTCGGCCATGCTCCGTAGTCGGTACGCAACAACGTTGAGGCATTCGTCTGCCCATCTTCATGCATCCGCATCGGCCTGCAGTCACGACGAATCTTTGCTCTCCGCGTGTTAGATGTTGCGTTATATTATCCGTGGCGGAGTGGTCCCTCTCCATTCGCATTCCAGTTGATTTCTTCTTGAAATCCTAGGGAAAGAATCAATGATAGACTGAGCATACTAATCTTGGTCCTAGACAAAATCATAGACTGAGGATAATACACCACGATCACCCGTAAGCTAACTGAGTCAGGACAATGCTACACAAAATAGACCAGCCAGGATAATAAGTACACCACCCTTAAGCTTTGTCTGATGTCTGTCGCCCTGCCCTGTTGGCCAAGTGATCAACTTGTTGAGGCCATGGCTCGAATGTCGGAGCTTTCGCAAAGGAGTACAAATCCCTGGCGGACCTCACACTGTAAAACGTAAAATCGAGCAAGTAAAATCCTGCACCAGCATACAGTCCTGTTGAAAAATGGATTTGGAAACCTCGATCACAATATCTAAAAAAAAGTAGAAAGCTGTATTAGTAATAGTATTACGGTTCTCTAGATGATTCGAAAAGTCTTGATATTGTTTCCAGTCTTTAGCAAAAACTCGGCGAGTAGAAGACGAACAAAAGTACTATTGTAAGTAGGTGATACCTGCTCGAAGATATCCAAAGTTCTGGAGACATTCAAAGAATGTCACCGGCAGCTTCATTGCTTGAGATGGATGTCTCGAAAAACGCTTTTATCTTGTCAGGAAAAACTAGCTGTATAAGAGAGGATCTCAAACTCTCAATATCTTTGTTGAAAGAAATCGTCTAACAAATGACATACATAGTTCTTCCGGCCTATCTTGCGCCTCACAGAGACAGCACGGCCATTGATATTGATTTATCAGTAATACATTCTCACTGCTTAGTCCTTGTGATGGACATATTTTTGATGTTTTACCTAAAAGGGAACTACTCGCTCGTGTTTTCTTTTTGTAATGCCACTAACTAGCGCGGGGGCTCTCTGTCGCGCTTCCCTCTAACTCTCGTGGGCAATCAAGTAAGTGACCGAGATCTTAACACCTGTGCCCGTACTTATAGGTTCGTCTTGTACAGCACCGATATGCGCTCATACAGAAAGTCTTGTCATTCAGGTAGCACATCGCTTCGACATGCCCCCTTCTAGTCCAGAATATTGCTGTTGCTCTCGAATTTTCTATGAAATGGATTTCGCTTCTTCCTAGAACTCTGCAATAGAACACTACACTCAATCATTGACCCAGCACGTGCGGAGAAACCGCCTCAAAATCATTGCATTCTTAGCCCCATCTGTGTGTTCCAAAGGTGAAGTTCATTACTAAAAGGAAACCTCCATCCCTTCTTGCAGTCGCCGATCCCTCGTTCATCAACATCATTCGTATTCGTACGTTTGCCTGCTTGTTGTGTGCTGCAGTAGCACCACATTGCCAGGAGTATGTTGGATATTGCCTTTGATGTCACGAGGGAACACACGTTGCTCCTTTCACGTGAAAAAATGTTGTAGAAGCTACATTGATCCTAGCATCGAAAGAGCAGCGTTCCCATGACTTACTAGGGAGGTAGTTGCACAATTAGCATCGGCGATGCTTCCACCTTCCTCGTAACTTAATAGTCATCTTCCCGGTATTTCTACATCTTCCACACATTTTTACTTACCTCTAAACTAGAAATGGCACCATAGTGTGTGGTGATGAGAACCACGTGGTCTTAATGGCGGCTATAATCTAACGCTACCAGGTGCTCGCCGACATCGCACATTCAATGTGACATTAGTGCCATAGGTGTCCCGACACTGTTTGGCCACGGGACTTGTGCAAATGGAACCTGATTTGCTTGGGTGGTTCTAGGCTGCTAACTAGTAGGTTGCAATGTCTGACAGGCTGATTCTCCTAAGCGCTGTAACCCTCATGAATAAATTTTCATGCTCTGCTGCTTCTTCGTAAAAAATACATAACAAACTCCAATGAAGGAATACATCCCGGAGGGAGTAGGGAGCAGGTACTTAAGTAGTGGAACATGATAGATGATTGCGAACAACAACAAGTCGAACCTTCTTCGAATGCATCGATAGTATGGGGAAAACAAACAACGAAGGACGAACTTGTTGAGCAGAAAAAGTTGAATCGGAACAACATAAAAGTGCATGGTGAGTTCATCTGAAGCCACATCTTCTAGAAAGGTCGCGGACTAAATATGGTCACCCTCGTAACGGTTCGGCATTAGGGAGCCTGAATCATTCGTTTTTCGCGGGTGGAAGAGGATCGTACTATTTTGATTTAAGTACTTCCGGTGATCGCGAACAAACTATTCTTCTAAAAAATTCCTCTTAGTGCTATGTCATTATGTGTAATTCGGGTGTGCCCTTCTGTTTCGTGTGATAAAATATTCATGATCTTGATCATGCATCGTTGTCATCGTACTAAATTACTAGCTGGATAAAATACTATGCGGAATAAGTGTTCCATCATATAAGTACACAACACACGGAAGTCAATATATCTTTTATCTATTTTTCTCGTCATAATGCGGGAGGAAGTGGAGTGACGTGGGTCATTCTATGGTGATGGACGGCACAGGATTTGCAATGGCTAGATGAAAATTATCAGCTCCGAAGGGTTCAAATTTTCGCTGGACAGGACTACACAAGCTTCACACTTTTTTCACTGAAGAATGCTTCCCAGACTTCTTGCCGCTGCCTTTTTTTGTCCCCTTTTTTCCTTTTGTGCCTGCCGCTGCACGAACGTGGATTTTTGCTCCCGGTGGTGCAAATGCGAAGAAGCCTTCCACTGTCTCATCACTGATAGCTTCAAAGCCTGCCGCCTGTTGAACATCGCCGTCGTTCAACTCCTCGTCTTCAGTCGCTGTAGTTGTAATACCTCTCTCTGCGGCCTCCATGCTCTCAAACTTCTTCAGTTGCAAGAGGAAGTTGACAGCCTCTGCGTCTTTTTCACAAGCCTCTGTAGAAGACGAAGAGCTGACGTTGTGGGCTGTTCTAGTACGAGTAGTAGAGCTGGGGTCTTTGGTACTACTCGGACTCTCGTCTTTACGAGGGTCGCGTCCACCAACTGCTCCGCCAAACAAATCGCGTTCGATGGCGTCAGCAGCAAGTTGGGACACTGTGCTTGATCGTCTACTTCTTACATCTTGTTGTACACCTGGTCGTTGCGCGTTTTCTGCATGATTTTTAACACTCTGCTGTTGAACATGATGTTGACGATCGGAATCGGAGGTTCCTGTAGTTCTAGTCCCACTAGAGGGGAGGAGTTGGACAGAAGCACTAGTAGAGCAGCTACTGGAGGTGTTATTATTAGATGATGTCATGGTAGTGGTGCCTGAAGGTGGTGTAACTGATTTCGATTTGGAGGCTTGCCGTCGCTTGTCGTTGCTTGCTTGTTGCTCGCAACTGTAAAGCAGCATGCGCCCTCTACTTCCCTGCGACGTCTGCTGCCCCCTCGCGAGGCTCTTGCCTCGACCCGCATCACCAGCGCCTTTGGGAAGACGCTGGGATGACCGTGCGGCCGCCAATTTTGACGCGGATATCGTCGCTTTCGGTCGGGCAGGGTCGCGCCCATCCTCAGTTGATTCTTGATGGCCATCATTTTTCATGCTACTCTCCGATCCTTTTCGTAGCCCACCGTGCGACAGAAAAGAGGGAGAGCTAGTCGAACTTTTCTCGTGCTGTAATTGGAAACCATCTTCAGGCGACACAGAAACGCCATATTTTTGTGATTCCGGCTGCTCTTTTGCGCCATCACTCAGCGCTGTATTCTCTTGTGCATGTGACGTTCCGTCAATAAAAGTCGTCTCCTCATATTGCAGAGACGAGGTAGCTTCGGATGCGCCTTTTGACACAGCGACGTCTTTTTTGAAGATAGACTCCGCTTCCTCTACTGGCGATCGTGGGGTTGTAGAGGATGCTATGTCCTGAGTCGTCAGTGGGCCGAGAGCGACGAATTCGTTTTTGGAGGATGCGGGCTCCGGATAGAAGTGCAGCTTCGCGAACAGCGACCCTCCGCGGGGCAGAATTTTTCGCACCTCCACTGGCCTCGCGTCCAAGTGGTGAACTCTGCGGGGCGAACTAGGTGGCGAACCCGGCGCCATGGGTACAGCCGCAGTGGGCTGATTTCTACCGGCCGTGGGACTCGCGCTTCGACCACGCACGAGGCCGGGAACCGATGACGAGGGCACACCGATGGACGAATCGCTACTACCCGGCTCGACTCCATTAACGAAGTCCCCGTTTCCATTCCAGTGTTCTGGAGGACTGCTATTACTTCTACTGATTCCACTGGCAATTTCTACATCTCCATTGGCGCCGGACGAGCTCAACTCGCCCTCCGCAAGCCCACCCCTATGTTGACGGGGGAGATGCTGCCGGCCGCGGGCGGCTTCCCGCTGACGCGCGTGCTCTTGTTCGGCAGCTTCCCGGTGTGCAGGATCTAAATGGGGCAACGCTTTGGTAATTGGCGCGAAGCCCGGGTCTGCTCTGGGACCATCGAAACGTGCACGAATGTCCGTCTTGTGAGGTCGCTGCTCTGGGGGTGCTTCAAACTCGGGGAACGAGATCTGCCGACCGGAGGCGCCTGTGAGAATGGCCATCCCACCGCGCTTTTCAAAGACCGGTGGCCGTTTTACTGTGTCTGCAACTTCCTTTTTCGTGTTTGGACTCGGAGGGTCTGTGCCACTGTTCTTGTTCGCTGCTGCCACTGCATGCGCATCAGTCGGCTTATTCGATGCATCAGGCATGCCTGGTGGCCGGCTATGTCCCACTCCGCGCCCTAAGAGAGCGCCTCCTGCTCCATGACTAGAAGATGTATTACCAGAAGTGCCATATTCATGCTCAGCGACCCCGACTTCCATCACGATGCCGGACATCATAACAACATCCTCATTCGTATTTTCGGCATTTTCTTGTTTTGCTGCACTGAAGCGCTGCTCCTCTTTGCCAGCGTTGCCTGCTTCAACTTCGGGCTCGACATCACCGGACTGCTCAGACTCCGCGACAACCGGTTTCGACGTGCCTTCAGCAGCTTCTGCCTTCAAAGGGCCCCCACCCAGGGTATCCTCAAAGCGCGCCATGCAGGCGTTACTTGTGTCGTGGGTACCATTTCGCTTTCGTTCGCCCAACAGTGATGGCCCGCGGTCAGGCCGCCGCGACGGTCCTCTCGATGGCCCACGCGATGCTGACCGTCCGTTCTCGGTTCGATCCACGCCAAAGCCCGCTCCTGAAGGGGAAGATGGATTCATCCCGGTAACATCAACCGCCATTTTGTTCGACTTTTCTTCCTTCTCGACAGCGGTCGCGGCGCCCTCTCCAGTTTTCGCAGAACTGCGCTCGCCAAAGGACACAGAAGAGGCGCTTCGTTTTCTCGCTTGATCCGCCACCAAAGCTGGAGTAGCCGGTTGCCCCGATGACGCCCCGGTGCTGGCCGTACTCGACGGCGTGCTCCCTTTCGCAATTGGCGAAGATCCGGTTCCCGAACTCGGCGCGCGGAAAATGGAGTTGTTTTGCTTATCAACTAAAACAAGCTTAGCACCGTCTTGTTGTTGTTCTTCATGATCCTGCAGCTTAGACGAAGAAGTATGCATATCTATTCTACTGCTTTCATCTCCCACCTCACAAGAGGCAGCGTCGAACCTCCGACGTTTGCGTGCTGTTGCTTCGGCGCTTGCGGTCGCATGCTTCGTGTTTTGCTCTCCACCAATGGCAACACGAGCGCTATAGGTAGCAAGTTGTTGATGTTGATCCCCCTGTGGTGCGCTCGAGGAAGCAGATACTGTTGTCTGGCTATTCAAGTTCGCGGAATAGGTGCCTCCATCCCCAATAAGTGCAGGTAGCCCGACCGTCGTGTCGCCGCTAGTCGCTACCAAGGACTGAAAGGCGGCGGGATCTGGTAGTGTCATTCCAGCACTTCCGCCGAAAGCGTTCTGCATGAAGTATCCGAGCTGCGCTAACTGTTCGCGCATGTCCCGCAACTTGTCGTCCATGCCGCTCTCTGCACGTAATCTGACCTCGTCGAGGCGCCACGCCACTTGCCGCTCCATCGCACGTTCCACTGCGACCGGCACGCGCTGCTCGACGGCTTGGTCCACCTTGGTCTCCAGTTTGGAGCTCATGCTGTCCAATTTGGCCGTCATTGTTTCCTTTTCGATACGGTGCGCCAGCTCTTCATATTCCTTCTCCCGTTGCTTCACGGCCAGGGCGCGCTCCTCGGACCACCGGTCCGACAACTGTCGCTCCACCTCGGCAGCCACGAGCTCTCGCATCCGATCTACCACCGGACTCATCTGATCTCCACCACTGCCACTTGATGAAGAAGCTCCTGCTGTGCCACCAGCAGGTGGACCACGAGGAGGATAAAAATCGGCATATTGTTGATCATCAACTACCCCGCCAGCACCTTCACTACGACTACTTCTACCACGACCAGCACCTTCTTGATTTAGGTCACCATCTTGTTCTTGAGACTCCGCTGAACTGCAGGCAGATTTTCTCCGACCCACTCCCAGATCATCGAGGCGAAGCTCAGAGAGCCGGCTTTCCACCTCACGTCGAATCGTGGCCGGCAACTGGGCCTCAACTTCCTTCCGGATGGTGCCAACGATATAACTGTCAACCGACATTTTTTCTAGTAGTTTTCTTGCAAGAACGTTAGGTGCGAGTAGAAAGATGCAAGGATGCGCATGTGCTGATGTAGGTAGCTAGACACGAAATAAAAGTAGCACGACACGACACCCTATTATGGTGTTTATGGCAATTAGACGAGCGTGAATGCCACTAATTACGCTATTTTCGTGAGAATCGATGCTCTTGTACAACGTAAAAAATGGAATGTACACCAAAGAAAATTATGTCTAGGTTGTATTATTGCGAGCAGAGACGTGAATTATATCGTTCTGGTGGGCTGTGCAAGCATCCTTGGTTGTTGATATGAATGAGCTAAAAACTAACAGATCTAGATCACTTCAAAGGTTTCCTTCGTTACGCGAATGATGACGAGGATCATAAAGGGACAACAATGTTATGGAATCGACCCCAAGAGGGAAGGAAATGCCGATACCGTAAAACGAGCTAACCGGTTATGGCCACGAGAAAAGATTTAATCACCTAATATGTACGAAAAAAAAACGAAATTGATTCAAACGTAAGGCCGAGTGAATCTTCACTATATGCTGGTTTACGCAAGAATCAGTCACAACAACCTAAAAAAATCATGTTAAACAGCATTGCTAGCAGACGCATTCCCGATGTATCATTTATATTTGTCCTTCGATCCTCTCCTCCTAATTCCAAACCAATACACTTAATCTTATCACCGGGTCACACACCCTGGAAGATGAATTTTTCAAAAATTAAAATTGTTGAGAAGAAATTCAAGCCAGATGATATTTTCAAAGCCAGATGATGAGAAGAAATCTCACAAATATTTTCAAAGCCAGATAATCTTTTTTCGATCGACAGATTTTGAGTTTCATGATCTTTTTTGGATCCTCGTCAGGTGTAGTTCCGAAAATTCATATTAACGACAGATCCAAATTTTCAACATTTGCGCTTAAATTTGGGGATCTCAATCTTTCACTTTTGAATTTCTCTGGAGCAGGTGGAACTGGGAAGATTTTCGTTTTTTTTCAGGCAAAGACCTTTTTCATGCTTTAAGTTAGATCCTAGATTCTCTTTTGCATTTTTGTCTCGAAGATTCTCTTTTGTATTGTTCAAAATCTTTTCTTCTGAGACCTTCAGTGCGTACTCAGTTGTTCATTTCTCGAGCGAGATAACTAAGCATCTAAGGCCACGGCGAAAGCGAAAAAATCTTAACAATGCGCCGTCTTGTTATGCAACGAACGGATGGAACACTTCTCTTTTGCGACAATGGTAGGACTTGCTGAAAGACACGCATACAAATGCAGCTACTGCGACTACGACAGTCTCGACGTATAACTAGAGGCTCGCCTCCCTGTCGTCCGTCCCCTACTTTTGACGTTCAATTCTCAAAATATAGAGATTCCAGGTTCCATTGTATATTTTGAAATTTTTTTCAACACGCACCACTTTGAGGACACGCCGTCTCCTTTTCTGTTCTTCGTCTCCATCGTCTCCCCCCTCGTGTGCCTTCGCAGGGGGACGTCTGAAAACGTAGATATCCTCATCCTCCTCTTTTTAGCGGAGCACTCTTGTATGCATAGGATGAAACTGGTGGAATGTCTTATGTTACCATTATCTCACGTATGTCCTTTCGTATTTATGTATGAGGCAACTCAGTGAAGAAGTAGGAATTCAAAGATGAATTATCCACCGCCATAATCCTCCTCTGGTCCACTCCTTGGCAAGTCGGTAGCATCTTGCCCCCCTTCTCCGTCCACAATCTCGTCCGACAGATCTATGCTTTCTACCATCCGCTTAAATTCCTTGACGCTCATACCCGAGCACCAACGCCCGTCGCGGGTCCAGCCATCTCGACTCTGCGCTGGAAAAGTGACCAGCATATACCCCCGCCGCCGCATTCCCCGCCAGGCCTTCTCAGTATCGATAAACAGTATGAGAGAATGTATGTGTGTATCCCTGATAGCGCCGTCCCTAGTGCCCGTAGTGTTTTTTTTTTTGCGTTAGGACTATATGCCACCGCCCTTTCAAACAATTAATTAACTCGTTCAACTAATTTCTCATACAAGTTATATACTGGGGGCGCATAAGACCGTACAATCGTAGTGATAAGTTCTGATAGTGAACATGACCGAGGTCGACGCTAACAGTACCGGTCGAACCATGTCGGATATGAATTGATCAGACACTACTACCACCTGACCGTCCGAGGCTAGAAAAGCAGGTAATGGCTGCACTAATCAAAAAACCGCCTTTCATCTGCGTGTTGTGTCTTAACTTTTTCTGACATTGGATATCACTAATTGTGAGTGCGCTTATGCTGCCCCTGCCTTGCTTCGCAATTAATATGATGGCTCTTGTTCTCTTACAGATACAGTTTTTGTTATTTCATAACTCTCATATCAAACTCCCTCTGGTTCTGTCTTGTTTGCCCGTGACGTATGACCTGCTTTGGCCCATTTTCAAACATGCCGAAGCCTGCAGGCACCTGTAGGTCAACGTTATATGCGTACTCACCTAATTCGTCAAAGGTCGGTGCCTCCTCTGGCGGCTCCACTGTCGGAACTTCATAACCGACTTTCAAGTGGTAACTGGATTGCTTTAGAGCTCGCAAATAACAGGTACATCCGCACACTCACAGGTACAAAACGTGCGGAAACGGAAACTAGTCGAGTAGAAGACGCAAATAAAGTCTTCCCACAAAGTCGGATACTTCTAATTGTCCCATACTTTCATGAGATGAACGAGTACGATGAAGTCAAGACATCATCTAACAACTCAGAGCGTAGCATTCTTTCTCCGGCTTGCTCTTCCGGCACGCCCCAATCGTCAGTCGAGACCATAGTTCGGCGCAGGTCGCCTGCAAACTCCGCATCGCATCGCTCAGTAGAGGAGCTTCTTGATAATTCATCTGATTTTCTGTAAATGCCTATTCATCTGTGAATTCTATCCGACAGAAAAGACCTCGTTCTCTATAATGTGAAAACCTTGAATTATCGAGAGGCTTAAGCTTCTCCGACACACCAACGAGAAAACGCAGCACCAGGCCACGAAGTACTCGTGGAAGATGCTCTTTCGGTACGTGAAACAAGCTACAGAGTGCAAACACTACGTGATAGGAGTTCCGGGGTAATGTTGCGGCCGCTGCCTTGTAGCTTTCCTCCTGCTCCTGTGATGCTTGCTCGACCTCCTTTTTTCGCCTCTTTGTACTTCTGGCGCCAATTTCGTTTTCGAGCATTGAAGATCCACCTCCATAATTACTGCTTGCAAGAACTTCGTCCCGCCGAAAACACCTCTTGAACCTCTTGTGTCGCTCGGCGCAGATATACTCAATTGTAATTTCTTCCCCCTCATCTCCGGAATTAGGGCGAGGAGAGCTTTATTTCCTCTGCACGAAAAACTGGCCACTGAGTTCTCCTTCCGTCTGAATACGGGGTTGATCTTTGAAAGACATCAACTACTCAGTAACAAAACGACCATTTTTTGGAAGCGGCTTCGCCTATTTATCAATTACGCACATCTATAAGTGCTGGCTGCCCAAAACTACCTTAATCAAATCTACGACAGTGGCCATCGCGCCGACAATGTCCAGATGAAATCTAGCTCCCAGAGCTATAGGCCAGCCATCAGAATCGAACATCTCCCGAGCCCGATCCTGGTCGTCCTCATCTTCGCATGCAGGACGCGCAAACACTCTTGAGAAGATCCCTTTTGCTGATTCTCGAATCCTTTCTCGCGGCGAAGTAATAAGAGACAGCTCCTTGCTCTCGTTGTGGTCTTCCCCATAAAAATTCTTCGACTTAGAACATGAATTATCGTCCTCGCCTAATGCACTGTCGTCAATTCTTACACCTGCTAATGCAGCTCCATCGGCGATGAGCACTCGCGGTCGTTGAACGGCCCTTAAGCGGCCCACTCGATCCCCCTCGAAGTCTGCGCCATAAAGTGGATGATAAATGAGTGCACGGTCTAAGCGGCCTTGGGCTTTTTTCGCTAGCGGAGCACATGGGTCCGCCCCGTCGCAGTGGATGTAGGGAACGCGATTGAACGCGAGCACGTCCCGGCCGTGGCCACAACCAACATCTAGAACCCGCAACACCTGGGTATAGTTTGCTCTGCGTGCTGCGTAGTGCAAAGCGCCATGCTGACTCTCTTGTTGATCGATATTCCCTTTCCCGCCAAAGGTTTTCCACGCGGACTCAAAGTCGCATCTTCCAAAAGCGGTACTCGACCTTCCACGCCTGCGCACCGGCAAACGCTTTTTTTGAGACTCAAACAAGATGTCAGCCAGAGTCTTGCGATCACCAGTGCGATGAGCCGTTAGTTCGTCCTGCATCGCAGTGTAGAAACTGGTGGTCTGACGCCGAATTTGAGGGTGGGCCAACTGCACACTGGGAGCACTGTGGCCAACTTGGTGCCGCGTCCGGTGGTTCAGCACGCGTTGAGGCGCAAAGCGCAACTCATCCAGTAGGTTGGAGATCTGGATGTTCCGCGCGCGCTGGATAGCTATCTTCGTCCAGTTGCTTTTAGGGCTGTAGACATTGACAATAGGGTCCCGCCAGTCGTGGATCACGTTGCTGTCGTGGTGCTGTTCTCCCCACGCACGCCGGCGCTTTTTCGCCGTGCTCATTCGATCCGGGGACCAACTGCGACTGCGCAACGCTATGGCCGAAGGAGTAGCGCTCTTCGCGGCAAGATTCATTCGTTCATAGGTTTGCATTAACAGTTCGTCGCCCGATTGCTTCTGCCCATCGATGACTACTCGTTTTCCAACGAGGCGACCAGCAGTGGCGTGGCTCCCCGCTCGTACTTGTCCGTGGGGCAGCTTGTTCTGCAGCTCTACGACCGCTGCAGACTCTGATATCGCGCCGTGCGCCTGCACGACGCGGCTCACCCCTCGCTGGTCTAGGATTTTCTGCCGCTGCACGGCCGCACCCGAAGACTCATCCACAGGCAAAGCCGTGAGAACTTCCGGAGCAATGATGGCGCTTTCCACGGCCAGCGGGTAGACCTTCGCTAGCTCCTCAAGCAGGATGCCACGCGCGCGCCGTGCAGCGTCCGCATTCGCCTCATCCTCCGCCCAGTCGGCGAAGCCGTCGGCTCTCGCGGCATAGTTCTCAATCGTCTTCTCACGAGCCTCGCGTAGAGAAACGTCGGCTTTGTCCCCGTCTCCCCGGAGACCACGCAAGGGGATCGCTAGGCATCCCTGACCCATGATCTTGCTTTATCCCAATCATGAGTCTTTGATGAATATCGCGTTGCAAGTTTGCTTATCAAAAACCGATTTGCAAAAGCCAATAATCCATTGTTTCGAAGAAAATTCTACCACACGTCTCCGCGCGAAGTGAGCTATGATCTTAGAGCGTCAAGGTGGAACCTTCGTTTTTGAATCCCAGAAGCATTACCTACGATCTTTTCTTGAGTAAACTTTTTCGATCCACGTTTTGGACCCCGTGGCTATCCCGGCGCTGCTCAAAATACTTCTTCCTTCCTCAATAATGATGCACCGAAGACTTGAGCACTACCGATCATTACACCATAGGTAGTGTCTGTCAGTCTTAATCTCAGCTGGCAGACGAAATGGCAAGTCACATCACATCAGATCAACGTGGATGACAACTTGGTTTCAAATTCAGTCTCTTTATCATAAAGAAGCGAGACCTTGGTCGCGGATTTTAGGAAAACGCTTTATATATATGACGCAGGGCCGGACGGTGCCCCCCCTCTCCCCCCGGTGGTCTGGTCTGTGGTGGCGCGCGCGCGCGCTTTGCCGCGCGGATTCTTCGCGGATTCTAGTGGTGGAAGGCGTCAAAACTTGGCGCGGGCCTCCCCTTGGGCCTCTCAGCGTGTTCCTGAGGGACCTCCTGGCCTCTGCTGACCCTCGCAGGCGGGAGGTCTCCGGGGTAAAAGGCCGCCGAAGGCGGCCACGGTCGCAAGAGCAAGCAAGCCGATGACCAAGGGCCCGGAGAATACAAGCGGCACGGCCCAGGGGGTCCAGCCCCTCGCCTTTTGCGACCTTCGGAGGCCTTCCGCTGCCGGCGCACTGCTGCGGCGGCGAAGCCTAACGGATGCACTTGGGGAACAGCCAGGCAACTGAAAGGGAGCGGAGGGGGGAGGTCACTGGGACCCCTTTTGAGGCCTTCCACCCCCGGCAGACGCCATAAAAAGGGGTCCAGGGCGCACGGTACCCCCCGCTACGGGGGGTACCGTCGCCCCGCGCCCTGGAACATATATGCAATCTTGTCTAGATGTCTGGAAGTATTCGGTTTGCAGCTGTTGAGGTTTCTCGCAGGGTTGGCAACATCTTGAAAATTGTTCCCAGATGTAAATGTGACGCGATAAAACTAAGTAGTTGTAAGATGATGCTTGCTTCAAATATTGTGAATAATGTGGAAGGTACTCTAGATGCAGTCTTTGTTGCAGGGATCTTTACGACAACATGGACCTCGTTTCATCAGAAGTGGAGCAAATGTGGAAGTTGTAAATTATCTGGGGTACTAGCGCGGCAAAGGTTCCGCGAAAGGTCACAGCTGGTTGTGTTCTCGAGGAGAAGGCTCTACACCCGGAGCGGCGAGTGTAGTGGTGTGTTGTCCTTCACCGTCGGGTATAGAGAAGATTTGAGGGCTACCCCCGCCGGCCCGAATCTCTGCCATCTCCACTGTCACCTACATTTGGGTCTAAGGGGTTTTCATTTCAAGCTATAATTCTTTCAGAATATTCTGACGAGTCATCTGACGCTGGAATGAACTCGTAGATTCCTAACCTCAAATGGGTAGTGAGCAGCGGGGCGACCACGACAAGTAGATTTAAATACATCATCTTTACAAGGTTTCTCATGGTTACACCTCATCACCTTTGAGTCTACATCAAAATGTCATAATCGATTTCAAGTTTTGAACAAGTTGTACTTAGTTGAAGCCAAGAGAAAGTACTGTCCGATTTGGCGACCCCTGTCCTGGCGCCGGTGCTCCGCCGTATGCCGGTGACACTCCATAAGCCGCAGGATCAGCGTACTGTTGTTGCTGTTGTTGTCCATATTGATCGTATGGATTTTGTTGCTGACCATACTGGTCCACATACTGGCTAGCATTGTAGTTTTGTTGCTCCGCTGCGCCGGGATTACCACCTCCACCGTAACCACCGTATTGCTCGCTTTGCGGTTATTTTTAGACCTCTCCCTCATTCATCCCTGCGAGGATCCCTCAAGCGTATCATGGCATAGTATTCCCCTTGTATTGGGGTGCATACTTACGCTTGAGGGATCACCCCTATACAGATGGATTAGGGGAAGCCTTAATTTTTATCCACCCCACCAACGTAGGGATTCTCCTGCGGCACGCCCGTCTCGACTTGCTCCTGTGGCACTGCATTGCCACCGGTAGGAACACCCACGACGGGGACTCCGCCGACTGTCCCACTACCCCAGTTTGTTTGTACTGGAGGCGCACCTCCGCCACCTGCTGATGGCCCATACGACTGTGCACTACCTGCGATTAAGAGTACTAAGTAGTTATGAACAACCGTACAGCATAGTACAGTGAACATTTTCCAAGTACGAAATAGCTTGGTAGTTCTTGTACTCGTACTTCTACTTGCATGCTAGAAATCAAAATTATGGTGCAGAACCATCCCAACTCGAAATGTCCACGCCCCTTTGTTGGCTCTTATTTTTCGGTTTCATCTGGTCCGCTATTGTAAACATTGGGTGCTTCGCCAGGCCTGCTGGACCTTGCCTAATGCGTATTATCAGGTCCGCGGTCTGCGCAACCATCCAAAATGCCAGTATTACTGCCAGAAAATTCGTTTCTGCGAATCCCCACCAAGCCAGAAAAACTATAAACGGAACTGCAAGGCAAATCTGAAGATGAGGTCAAGGTGAAAATTTTGGTTTTACGACTACGACCTTCTTGACCGTAAAGTCGAAAAATCACAGCGAAATTATATTTCCGGCTTGCTTTCTCGTCTACCATACCACAAGAACGTAGAGAAAAGAACGCAGAGTCCGAACGAAATCCACATCCAATTCCAACACAAAAACAAAAAATTCTACAAAACACAAGAGATTTTCAGCAGGAAGTACTACTCTCCTGATTTGTAACAAATGCACAAACGGTACGTAAATCTTCGCCGTCGTGTCCGTCGAGTACGAATTTAGAAGACTGCATGCGAACATGCTGCAACCGTCAAGCGGGTGTGCTGGCACGAATAAGTTGAGAAGAAAAAGCTGAAGGTTGAGGTGAAAGCACCAGTCGACGTACCACAGAAACGGCCCACCGGTGAAAATTGCGATCCAAGTTTAGAGCTACCCCTAACCCATCCAGTGAATAGATCCCGCTAAAATACTCGCCCCAGTACTTGCCTCAGTACAGCCCGAGCATCCACGAGGCCCTACCAGCGCAGTACTTTAACAGGATCCACGTTGGGCCGGGTTTTGTGGAGCCTTAACAAATAGCGGCAAAGAGGCCAAGCGGAATGTGCATCAGCGGACCAGCTAGCAGAATCTTTGTTCTATCTGACTCATCCCCAGAATGCTTCATGTATGCGAGCCTGTTGTGCCATGAAAGAATGAGAGGCTCGAGTTTCAACGAGATTGGTGACATTGATTTTTCAATCTTTGTAACGCTACCCTCCAGAGGAACTCAGCAAGAAAAAGAATTTACTCTTTTCGGCTGCACGTTTTTTATCATTTTAATTCTTGCTAAATAATCCAGCAATGAATCCTAAAGCTGCGCAAAAAGACGAATAACAGTGGTAGTCTCCATCAACTTGAAATATACCCCCCGAATGGCCAGAGAATTATCCTATCTGGCTCTCCTCCTAGTCTGCGACACATCCACACATGCCCCATCTCATGAACGAAAACCGTGAACCATAATGTCAGTGTCTGTTGTTGTTCCGACAGAAATTTCCAACACATAGGAGCGGAGTAGGAGAGGAGTTGTAATTTCAGTTTTTGTTTTTCTTTAAACGAAAAAAGAGCAAGCATATCACGGGTTGCATGTCAGATACCAAAATCTATTGTAAAGAACAAAACTGATCATACTTCGAATCAAACCAAGTACCAGAAATATCCCCTTGAAGAATCCCCAGCCGCCGTTGTGCGCTATCCAGAATATTTCGTCTACCAATGCGAGTAAAAGCAGTGTGAAGTGCAAACCAACAGGTACGCCTTTGTACTGTCCCAAAATGAGGGACTGCCCATCCCACATTTCACCCATGCTTTCGGAATTGACAGCGCCGTGTGGGACCGCGTACTAGAATCAAAATCTTATATATAAGCTTTTTTGCCGCAACGAACTTGCGCCGAATCCTATTCCGGTGTAATTATTCTACGTTCTCCTCAGTGTCGTTGTCGTTCTTGCCTCAGTATTCTAGTCGCTCGTCCGGTTGTCGTTGACCGTCGCGAACCGTCGAGAACCTACTTTCTTCGCCGTAGCAAGCGTGTGCTTATGACTGAGATTGGCGTAAAGATTCTACGTTCCTCAATCGTCCCCTCCTGTGTCACTTCGCGCAGCCGCTGCTTCCTCCAGATATCACCCACCACCCAACGAAGATAGCGGGACCAAAGATATCCTAGCCCTGAGTGGTGTGGAACAAGGTGCAACAACTAAGACATCAAGCAAGAAGTTTGCTGAAAGTGCTGAGGTTGAGGTAGATCGATCTACACTATCGTATTCTTGGCTGCAAGACTGCGCACGCGGCACAGGCGCGCTTCACGCAGTACAGCGCTCAAGCTCAAGCACCCAAAAGCAATCCAACGCCGGGCTACACCCGCACCTGCATCGCTCAGGCACTCCTCCTCATCATATCATGATTATGTTGACAGTGAATACAAAATGAGTTTACATCTTAAGTATTGCATGAAGGGGCACACTTAATCCTAGAGGGAAAGCTAACCGGTTGTTTTACTTTAAGTGCTTCCTAATCTTAGTATTTGTACCCACAGTAAAAATAGAATTGGGTGAATGACAAGGACAACCAGTTGCTAATAAATCCTGGAGGTGGGCGCCGCAAGTTGCCTTCGCGCGACGAAGTTATTCACGACGCAGCAAGCACCCTCATGACTTTGACTGAATCGAACTTTTTCTACATATCGATATCTTAAGTGACACTTTTCTACACAGCTGGAAAACGCCTTTCGTCTGACCGAGACTTCTCTCACAAGACCCTCTGCTTCCCTCGCAGTGCGTCTCTCGTCTGTCTGAGACCCGTTTTCATTATTTCAATTTCAATTCAAATTTAATAGAAACTCTCTCCTCTGTCTCGCGCTAAGAGACGCCTGACACGCACTTGCTAGTGCGCCGAGGACGGTTGCTGTCCTACCCAGTATTGGGATACTAGATGCTTTCGTGAGTGTCATTCCGCAGTGCTTGGCACTTGCTAGCGTGTACATTTGAAGAGCGAAGTTCTGAACCAGACGAGGTATTGATGACTTGATGTTCCCATGGGCGTAGATTTGAGGGTCTCATCAACACCATATTCCTAGTTCTTCTTCTTGGCAACAGAGGAATACAACTTCGGACTGGTAATTAGTTGTTGTGCCGTGAAGGAGTTGGAAAATGAGTGATTTTCATTTATGACCTTCCAAGTATTTCAGTGTCTCCAGGACTCGATCGGTATTAAACATGTGTCAGCGAAATAGAACTTGGGAATGGAATGCGTCACGAACAACAATACAGGACAAGGAAAGCGCGGTGGTTTGAAGACACAAAAAGCAAGCGCGACGTGAGTATGGACAGCTGCGATATCATTCACGCCAAATGCTACCTGCGTCTGCGCCCATATGCCTAAAGATTTCGCCGAGAAGATAAATTGAGCCGCAGATCAGCACCGTTCCTGGACGACCTGATACCGGTTTCGCTTCCACCTGTGCTGCTATTCGATTACATCCCGGACTATCGGCCGCGGTGCTGCAACCGCTCGTTCCGCTAGGAGATAGCTGCTCAGTTGAAAATTTTTCTTGTTCTTCAGGAACACTACCAACTGCATTACTTCCATCAGGCGCCGTTTTCAGATCCTTCTGGCCTATAATCGCCGCTCTCTCGTGGTTCGTTCCGCCGCTAGTCTGCTGTGTCACGACAGTAAGCACCTCATCCAGTAGTTTCGCACTTGGCCCACAAGTTCGGAAAAAGGAAGTCCCGACAACTTCTTCATAATCTGCGCGCTTCGCGGCACGAGGAAAATCGATTTCGCAGCCGAAAAATGGGACATCAGGACGACTCGACTCTGCTGTTTCTTCCCCAAAAGCGGATCGCAAGTGTGATAGCATTTTCACGAAGTCCTTATCGCGCATGACACCAAAGAGAACAGCGTCGATGCGCAAACCTCTTTTTTCTACAGCAGACGTTAACAGCCGAATGCCATCAATATTATGTGCAGCATCCAGCAAGAAATGCTGTCCCCGCCACGTTATACTCTCCATACGGCCGGGCCAATGTAGTGCCTTCAAGCCGCGACTAATGGCTTCTGTACTGAGCGCACTTACCTTCTGCGACGAGCCACAGTCCCCTAAAAGGAGACGCGCGGATACGATTGCCGTGCGCAAATGTCGCGCATAGTGTTCATCCAGCCAGCTCTTGCCAAGATACTCGGCCATGCGTTCCCTGCCAGTGAAAAAATTCTCTACAACCACTGGGTCTAGCAAGTATCCGGCTTCTTTTTTACCAGCGACAGATTCATTCGTCTCATTGAGATCACGCAGTAAATCTGCTATCGAGACTGCGTGGCCCACTCGGCGTTCTCTTAAAAATCGATGCCACACGTCCATGGTGCCATCGACGTATTCTTGCTCTCCTAGAACGGCCCGCGCGTGCCGCGGGATCACACTGAATTTTTCAAAGGCAATCTCCTCGATGCTGTTGCCTAGATACTTTGTATGATCGAAGCCCATGGTCGTGAAGACACAGAGATCCGGTGGCCGGAGCCCGTTAACCGCATCTAAGCGGCCACCTAGTCCGATTTCGTAGACCGCGACGTCTACTTTTTCAGCCGCAAAAATTTTTGTGGCCATCACGGTCGCGAGCTCGAAGAAGGTCAACACAGGCCGATTGCCATTCCCGAGCGCGTGAGCGACCTCTGGATGCACCTCGCCGCCTGCCATGATTCAATTTACTACAGTCTCTCACTCACACCGAGGTCGGTGAACACTCACAAAAAAAGCAAATAAACGTACATCAGGTAGGTGTCCGTCATAACACGACCTCTTTCAACATTGACTTATTGTGGATCTTAAAAAACTAAATATACCAGTGCTTGAGACTGCACGGGTGCTTCCATCGTTTACGCTGTTTGCGTCCGTCGAAGTTGTGCTCGGATTTATCGCTGAACATTCCGCATTGAAATCGGTCCCCGTACCGCCGAACTTCACCATCACTTCTACGCCGATTCTGTATGGAACATGACGATATAATAGTAGGCCTCTATTCAAAATCTTCATCATTCTCGACGTAACGGAAGGAGGTCTGAAAGGTTTAGGTATAGTCAAGCTCCTCACGACGCACCTTCGCGAGCCAAAACATAAACAGAACAAACGACTAGGACTGATTTCTCATCAAATATTTACCTGTGCACAACGTCCTGCTCTACTGGTACACCATTGATGCGAAAGCGCTCACGAAAGTCGGTTATGTGTGGTGAGCTGAAAAAACCCACTTTGAGGCCTTGTGCCCTCAAAATGTTGGACAATGCTGCTGACACCGTTCCTTTCCCGTTTGTCCCGCCTACGAAAATCCGACGGTGCTGCAAATGCGGATTGCCTTCCAACAACAATGCCTGTTCGATGTTCGACAAACCCATTTTCATGGTGAACATGTTTTGTCGGAAAAACCGTGTGCAAAACGCCTCGTAGTCGGGAAAACTTAGAGATGTCGAAGCCAGCGTTTTGGATATTGCGAACAAAATATGCCAATTCGTTCTCGGGCTGACTCAGTGAAAAATGATACTTAGAAGAATTCAAACGTCCAGTTCCCAAGTGTGGCAAGTTTGCACATTGTAAACCAAGCATATTGATGTTGTAAACCATTAGCCGTAAAAGTGGATCGGGCGCGACGAAAGGAACCACTGCTGATGGATCCAAGGCAGGCGCAAAGTATGGGTCGTTCTGCTGCTCAGGAGATAAGAGACTCCGAAAACCGAGTACGGGAGGCACTGCTTCCACGGGAGGGCTGGAAACACCCCTGGTTTCGTGTTCATCTGTCGAGTACTGCACCATCCTGGCTCCTTTTGCGGATGTAGTTGCCACTGAACGCCAAACAATAAAACGATGGTGCAGCGACTGAGGTTGGCTCTCTAGCCAAATACTATGTGGAATTCCACTGCGTCGTCGATAGTACCTTGATGGACTACGATTAAGCCCCCAGACGCCGGTTGCTATTTGTGGTCCAAGTAAGAAGGACCTAAAACTAGTCGTACCAAGGCAGCGTGGGTTGCAGGTCTGCTTCACATGGCAGGGCTGCGCACGCAAGATCCCCATGGCCTGTAAGGCCGACTGCAAATATTTTCGTACAATACCGTCATTTTGTTTCAAAGGGTAGGGCACACAAAATGAAATTTACAAAGAAAAAATTGACGACACAAATGTTTTGATAATAGTTGATAGTCGAGATGGAATGACGCTTCAGAAGTATATTTTCACTGTTCAATCCACAAAGACCGTCGTCATTGTCGGGTTGATAATCTAGATATCAAAGGCTACCCAATTGATGGATTCCCAAGACGGAGTACTAAAGAAACTCATATTCCTAGATCGAGGAATGTTGACATTCATTGAATTCAAAACCTACACATTCGGCAGCGCGAAACTCAAAAACCCAAAAACAAAGCAAGTAGTCCTCCCTTCGGACGGAGCGAATCTAGAAGGAGACCGAAAGAACAAAAGGCCTCTAAAGAAGGAAGTGACACAAGCCTGAGATGGTCATGATCATGCTTCATAGTAGTCCAGAATGCGGCCAAACCTTGCAGGGATCGTCCTTCCATGTATTTGTTCATGCAACTTATCAAAGACTAAGTATGTTCTTGGCGTAGGGAACCTACACTTGCACGATGTTCTTGTCTCTATTCTCCACGTAGTCGTAGGAACACCTGTAGCAACATAACAATACTGGTTCATGACTGAGCGTCATGGGCTATTGATTTATTTCTGATTGTTCGAAACTGGTGGTTTGTTCCAGCAACTTCACGCGTCAAAGACTTTCTTGGGTCTCTCTATGGACACAAAATTTTCAAGCAACCAACTGGGCAAGTGAAAGCGTGACGGAAGGTGATAACGACAGCCACTCGGTTAGCGTTTGATAGAGGGACGTGCTTAACAACCATCCCTCGTTTTGAACAACCTTTACCAGTACTAGTTGAAGACTCTAATCCCAAGAATCAAAGCTCCACACCTCTAACTCCTCGATTACAAAGTCCTCATGAGTTGCTAGCGTCATAGACTGAAATGTTTGACAATTCGGGCTCGACGTGCCCCGTAGAAAATCCGCGCCCAACACGATCGCACTTTTACCTGTGAAGGGCAGGTCACTTGAGTATATGAGCTTGCTCCGGTGATTTCGAATTATCTCCAAAGAACAGACGAGTATGCGCTAGTAGGGCTAGCAAGATGTGATTGATGTCATTTTCATCAGATGAAGATAATAAGCAACAGAAGACCGAATGTAGAAGGTAAGTCAGTGCACCTCCGCCCCCCACTGCAATCATCTGATCGTCCGAATACATAATAAGATTGTTCAATGCGCTCCAGGGATAGACGGTGAAGTTATTCTTCTTGGCTGTAGTTAGAAGTGTGCTCCTGGACTCCTACGTGGTCTGTCCTACCTGTAGACAAAAACACGAACCCCAGCCTGTGCATGCCACATTAAGAACCATGTGCAGTTCTAGCTAGAAACTCACATATCGTAAAAGTGCTCCTCGGTACATCATGAGATTAATCGACGCATTAGTGTACTCGCCTTAATGTAAAGACAAAGCTTTCGCCCGACCCGTAGTACATACCGCTACACCGCCACTCTGCTGAAAGAAACGCGCCAAACCAACAACCAAACTGGTCCTTGATCAACGATATGAACCGGGACGAGGGGTTCTTCTAGCACGAGTAGACGCCCAGTATTTAACCCATAGATACAACAGGTCCATACAATCTTTCCTTTGTACGTAAGTACATTCCCACACTGGATCGGTCCTGGACCCTTCCGCATCTAAAAAAGTTTCTTCAGTACTAGAAGCTTCAAAGATCTGCTCGTCCACACTACAAACCTATGAAAAATCCATCGTCATGGCGTGGTCGTAAGTACGTACCTACTAGCAATACTAGTCTACCAGCAAAAATTAGAAGGCAACATAAGAAGCACACTGGATCCGCGGTCACTCATTTGCCGGTAGAACGTCTGCAATGAGATGCCATGGCGGCTAGGCGAATAGGCCAGTAGCCAATTCGAGAAGCGCACTGAGAGTGGCAGAAAGCTGACAAGCTGATAAAACAAGTCCAGAGTAACCGGACTATCGGCGAGTAGAATTCGACTGTCCGTCGGAAATGATGTAGGTTCCAACAGCCCCGAGGAGGTTCCGCTACTGCTTGATGCCGAAGAACGTCCTCGATTTGACGATCTCAGTGCTGCATCACCCGCAGGTTGGCCTGAACTAGACGTCGACAATGTGCGACCTCCCTTGAGATTGTCCTTATTTTGACTAGATGTGCTTGCCGTCGCGCCTGCTCGCGAAGTCGCGTTTTTGCTAGCTCTATCATTTGTCGGCGAGGAGCCTCCAGAGCGAACGACCGAATTGGAATTTTCTAGATCACGTGACTTTAGCCGCGTTCTACCATCCCCGGTCACCGAATTCTTGGATGGTATCGTCGACGTATTACTCAAAATCCGTCTGGGCGCGGGCGGCGCCGTCGAGGATTGTGATGCGGATCCCGAAACCCGATCTGCAAAGTCGGCCGTTCCCACAGCTTCACGACGCTTATCTCGGAAATGCAGTCTTGAATTCTCCATATTTCCAGCAAAGCCCCCATGCTTGCTCCGACCCTTGTTACTGTCGGTAGTGGTGGTCGACGATTCTGCACTACCTCCTGCTTCAGTTGTTGTCCCTTCGAGGCCAAACCAAGCGGATGGAGAAAATTCGAAATTTCCGCTGTCTGTCTTGGAACTTGCACCTGACTCCCCGTTGCCGAACCAACTATCCCAAAGGCCCAGAAATGCGCTCGCAGTGTCGGAACCTCCCCCTTGGCTACGAGTGGGACTCGGACCACCGAAGAGTTGCTTCGCTTCCTTTCGTTGTGAGGACGGGTCCCCGCACGACGAAGTTGGGTTCCGAGTTCCCGTAGTGTTAGAAGAATTCGAATTTGAAGTTTGACCTTCTGCTACTGCGCCAGTCGTTTTGCCTGGGAGCCTACTTGGCATAGGCAGCACTGCTTTCGCTGGAATATCAGCTGGCTCGTCCCGCCTGCCACTTCTCGACGACGTTCTTGCGGCAGTTGGCTCGCTTGCTTCTTTGTTTGCTGCTTTCGTAATGGATGATGCAGACGACGAAAACATACTGGAAACTAGTCCCCGGCGCTTGCTCGCGGTATCTCTGGGTTCCCCGCTTGCGCGCATAGCGGAAGAGGCCTCTTGCGCACTTTTCTTAGTCGTTTTTTGTCGAAAAACAACACACTTGATTGATGATTTTTATCGATCAGAGCATTTATTCGATTTAAATTTATCTGTATCGAAGCGGCATTTCAACGAAAATTCTGACTCACGAAAATTCTGACTCGGTAACGACCCCATTATGACCTCCTACCTCGTTCACCTCCTGTGATAGGACAATCACGCGCCACCTATTCGGGCGTTGATAATAATCTAACCTTGTTTTACATCATAGCTATAGACCCATCATTCATACCACTAGTCGACGCCGTCTGTGCCAACTGTGGCGGAATTTTGTCGCCAGCTGACCACGTTGTTGTCGCCGCTGCGTCCCTTTGTTCGCTTGTCGTCCCCATTGCTGCAGAGCTACTACTGCTAGTACCACGAACTTCTGGTGGCTGTTTTTTTCTACTTGATGTTCTGACGAAAGATAGCTTACTGGAAGATCCGGAGTGTGTGCTACGCGTCAAAATGCTCCCGAAGAGGCCGTGAGCGGCTTTGCGCTCTGCCTTTGCCTCCACTTTCCGGGTCTCATCCGCTTTGGCTGCATGTTCCGTGACCAGTGCTTCCAAACTGTCGACAGAACCCCAAGCGACCGTGGTCAATGTCCGCTTAGGTTTCTCGCACTCGTGCAGCTGCGAGTTGTAAAGATCAAGTAGGTCCAGACAGAACCGGGTTAAGTCGTACAAAACGTCCCGTGAATCCACTTGAAAAACAACAGAGTACGGCGACGGCGCTTCTGCAGTACCTCCTCCGTCGCTCAAATTAGAGAAATATATATATCAACAAGCACAAAAACTTTTGGTCGGAGAGAGACCTTCTTCTTCAATATTTCGCTCCTCAAAAACTACTTAGAAAGTTACCAGCACAAGCCTTACCTAGTCCTCCGCTACTTCCGGTGGTTCCCGATATCCCATTTTCGAGACTTGTTTGCGCTGCTGCATGCAGTTCTGGACTCTGGCCGGGAGCGACATGATAATGACCACTGCAGGAGGCCGAGCCTTCATTTGCCGTGAGGAATACGGGACTGCTTTTGCCGCTGCTTCGCCTGTCAGGCGTCGTCCCTGCGCTAGTGGTCTTCGGCGGCGTGCGTACAAAATTGACGATCTTGGCCGACGAGGACGAGGAAGACTCCTCAGTCGGTGATGTTCCAGCAGTCGTGGCAACTGATGACGACGGGGTCGCATCATCATGATGGTTCTCTGGATGTTGAAATACTCCTTGAGTGCCTGTTCCCCGTGAGGCGGTCCCCGACTGAAGACGGGTATCATCTCCACTAGGTCCTTTGTTCAACACAGCACGGCTTCCATCTACAAGAACGTGTATTCCAAGAAGATGCTGATCATCTACTACTACACCCTTCTTGTAGTTTGCATTATCAGCAGCATTGTGGTGCGTATTAGAATGCACTCCAGCCTCTTTCGAAGCCCCGCGTCCAGGTGTGCGAGTGCCTCCACGTGGACACCGTGTTCCGTCAAAGGTGCGCAGGTGGAGCTGCAGGTAAAACAAATACTCTCTTGGGTTCTCTTCCCGCGGCAAGGAAATGGATCCGCACTGCAAAACGTCACAGAAATCGATGAAGATCTGGAACTTGCCGATGCCTTCCTCTCGTACGCGCTGGTGTCTTGGATCTGGCTCGAAGGTCACGCAACTGGCTGAAACGGTCACGCAACCGGGGATTGGTTCCAGCTCCTTCGGGACGAAAAGCGCGCTTCGCTTCAGATACCCGACATTTGCTTGTTGCAACCGCTCCTGAAAAAAGTTACTGCTGTTGTTCCCTGCGCGCGATATGAAAGGGTCCTCTGACAGACTACCTAGAGTAATTCTTTGCATGGGGGCACTCGGACAACTGAGGCTGAGCAGAATAACTTTATAACGGTAGTGAAGTAAGATGGCGCAATCAAAAGAAGAAACACCATACATCGAGTGATCATGCGAATGCACGACTTCCTGGATTATCACGACGGGAAGTGAAACTGATTGTACTTGATTACTTTTAGTTTTCATCTTTGACGAGATGAAAAACCAGTGCCCATAGCAGACTCGCTTTTGCTGTTCGACCGACTCGACCCGTCTTTTTTCCCTGACACCTCACCTCCGGGACTCCCCCACATCTGCTTCGTACTATTAGAGCTCGTCTTTCTACATTCTAGGCTTCGTCGCGAGATCTTCAGAAGCGTCGTGGAGTCTTCACCTTTCTATGGACCGGAAAAACTAGGCCCCCTGTAGTATAAGAGTCCCGACGCTTTTCCCCCTTTAAGCGGACCGGGGCCGCAAAAATCCCGAGCCCATATTTTCCGGCGGGGTCCGGTCCCATATATATTATTCTGGTTGGGTCCCTGGAAATAATGGAGCCAACATGGTCCCGGGAAAAACGGGGGCCGCAGTATCAGAAGGGGCCCGGAAAATAAGGAGCCTGGCCCTGGCCCTTCTTGTAGGCTGCTCCCCCCACTTCCAGCGCAGCGCCCCGGCGGCCTGCGCTATGCGCGCCCGGGCCCGGTGAGGAGTCGCGCGCGCTTGGCCGCGCAGTGTCCTGATAAGATTGCCACCAAGCTGCGGCGGTGCCTCAGGCCAGGCGCCTCCTGCTGCGTCTTTCGTTTCTCTATGTTCTCCCGGCTCTTGCCGCAGTACCTCACACCCGCCAAAGGCAGGCGCGCGGGCAACTGCCAGGCAGCAGGAGCTTCGCGGCGCGCTTCCTCCTTTTGCGATCCCCCCCAGTGTTGCGCCCCTTTTTCACTCCGCGGGCCGCTTTCGTTTTGAAGTGCGTCAGCCTTTTGAGGCGGGCTTCGAAAGCCCTGGGGTGCCGCGTAGCTGAAGCGTGTCTCTCGGGTATGGTGTGCGGCGGCTTTGTGTGTCACGTGTGTGGCACCCCGAAGCTCTGCGCGCTGCCGCGAACGTTGTTCGTCCCCGTCGGTTCCCGTCTGGTCCCGCTTGGAGGTGCTGGGATTGGTTTCGGGTGTGTCGCGTGGGGGTGTCCTTGCTCAGTCACCGAGGGCGCCCGCGGGTCGCTTGGCGTGGTTCTTTGCGCTTCTCCCTTTCTCTCGTTGGTTGCTGGCTGTTCGTTGGTGTGCTCGCTTCTGTGGCTGTCCTCTGGGCTTTCCCGTCCTCTCCTTGTCTTGCAATTCTTCGGCTATTTTGGCTCATATTTTTGTAGGCTTATACCTTTTGATGGCCTCCCCCTGTTTATACCTTTTCTGTCGGAGTCTCTACCTTTTTTGTCGAGTTCCCTATATTGCCACCCCTTTTGGTACCGGTACCCTCCCAATTCTGGTCCATTTATGCAGATGTTCTCCATCTAATACTGGACGCACACGGCAAGAAATTGAATAACAAGTCCCCAAGGCTCAGGTATAGATTTTCACATTCGTCGGTCCTTAATCTTTGTTATTCCTCCTGTCGTGTGCGAGTTGTGCAGCTGCGTTTCAGAGGGTCGCTCAAGACGATCGGTCCAGTAGGTGTAGAATGCCCAAGATTTCGGACCGATCAGAGGTGCAGATTGTGATCTTGCTTGATCTGCATGGGCTGGCGACCGTCGAGGCTGCGTGGGTGTGCTCCCATTTTCTCGAGACCGGCGTGAGAGGAGGTTCATTCACTCGTAGTAGTTGTTGTTTTCAGGGTGGTTGTGCCGGCGATGGTACTTCCGTTCACAATGCAACTCCTAGCTCATGGCGAAAGTCCGGTCGGGCTCGGTTTGGACGTGAGATCCGGGATGCAATGTGTCATGACCGGCCATATTTATCCTTGTGGTTTTTCAATAAAAAACCAAAAAGGAATCAATCTACCTCTTTCTCTTTGACGAAGCAAAAAATCAGCTAATAATCACTCCTCCTCAAGGTCCCAGTTCCCACATGTACAACAACGCTGCTCGTTTTGATCTCAGAAAATAAGACGAGAAAGAAGTTGCTTTTCGTTTTTCTTCCTTTCTGGAGAACGATACTTTTCATCGGAGCGGCAAACGAACCGCTACAGCTACTCAAAGTTGAACTACAGTGGACACTTAGAAGAGCGAAAACCTCGCTTTAACCCGATCCACCACTGGGGCGCTCTCCACCGCTGCTACGCTTACGCGTGGCATAGTTCAGAAACATGTAAGTAGCAAAACATAACCATGTGCAGTCTATGTTTATGTAATACGTGTAGTCCTGGTAAGCCAAGTCACTCTGTGTATGATCTGGTCGATGTCATTGTCATGCGAATCTTTAGGACGTTAGTATGTATTTCCAGCCACCGTGTCTGTCTGAGTCTGTACCTCTCTTCCGTCATATATGGCTAGTTCTTGCTCTGCGAAAAAATTCATCGACTCGTGCCTTCTTATGTGAGTCCTCATGAGAGTGTGGAACTGTACAAGACTGTAGAAAATTACGACCGCTGTTGGTTGAAGTGTATTATCTTTTTGCTTTTCGTACTATGCATAACATTTTTCGAAACGGAATCTGTCTAACGCAAAAAGACATACTCAGCTGTACCTTGAGTATTATATATCATGCATCCTCGTATCAGATCCCGTCGTGAAAACAAGGAATATACATATCTCATCATTTTAGTTCGCACTCCACCAAACAAAAAATATAGACGTTGATTTCTTTGGGGTTGTCGAAAAGTCAAATTATATAGTAGGGCAGTAACGCCAATAGGCTATGTAGGAAAATGCTGCTGCGGCTGGCAGGCATTGGCATATTTGGGTGGGATCGTACTCTCGATTCGTCCCACCACGGAGTTCTCGGCTAAGAGAGGTTAAGTCGACACTGTGTTGTAGCATACAATTCCCTTTTCGAATATTATGGCATATGCGAACGAGCCCTAGTACCAAAATTTGAAGGCCAGCACGAAGTCCTCCCTTGCAAGTCAAGCACTCGCTGCGCTACTACGTGAAGATGTGTCTGTTGTTCTAGTTCTGTACAGCCTTGTTCAAGATTCAGTTTTCTTATCAAGTCAGAAACGAATATGAAAGTTAGTGTCATCTTCGTGCGGAATCCACCATGGCTAGCAGCCCTCGCTCACGCCCCGAGCAGTGTTGGTGAGTCACTGACTCTGACGTCTCCAGGCGATTCGAGTTGTTTGAAACCGCTTGATTTCTTAGAGCATCTTAGTACTACTCTGCTCAGACCTCATTCCTCATCCTCGTATCTGATTTGTCTATCATCCTATGCTCGATGTAGAAGGCCCACGTTGAACATTTGTTGCACAAGAAGAGGCATCGCATGTCATGCACCCTCTATGAAAATGGCGTAGATATAGTCCACAGATGATAACAAGATCGCCCTGCTATTACTGTATCAACAACCAATACGCTGTGCCTTAATCTTCCGCGACGACGTGTGCGAAACACCACTCAAACGCGAGGACCGACCCTCCAACTTCGCATCGTTCTTGGGGTCTGCCGGATCTTCGAAGTTGAGCTCAATTTCATGCAATTCCGGATCGAAGGCATCATCACAGGTGTCACGACAGAAGTCCTGACGGGGAGAAACAACATAAGGCGAAACGTGGTGCACCAGCTTCGTTCCTCCAGGAGTCACCGGAGACGGCAGGCCGACTTCGAACAGGTCGTCGGCTGATGCGGGTTATCAAAGCAACATGTGTTATTTGACGAGATGGTAGTATGATAATTACGAAGCTACAAAATTTCAATGTATGAATCATGTTGACAGCAAGAGAACCATCGAGATCAGAGTGAGAAGTCAATTGAACTTCCGCAAAGTCGCGATGGTCCTTGTATCACTCCAAATCTACCTTCCATTTCCCGAACTTTGGCTTCGTCTGCGGCGATAACTTCTTCCCGCGCGTGACAGAGGAGGAAGGCCCCCGGAGACGTTGCCAAATCCCGTGTCGGCACCAGGGTATCACCGACCTTAATCGTCGGATAGACCCCGAGGCAACTCTTCAAATCACGAACCCGTCCTTCCGCGTCGATAGCCTTAGTTAATACACCTACAGGAAACGAGGATAGATAAGTGCTCTGTCAGACACTTCTTCCAGAGTATAAATAACGAAATGTAAATCTTAGGCTACTAAAGCAGGTATCTGTTTTTGTCTACAACAGATTTGAACTGTGCGTGGTATGTCACTTACTTTACATTTTCCTAGCTCTCGTGCGTGCCATCAAGGTTCGACAAAAGAAATAGAGGCAAAAATAGTACCGCACTTCGACGGATTGTTGAAGAGGCACTGCGAAACGAACTTTTTCTGCTGGTATCGGAAGTTCTGCTTGGCTAACTCCTTATGAAGGCGTCCATCATTGACCAAAACATCCGCGACCAATTCGTGGACGCTGACCCCGGTCGCCATACCCGTCAGCATTGGGCCCTTGAGACCTGTCCGATAGGGCTGATACAAATCCGAAGAAAAATAGACGAGACCAATTTCTTCTTTACAATAAGGTAGAATTAAAACATGATCACAAGACTTAGTTGGATCATGTTTTACAGTGCATTGCAACAATGGATCCGCACTGTGAGAGTAATATACTTACTTCGTAAAGCTAAGTTATGCACTCCCGACTTCCTCACTACAGATGACGAAAACTTCAATGATGCAGCCCAATGAGAATCCTCAGATTAACGAGATTCTACTAAGATGATTTGTTTCTCCATGACACGTGGTCTTTCCAGAACCACAGCCAAGATAGAGTTTCATCAGCGGACAACTACATCGGGCTGATCACACTGCAACAAAGATGGTTAGAAGGATTTTACTTTCTTCAAAAGAGATTCTGTCAAGGATGTGGAACTTATTAGCCTGATCCGATACAAAAGGATGACCCTTCTGCATTGTCAGAAGCTTTCTGTATCATAACTACAATACCTTGCATTCTAGCGCCCACCTCCACCAAGCAAGGGCCGTCCGGAGTCATGATCACTTCACCGTGACTCGCGCCGTACTTGATATCCAAGGCATCTAGGCATTTGAACATGTAGTCCACCAGTTGGTCTTGCACCTCGCCAGTGGACGCAATCATTTTACCGTTGTGGTACGCGGCATTAGAGATGATGCCCTCCTCCGAGGTCGTAGAGAGAGATGCCCTGAGCTGATTGGCTTTCAGAAGAGTCGCCGTGGTCGGTTCGGTACCCTTTTAGTTCATCTCCTCTCCAAAAGCAACTGTCCCTACGAGGTTAGGTTAAATTATGGATCCCGCACATCGAGCCCCCCAGCACATCATCGACTCCGAGGATGATGGGTGACCTGAGTAGAGTCGACGAACACCGAGGCAGGTGACCTGAGTCAGACGACCAAAGGGATCTTTCCTCTCCTCTCCGTACGAGTCTCGAAGAGAGATTCACGGAGGCTTACGATACATAGTAGAAACAAGACCCTCACATCTACTACAGTCATAAAGATGGAACGCGTCTTGGGGTCATGAACCTTCTTGTACTGCCAGATACCGCACAGCACGTGCTTGGAATCGTAGGAGACGCAGTCGACAATATATTCAATACCCTGCAAAAACTCCTGGGCCAGAAGACAGTCATTTAGTTCGCCGTTAACATTGACCTTGCCGCACTCTGCCGCAAAAGCAGTGTCAACATCTTCAGGAGAATGGCACCAATAGACGCCGTCAGTGCCGCCGGACATAGCTGGAATTGGTGTCGAGGATGTAGAGAAAGGGAAAAAATAAACTGGACTCGAAAGAACCTGGATCCGGCACTCAAACTTTTACTCTATAGGCTACAGCATGGTATCAACACATCTTACCCGGTTTGACAATAATCGGCCATTGTCCCATGTTCTTTTCCTTGTGCCACTCCAGAGCCTCAGCGGCATCCTTAGCATAGATTTGTCGTACAGCGCGCACGCCAACCTCTCGCAGGCGCTCCTGCATTGCATACTTGTGGCGACGCCATTCCTTTGTCGCGCTTCCGTTAACTGCAGTCAGTCTCAGTGCTTCCTGCAGGTCTTCCGAAAGAAAGACGCCGGGCTCGCCTAAGCGGAAGGTTTGTAGAAGGTAGTCACGACGTCAGCACCTCTTGCTAAAATTCATTGCAACAAATACTAACCTCTGCGATATCTAATCGCATCCCAACAACGATATTTCATGGTCCTCGAAATCGTAGCCACTTGCTCAATTCAGAATAATTACTTCCAGGAGTGACTGCCTTCACGTTGTATTTTTCCAGCTTCTTGAGCGTTTCTTCGATCGTGGTGTGCGCAAAGGTTTCCACGAAATGATCCGGCTCCAACTGCTGCAGCCAAAACGGTGCCAACTCCAACGCGCTCTGGTTACTATGAAGAAGGGCGGGCTATTGCGTGTGACACGCACGCGCGAAGTGCCAGTTGTGCCAATCATGAAATTGAGGAGTCTTGGTGACATCGCGAGCTATAAAACGACTATAGTGCGAGCAATTTCCAAAGCCATAAATTGCGACCATCGGCCAACCCTGATCCTTCAGCTCTTGCACCAGGTATTTCCCGGAGCTGTAGGGGTCGACGACGACCACGACAGTTTGCTTTTCAGCCCCCATCTTGGTAACGAAAAACGGAAACCAAACGAACTGACGGCTGGCAGTACAACTAGGTAGGCAAGGAGCTTCGCGTTGCTACGTATCTTTAATCTAAGTCCAATTTTCAGGTTTCGTGCTCGTCTAGACGGCAAATTCTCTCGTTTTCTACCCTCGTGTCAATCCACATGCTGTGGTAAAATCAGTTTTTTTCTAGTTCCGTCATGAGCGATGAAGTGCTCTACTTCAATCTCTCCCTCCTCTGCAGACGTCCACGTTCTCTCAGCACCAAACAAACCACATTCAAGCGGAACAAAATGGATATTTTGGACAACACCAACTTGAGGTGTCGAGCATGGCCTAGGGCAACGCGTTTCTTTTTCTTTGCAGTAGTTTCGACCCTCGTTTCGTTCAAAAGAGGATGAAAATCACGCAGACAATATTCTGGCACTCTCAGCAACAACACCCGCATTTATTCCCCCACGCTTCTTCGATACGCGCAGCTTCTCTTCGGCAACTATGTCAACACAAGCTGCATGATGTTCACAAGATAGACCCTGAGCGATTTTCCACGCGAGCTGCGATCAAAACCCACCAGAACCGCAGGAAGCTTCTCATTTCGTTTCTACAACTGATTTCATAACGCCAGATTAATGGAGTACGTATCTCCGAATAGGAATCGACGACGACGCGAATCAACTCGGCAGCCTGCCTAAGATTTCCCGGGCGAATTCTACCCGCTAGTCTAGCTCGTTGTTGAATAGGAATTACTCGCGCAACGAGTACAGCCTGTGGCGCCGCTCAGAAGTATAAGATTCCGATGGTGTTTCTGCCTCATACGATTGCCGGCATTGCCGACATCGGGAGAGAGAGCCAGTGATCATCATGCCGCGTCGGGGGACATTCTACATGGTTACTAACAATTGAAGCGAATCATGGAGATTGAGAGCACATATCGTCAGACAAATAAATATTCCGGTGGTGTTTGTGCCTCAGAAATTGCGCCGCTCAAAAGAGATCAACGCAACCTCGGGAGAGAGAGCCAAGTGTCATCCTACGAGTAGCTGGTGGATCTGCTTAGCACTGTAAAAGGCAAAGACGCGAAGAAAGTATTACTTACAATAAGCCACAGGAGACTGATAGGAGCAAATATCCGGGGATCGGTAAGGTGACTAAGCTTAGCAAATACAGTAAGACTGTGAAGCGAAGACTCCAGCTAGACCCCGTCTTGGTATGCCTCCATCCCAAGCCAGACAAACACTCAGTATGCTAGTTTGCATGGTCTGACATAGGAGGCGATCGTTGCAAGGCCTGAAAAGGATTTGAGAAACCTCAAGCAAACGCCGCGGATTATTGCCGCCTGCGGAGAGGCAAGGAAGCGCGAGAGTAGAACGAAGTACTTCGACCGGCAGCGCATCATGAGGAACCTGTGTGTGGCAAGCATCTGAAATTAGAAATCTAAGAGTCTGTCCGGGGATCGGTAAGGTGACGCAGCCTATAATGGTAGGCTCGACTCCAGCTAGACCCCGTTCTCTTATTCCTCCATCCCAAACCGCGCAAGCACATCAGACAGCCTGTACGGACTGATATAGGAGAAAAATTTCATGATCATATGATCTCTTGTGTCTTATGTGCACCTGATCTTCTGAAAGTCTGGCCTTGGATCTTGCATGTTCCAGGGCACATGCGTTGATTTGACGAGTGGTGTGCGACCGTGGTAGTGGCCATAGGCGTTTGTACCATTAAGCATCAGCGTTGTTTTTAGGAATTGATTGAGTTTGACTTCAGTGGCAGAGCCTCAGTGGAAGGGCACACCACGAAAGCTGTGATGTGAACATCATAATACTTGGCAGAAGACAACGATCTTTGCTCGCACGACTTTGTTTAGAGTGAAAATGATCTTCATCTTTAAATTTAGTCGATTTGCAGAAGCAGGGATTCTGCTCGCATGTCAGCTGTGAAGCTGACGCTGGGTAGAGTGTGTTTCCAAACCTGACCTATCTCAAAGTGGTGAACAAAGTACGGTCCAGCGAGAGGAGCTTGGGGAAGCCGAAGCCATGACCTCAGCTTATCTTGATTTTCCCATAATCCTGCCACCAATTTTCCAAGGTGGCTTCGAAGGTCCTCACAGCTTTACCAGTCAACCCTCCACCTGGCGAGCCAGAAAGCCCTAAATATTTACGAAGCTCGTCCAAACAGCTGAAGGGTTCACCCGCGTGACAAGTTGCGTGTACCAGCGGACTATCCGCATTGGTCCCTAGGTAGATCATGCGACTCGCACCGTCAGTCTCAACCGAGGGTTGCAAAAAGCTGTGGTCTGCTCCCTCGGAGTCTGCAACATTCTTCCCGCCTGCGCCACGGCTTTCTTCATCTGCACCTTCAAATGTCCCTCCCGGATCGTTCTCCACTACACCGCCCGATGTTGCTGCCTTGCGACCATAGTCGGCTTCCAACACTACCGCGATCGCATGCTTCTCCAACGCCGGTGGCACCCTTGGAAACAGTCTCCGCGCATCAACCGCGTCATCCGGACTTTTTATTGGTGGGATCGGTTTCACGAGAAGTCCTGCATCTTTCAAATTTAACAAGCTCCGGCGAAGCCCCTTTTGCGTCAAGTTTCCTTCTTCGCCCTCCTTCATTTGCAAAGCCTTCTTTGTCATCTTGTAGAGGGAATGGTCCCACGCACGTGGGTGCGATAGTGTGTGCTGTGCGTAAACAGGGTAGTTCGTTGGGCGTCCCGGACCGATGACGTCGACGTAAAACTTACGCTTACGGGTGCTTCGAGCTGGAAAAAAGAAAAACTGGTCGAGAAACTCCACCACTCTGTTCTGCATGCCCTTTGCCATTTTAGCCCTGTGTGACAAATCGAAATCGCGAAAGAAGTGCACACCCAAAGACGGAATCATCTTCCTCGCAGCCTCACTAGTGTCGCTGCCTGTCGACAGGAACGCTCCACCAGTAGTACCATTACCGACTGCCTCCTGTGCAGAGGTTGCATACATTGGCTGAACATCATCCGGCTTACGAACGATTTCAGTTGTAATTCTCAACTTGGAGAGCAAAGCATTGACAAAATCTTTACTCGCGCACGTCACAGCAGCGAAATGATCCAGCGGGTCTGTCCCCTTCGCAGGCGAATAGCGCACTTGTGGAAGTCTTTGACAATGCAGGCGATCCCACTCCTTCTGCAAATGTGTACTCTCGTCTTCTAGCCTCTGCAGTTCCTGCTCTTCCGGCGAGGGCTGCGCCTCCATTTGTATTTCTGCAATTTTCGCAGCCTCTGCCTCCTTCTTCACACTAGGAGGTGCAAAGCCTGGGGCTCCTGCTTTGGTTTCGCCATCTTCGGCAGTCTGAGCAGTCCCTGACGAGCCACCTTGCTCTCCGGGTGATGCATTACCTTCTGTCATAGCTCGCTTGTGCGCTTGCAGAGCCTTTTGATTGTGATCTATTTGTTCTCGCAACTTCTCTGCATCTTCTTGGACATTCCCACCAGCATCTAAGATGAGATCCCGGAATGTCTTTTCGCGATACTGATTTAGACGCATGTAAGTTTGGTGTCCACCTGTCGCTTCATCGACCTTTCCCATTGAGTTACCAGCGGACGATAGCGAAACCCAGCCCGTGACCCCGATTCGCGGAAAAAAAAACTGCGCTCGAAGCGGGAACTGCGGTGTCGGCTCGCCCACAACGATGCCCTCAACCTGGCCTTTCAACCGAGCTAGCGTGTAAGATCCAGGAGAAGAGCTCTCCGTCACAGCAAGGCCAACACCTCCTGCAGGCGCTTTTGGCTGATTCGAATCTGCGGTTGTCAAAGTGGCAGAATCGCCCTTCTTCGGTTGGTCTGGCTGCGCTTTCGCATGCGTCACAGGAGATGCAGACGCTGAAGCGTCGGCTGTGGCCGCCTCAGGTAACTCGGCGAATGACGGTTGTTCTTTGGATGGCTGAACACCACCGTTCGCGCCTCCATCATTCTTTTCAACTACAGGCTGTTCTCCCGAATGCTCCTCCATGTTACCCGCCGGTTGTGCAGTAATAGCCTCTCCCCCTGCATCACCGCGACTTGTCTTCGTTGGATTCTCATCTCCTGCACGTGCGTCCGCTGAAGCTTCTTCAACAACGTCTGCATTCGTGTGGTGTCCGCTTTCGTCCGCATCAACCTTCGTTTCTGGATCGCCAGCTTTCTCTCCAGCCGGCGAAGTGGCAGTGACACTTGCATTTGCCTCCGAACTCTCCCCATCATTCACCGTCTCCCTTGCAAAACTCGTCGAGAGCTCCAACATCGCTGAGCCCTTCACGGGATTCTCCTGCGCACTTGCCTGCACGCTTCCTTCATTCCCTGCACCGCCTATTTCAGCTCCTGCATCTGTTACGAGCCAGTGCTGCCCGAGCTTTGGAGCGCTTTCGCTCACGCCGTCCTCTGCATCCATGGCTTTTTGCGCTTCCTCCGTCGGATCCAGAGCGAAAGTCCGTCCTTGCGGCATCTGCACCCAATGCCACAGATGCGCCTCGTCATCGTGCAGGAGTTTACCAGAGACGATACACGGTAACGATTTTGGCGACTCAACAAGGGCACTTGGCTGTTCAACCACAATCGGAGCGCCGTCTATTGTGGACGTGGTACTATCGCCACCAGCGGGCAAGGCGACCGTCGGGCACAATTTCCGCCCATCGTAGAGGTACTCAAAGTACCCAAGAGGCCCATCAATCCAGTATCGACCTTTTGGCAGGGTGCTTGTCCGCCGACCGCGATAGCCTTCTCCACTTTCACCATGTACGACCTGCAAGAAACTCTCCCGCACATGCGGGAGGTATTTCACTACCTCAGCCCGCGCCATGCCACTGCTTGCGCCTGGGGGCAATCCATTCTTGCGTATGCGCTGTGACGACTGCGCTAGGACTTCCGGATAGGGCGGCCAACGTTTTGCGGGAGCCTTTCCTTCAGTTGAAGCTCCCTTCGCAGTGTTTTCAGTCTCAGTGTCGCTTGTGCCGGGTCCACCATCCGCCTCATTTGATGCGAAGGACTGGTCGCCCGTTGTCGCACCAGCACCTTCATCAGCAGAACTGGCTGGCCCAGCATCGTCGTTGTCATCTTCATCCGCAGTGTCACGCAACTTGCGATCTGTGGTTCCAACCTCCACCACCATCTTCTCCAAGTCATGCTCGCTATCGCCAACATATTTTCGACAAATCTGCTCGAGCAACGGCCGATGCCGAAGGGTGACGAAGTCCCTGTCATCAGTGGCGGCTTCCTTGATCGCGGAAGGCGCTGGGCTATCATCATCAGCTGTGGGGGACGTAGCAGGCGCAATAGCTGAATCGCTTGTGGTCGACATTGCTTTTACTTATCTCCCTCGCTCTGCATAAGTGACAGCAAATTATGACTGCATTTGTTGCCCGCCTCAACGACCTAGATATAAAACAACATGATGAAGAAGACTTGAATTCTGACCTACACACAACAAGGGTCACCGACTCGCACTCGGTACGACACTTCAAACCGACTGACAGCAAAAGGCTTTCGTACAAGAAGCCAGAAGATGTAACCGACGTGCCAAATACTGCGACCGACGACCCGATAGACACCGGTCCGACCCCCTCCGTGAACTCATCAAAAGCGAGTTATACGCGTCTTCTCGACCGAAATGACCCGACTTTTGTTCCCGATTTTCGCACCCCATCGCCGAGAAGAACGAAACTCTACAAGGCGCAACGAAGCTTCGAAGATTCGGAATGCCGAAGTCCGTCTAGCATCAAGAGAGGTTTCTTAAGCAATCGCGATATGCCATCCATCTTGAAAAACGACGTCGACAAAAGGTGCACAAAATGTTATTATGTAAGAGCGCAGGAACGACGGGGCGCACGTCCATTCCCTGGAAACAGCATGGATTTGCATCACAGGTGTAATTTCGATTGTTGCTTGCAAATATGACTGCGATTGATGCCTGTGTCGCATATTTAACTTTTTGCCTGCATGTGCTAGTTTCTTTGTCGTGATACCACTTTATCAAATCAAGACGTTGTCTGTTATCAGCTAATTACAACTTGTCGTGGTCTTGTAGATAACATTTCACTTCAGCAAATTGACGTTCTTACGTGTATACTTCGTTAGGCGTCTAGAGAGAAAACAATTCTGAATCCTTATTCTTGCGGAGTTCGTACTACTAGTTGTTGCGATTTTCAATGCAAAGACATCGAAGAAGGTAGAGGAACATGCATGATTGAGCATCTTGTACTTATAAATTGATTTTCCCTACAACGACCTTAGATCCTCTCCACTAGTTTTGCGGCACCAGCTGGAAAACCGTCTTGGCGAAATTGCTCTTCCTCTTGATGTCTTCCGTCATGGCCGAGATTTCTTCTTTGAGGCGATCGATTTTCGCTTTTCGGCCAGCGTAGTCCGAGGCCATGGCCTCTGAACTGGAGATACCCGCTTGCTGCTTGAGGCGTGCATTTTCCGCCTTGTCTTCATCTCGTTCGCGCTTCAGTTGCGTCAAAAGGTCGCGTCGTTGCGTCAGCTCGCCCTCGAGCAGCGAAAGATCCTCGCGCACGCCGTCATTCTTCTCTTCCACAAACTGAAGTTTCTCTCGCATGTGCGTCAATATCTGCACAACTGTAATCGTCTTCTTACGCAATTTGTGCAGCTCCTCGTTGCGTTCCTGTAGAGAAAGGGTGAAAATCGGAATCAGAGCGGTCTTGTTGAGACAATGAAAATATTTGAATTTGTTGCTATGTATAGCTAATTAGTTTGCTTATTTTGTTTAGTGGACACTTGATAGAAGTTGTGACTCCTAAATGACACTAAAAATTATGCTAGGATCATAATATAGTGGCGTTAAGTCAACTAAGAACTGCACAAAAACGGTCATTATTGTCGCCTCCTCGTCCTGGAAGTGCTCCGCTTAGCGGCTTTTGC